TGCCTACGAAAAAACGATTCTAAACGGAGTTCAGTTGATAGTGATGCTTTGTCAATAATATCATTTTATAATAAAATAATTAAATAGGTTTTATATATTTTATTTAATAATATATATGTCTAATGTTGTACAAAATTTTACAGTTTTCCTACGTTTTTCCAGGGTTTCCCATGTTTTATCCCGGTTTTTCACATTTGCTGGGAAAACTCGTAGGAAAATCAAAAAAATGACCTCCCTAAAGTACCATCCCAGTCAGATATCCTTTCAGAAAAAAGGCTAGAATTGAAAATTAGAGCGAAATTGCTGGTAGAAAATTTGTCCGCTGTTAAAAAAAAAAAAAAAACAAACATATTGTGAAACTAATAAATTCCTAAATCATTTAAAAATTATTGCTGAAAACAAAGACCAAAAAAAAAATAACAGTTTTATTAATACATTCCTCGTTTCGCTCAGAATTTAATTACATTCGTCGGTTTTTCAATGAAATGAACCAAGTAGTTTATTCGAATTATTATAATATATATAATTTTATAAAATAAACATTGAACAATGTAAAACTATAAGCTTCTTCGTTCCACTCAGAATCTATAATAATTAAATATTGTAACGGTGACAAGTCGGCTGGTAGAAAATTTGACTCTAATAACGGAATTCTAGATCTGCTCAAAGGTTTTTTTTTTTTTTTTATCAATATTATTTGATCGCGGTTTTTTTTTCTTAGTATGATAATTATCATCATCACTACCCGATGTTCTATTTGATTTTATCATTTTATCTACGAGTATAATATTTGGAGCCACGGTCCGTGATTTAACGATTTTACTGGATTACCAAATTGTATGATTTTAATGTAACACTTACAGTAAAATATTGTATAGATAGTTCATATAAGAATACATTTTATTTCTACGGCTATATAACCATTTTTGTTTCTGATGTCTCCAATACCAAATTCAATTATGTTTCCATGTATTATAATAATTCGTGTAAACTACTCGTTTTATTTCATTGAAAAACCGGCGTATGTAATTAAATTCTAAAAGAAACGAGGAATGTATTGATAAAACTGTTTTTTTTTTAGTCTTTGTTTTCAGCAATAATTTTTAGATGATGTAGGAATTTATTAGTTTTACACTGATGTTTTTTTTTTTTTTTAACAGTGGACAAATTTTCTACCAAAAATTTTGCTCTAATTTTCAATTATAGCCTTTTTTCTGAAAGGATATTTGACTGGGATGGTACTTTAGGAAGGTCATTTTTTGATTTTCCCAGGAGTTTTCCCAATAAATGGGATAAACGTAGAAAAAATGAGAAAATAGGTACAATGTTAAACAAATATTATTATAAAGAAAATATATAATGCATACATAATTATTTTACGATAATATGACATATTTATTGTTGACTAAGCAACACTATTAACCGAACTCCACTCAGAAATCGTTTTTCGTTAGCAATGGTTAATCGTCACGTATATATACATTTAATTTCCCCTCTACTTTCCCAACTTTTCACCTACAACAGTAGCACACCAACGTGCGAAGTATGTTCGTATTTTTATTTTTTAGTTATTCAAACATAAACAGGTAACAAAATATACTATGAAAACGTGACAAAGTATTTTTTATTTTTAAATTCAATTTGAATAATATAAAACTATGTATAATCAATATAATAAAATAAATGTACGTAGTAATCATTAATCATATGAAGGCTACACTGAACTTCACTGTCCATCAGTTGGACTATTACCATCTGAAACGTTAGACATAATTTGAAAATCCATGAAATATAATTACATCTAAACACAGCAACTTAAGTGAGGCTATACTTATAACTAGCACATTTTTTTTTTACATAACACTTGGTTGAGGGATATTTTCGATTTATACAAAGAGAATAATGTAACAACAGTGCGCGCAGTGACATTTTGCCAAATTCACGACTAATTGGCACACGCGGGCATTTTAAAGTGGTAAATTTTGTATTATTAGTCTGCCTAGCTATATTCTTAGAGTGATGCACACTCGATCTTTAAAATACAATCACCCGAACAAGTCGCTCATTTTAAACAACTGTTATCCAATATTTTCTTTGTATTCACTTGAGATTATTTTTCCAAAATTGTCTACAATATCCTCCGAAAAAAAGTAAAAACCACCGAGCGTGTTCTCTTTTAGTTATTACCAATCACTAAAACAATTATTAAAATGCAGTCAAATTTAATATTATAGTCTACACACAATTCATGTTTTCTTACTATAGGACATTTGAAAATAGGAATATATAGGAATTATTGTAATACTCAAATTTAAATATTATGATCGACTCGATGTAATTTTCCCGATTTTTGAATTAAGTGTACAATTACAGTAATAATTATAATAATAATATTTAATAATAATAATAATAATAATAATAGTAATATAGTCTTCAACTTTTAAAAATAAAGTCGAATAAACAGATATATAACACTATATGGAAATACATAATTATAATAAAATATTCTATGGATACGTACAACAATAATCTCGAGTTAATTCGTAATAAAATATAATATATAGGTATATAATACACAAAGTGTCAGTTTTTTGAATAACTGCACGGCACACTCAATAATATTACACATACCTAAAAACACAAAATATTGTGCACAAATAACAATATGCTTAAAAACGTACAGAATAAAATTAGTTAAACAAAAAAAAAAAAAAACAATCAGTAACCATCGTGGTACATCATTGGTAATATTTCACCGTACTATAGTAAAATTAAAGTTATATAAAACAACTATGCATTATACTTGTATGTTTGTAGATAGATATGTCTGTATAGTAGATATAATATGTATGTATGTATATTGTATACAGATACGAGAGGTATGGAGTTAGGAGAATGTGATACCCGTGTGTACTGTCTCCGTCTGTCAAAACGTACGACATAGCAAGTTGTTCAGCAGAGACAACTTTGTTCCGTTAATTTTAGTATTGGACCGAATCTATTATCAAACTTAAAGATAGGAGCACTATATGTGTAACGATGGAGGTGTTTTTCGATATTTAATTTTTCAAGTGAGATTCGAGTGTGCGAATTATCACAGTTTGAAAATGCTTATATCTCGCTTGAAAACGACACCGATTAATTAATCAAAAACACCTACGTGGTATACACAGTATACATGCGAGTATTGCGAGTATCGCGTCCTCTTAAGCTGTCATATACTATAAGAGCGCGAATTCTGTCGAATAATTAGTGAAATATACTTGTTTTTGCCTTAAACATTTTAATGTTATGATATTATATAGAAACAATTAATGATTAATTTCAAATATTTTTCATATTATAATTCAGGGCGTAATTCAAATATTTTATGGAAATAATCAATACAATTTACTTTCTTAGTGTGTGGCTTCAAAAATTTACTCAGTAAGTGAGTTACTTAGTGAATAAAATCGCCTATTTTACACGAAATAGTTGTAGGTATACATCATATCAAAACTGTTATACACAATTGTAGGCTTAAGTCTAATCATCTCCATATAAAATCTAAAAAATAACTAAATAACTACACATTATAATAAATACTTAAGGATAATATTAATATTATATTGATAGTTTAGTCATTGTATACATCGATGGCACGTATTGCGTATTATAATATACCTATAATATAATAATAGAGATGAGTGTAATACGAAATATTATGTCTATTGTGTCAAAATAAAAACCAAAAAAAAAAATCAACCAACAACATTATAATAGTATTATGATGGTATAGTATACAGTATAATTTGTTGTTGTTTCGTGTGTTTTGATTAAATAAAACGAAATTTTTTTAAAAAAAAATTATCGGTACACATAATAATAATACGAGTAAAATATTATATTCGATTAATGTTAATAAACATGGTATATACAGTTTCTAAAACCTACCAATGTCATAAAAAAAAAAAAAAAAAAAAGGAGACTCGTTTTTCAATATTACCCGAATTATGACGAGGGCGTCGAAAGTGCATTTTTGTTGTCTTTGTCTGTTTGTTATAAACTTGATTTTGGTGCCAAAATAAACACGAAAATAGTTTGTCTACACATCGAACAGTTGATTAGGAAATTTGTTTTCAAACCTATTATATTTATATTTTAAAGTATCTTGAAAATCATAAAAAAAATCGGCAGATGAAGATTTCAAAACGTTTAATGAAAATATCAAGTGTTTATTTTGCAAACGTCAAAATCAAATTTATATGACCATTAAAACCAGAACACTATTGGGCGTACTTATTCGGGAAACACGGTTTCGGTATATTTCCCATTAGATATAGACAGAGATGGCAAATTCACGTTCGGCATTCTCTTGAGAGGACCCCCACGTCCATGTCTATACTATTTTAGTCTAACTAACATAGTAATATTACGTTACATAAAAAGTAAATTATTGTGGTGTTCAGGTGGAGATTAGAGTTTAAACATAAATATCAAAATTTAAAGAGGAGAATAATTTTGATGGCTGTACGTACTTTTTTGCCTGACAATTTGCATAAAAACAAATTGCAGCTTGTTATAGAAAACAACATTGAACATAGCTATGACTTTTTTATAAAAATTTTTAGAAAAAAAAAAACAACGTACTGTCCTCGAATTTATTTTCGTGTTTACATTTCATTATTTGTGTTTAAACTCTAATTTACACAATTCGCTACAATTGATCGTCCACTATAGTCGTAGAACGTGGTACGTTGTAAAGTACAGGTGTACAAAAAAAAAAAAAAAAAAAAAAAAAAAAAAATACAAAATAATAAACCACGTTTTGCCGCGTAGTAAAGACACGTATAGTTACACAGTAAAGGTACTATGATGCTAAAAAGTTATACTACGAGAGAGATTACGGTAACACGACGGCAGAGAGCTGTATTCAGAGAGCTGCTAACGTGATAGGTATCGGGGGAATAGAGTGGCGAGTAGGGGTTTTGGTGGACTGCAGGTTACTGCGGTAACCGCGGTTATGTGATGGCGCACAACCGCGACTTGGTCTTGATCGGTTTCCGGTTAGCCGCCCCCGTCGTCGACGAAGACGAAGACATGGACTGGTGCTGCTGACCCATGAGCCTGCGCTGCTGCAGCAGCCGGTTGACCACAATCCGGTACGTGGCGACCACGTTACTCCTCGACCCTCGGGAACAGTGTTCATCGAGCATGCCCTTGGATATACCCAGCGATTCCAGCAACCGCCTGGCGTTCGCCTCGGTGTCGGTGAGTTCCGCCGTGGCACAGCCGTCGGCCGTCGCCTGCACCACCGTCGGGTACGCGCACCAGTGACCGTACACCGAGTTGTTGTTGAACCGGCTCTGGTACGCGGATGCCTCGCGGAGCCAGTCGGACTTGAGGACCTGGTCGACCCCGAATCGGTCGTCCGGTGACGTATTGAGCATGGATCCTGTGAGTAGTAAACGAATTATACAATAGTTTTAGTGACGCTAAGGTCCGGATGGGTGCCCTTCACCAGGAGAATACTCGACATTTTGACGAGGGTCGTTAATAGAAAAAATAACTGAAAAAAAAACTGCGTTTCGATGGCTATTAACTGAAAAATATAGATAATAATAATATCTTCTGTTGTCCTGTCAGGCCCTTCTCATCTCGTCCCTTCCTACGGAATTTACAATCACGGCTATACGAATAATATTGATTTGCGAAAACAAATAACGCGTATTGTTTGCATAACAATAATAGGTAATGTCGCACCCCTGAACGAATACTGGCACAACTCAAGAAATTTGATTTTCAAGTTATACTATCAAGGTATACAGTATTTCATTCTTTATAATTTGGTGTACTTGATTTTTTTTTATTTTAAATAGTATGTACTCGAATGGCTGCTTAAAATTAATTATAGTTTCCAGCATAAATATTGACATTTCTGAAACGTGACTTTATATTTTTACCTAATTTTATATTTTTACACAATATTTTTCTACCCAGAATAACGTTGCATCCCAAAATCATAGAACATGAGGAATTATGGAACATTAAAATTCAAATTTCCAATATTTGCATATTTTAATTTGTATCGCTATTCTTTCAGAGGTGTGCCATAGAAATGACCATAGAAAAAAATGCCATATACCAGAATGACAAGATGAAAATATGGTCAAATATAAAAATGTCCAAAGAAAAAATTGGACATTTTTTCCGTGGTCATATTTTTCTCTGTTAAAAGAATATTTAATTATTTGATATTATATTTTTAATTATTTCCTATTGTGCTTTAAACATATTTTATTATGGTCTTAATAACGGTAATAATAAATAAAAATAATCATAGGTAATAATGACCATAGAAAAAATGTCCAATTTTTTCCATTTAGACATATTTTTTAATTGGCTATTATCGCCAATTACCGTATTATGTGTACGTATTCATAAAATATAAAAGTCATGTCGTGTCGACAAGCTTTTTTTATTGCTATCTTTAGTACCGTACTAACTGTCATTGTCGCTCTAGGGCAGTTACCATTTTTTCTTCCCCCCCCCCTTTTGCACAGTCCGAGTCATCTTGTAAGTGGAAATGTGTAAGAATAATACTTTTTTATGCCAACTTACAATGGTGAGCGCAGGATGGAAGAATATCCTCTGCATTGGCTTAAAAACACAATAATTATAAGTGTTTATTTGGCAATCGTATATTGAAGTTATATATTTTAGCCAAATTTACAAGAAAAAACTCGATTTATTCAATAACAATTTATTAGATTTATACGTATAAGCTATAGATATGCCGAACACATTATGGATATTTTTTTATAATTTAGACGATATAATATACAAACAAAGTTGTATTCTTCTTATTATTCTACCAGAATTATTACGAATATCATTTGAACAGAAGATATGTGACTGTAATATAATAACCGGTTATATTTTTAATGAAAAAAAAAAATATATATACGGGTTTAAAAAAGGTCGCGGTCAGACGAATTTTCGTAATTAGAGAATCTAGATACGCGTATTATAGTACCTATATAAAAATCGATTTTCGCGCAGTTAAAAATCGTCTCACTATTGTACTAGAGGGCAAAGACCGTACCCATCTAGACTATTGTTTTTTTTTTTTTTTGGGGGGGGGGGCAAATACTTTATATAGGTAGGTAATACGCGGCCCCACCGCTGCGCTGCTACCGCTGCGGTCGTTTTCAAGGTGTTTTAGCGGATATTGTGTTTTATTCGAACAAAAATTCATAATTTCCTTTAGAATAAAACCGATTTTTTTAACATGGTACAAAACGCGTAGTACAGCTATAGGTAAATATCGCGCTTTATCCGATTAAAATGAAATGCTGCCTTTAATTTTTCGTCATATATATTATCTCAATAAATATGTAAAAAACTTGTCCGTTCACGGGTTACTTATTAACCTATCCGTAAACGTTACGCAGGCATTACTGACAGAGTAGTCATGTACATTAAAACGCACATTCGATAAAATAAATTATAATCTGCGATATCGGATTAATATTTTGTAAAACGCAATCAACCAGCGAGGTCAGTTGTGTGTGGTTCGTGATAGCGAAGGATACCTTTTTGGACCGTGTATTCCATGTTGGACCCACAGAGCGAGTGGCGCCGAGCCTACAATATATCAGGTGTGGCGGTTGCCACACGTAATTTAAGAGATGGGTATACCCCCTGGCATTGGTAGTTTAGTATATAAAATATCATACATTTTACAATTAATGTAAGGAGCAGTAGACACAATATTACAAATAACACGATAACTAGTCTATTCCCTTGGACTATCGTAGCGCGTACGGTGTGATTGCCCTAGTAAAAGCAAACGACTATTTAACTTTAACTATAACTAAAACTATGGTTTAAATCTATTTAATTAATAGCTTTACGATAAATAACCAATAATACCTAATACATTTCTAAATCTACAACAGCGGCTACAGCTAGTTCACGGCGTTATACAGAGTGAAAACATATACACGATAATGTATAGACATATGGATACTTATGGACCTGTCATAGATTTTATAAAGAAGAGTATTACGCCATGACTGAATTACCATTTATACATGTTTCCATTAGTTATTAATGGTTAAAATTAACAGAAATTCAAACCGCGCACACCTTGATGGCGAATTAAAATACTAAAAAATATCGTTTAAAATGTATAATATAAGTCCCTCCTTCGCGCTAAACTCAACCGGAGATAAGTCGCAACCGTGATGATAGTGCGGAATGTCTATGTTTTGTATGCTCGTATTATAGCGCGAGACAGACATAGAAAATATTATGTCGGTTTAACCTTTAAGATTTTATAGTTTCGGATTGAAACTAAAAAAAAAAAGGACGGGCATACTTCGCACGTGAGTGCAGCCACTGTTTGAGAAGTCATCATTGGGAAGATAGGCTACAGACGGAAATTCAATGTATATCTGTAAGCAACGATACACCATGGCTAACAAAAAAAAGATTCTGAGCCGAGCTCAGTTGATAATGTTGCTTTTCCGACAATACAATATATGGTATTACGTCGTATTATGGTAAATAATAAAAACTTAATAATAACAAAAAATAAACAAAAACGGTAACCAATGACAACCTTATTTTTAATCTTTCAATCTTTTTTAAACTAAATATCAAGGTTTTCCTCATTATCTCGAATATTAATAAGAATTTCAAAAAATGATATATTTAAAGTACCACCCAGAGAAAATTTCCTTTCGGAAAAGGTGCTATACTTAATAATCGGAGTATGTTTTCTGGTAGAAAAAGTGTTCACATAAAAAAATAAATAAATATCATTGTAAAACCAATAATACATTCTTCGTTCTACTCAGGGTCTAAAAAATGTTTAAAAATAAAAACATATTATTATTATTATTTAAAACAGTATTAGTCTCAATGATCATTTTTGAAATTTATTTTTTCTTTAATTAATATTCAACTATATAAACGACAGTGGTTTTCAAAAATGAAAAACAAAAACATATGAAACGTCCTCGACGAACATCTTGAAACGAACCCGGCCGTGGCGTGACAATGATTGTATACCGAGTGATACATTTAAGTGCACGATTTGTGTGGCGTCATTTTTTAATAGTGTTTCATTATACTTTGCCCAACTCAAACGTAAAAGTGAAATATCTCGTCAACGGTTCGACATAAATTGATAATTTCAACACCGTCATTTATTTAAATTCGTACTCCTCCGTATATTTATGACATTTTTCATACAGATTACCATTTGAAGTTATCAAAAGTAAACTACTAGTAGTTTCGCCTCCGAAAATAAACGTGACAAAAATATTATTAACGCAACAGAGCTGCTTATTGTTTCTTAAATTGGCAAATTAGTTTTTTTTTTTTTTTGGTAAGTCATTATTTTTAGAAATATTTTATACAGCCACTTAAATGGATCACTATGTATGCGTGACTTTATTTACGAATTTTTTGTGTTGGCCGTTTTAGACGTTATATTTTAATGGCGGGTCGTCAACAGATCACGTTAAATACGATTATGACGTTTAAATACTGTTTTTTTATAATATATTCAATCCGGTGCATAACTTCAATCGTAATATATAGTAACACGGAATGAATTTATGACGGTTTATCGTTCCGTTTACATAAATACTCAAACAACAATTAAACAATAAATTACTGAAAAAATCAAAAATGAAACGGCTGGGTTTTTCAAAACTATTCGGAAAACTTAATGTTTTGAAAAACATTTAGTTCATAATAATGTATTGAATTTAAATTGAATTGATCTTTATACCGGCATTAAACCATGACAACAAGTTTTACTTTATTTTTACTGCAGCGGTTCTTCAAGATGAGAGCTATATTTATAATGTATAAAAAATATTTACGGTCGTCTTGTTTTCTGACCAGAATTTGCCAGAATTTCGTTTATTCGCTTTATAACTTCTATGCGGAAGTTCATCGCGAATGCGTCTCGTTGCGCGAAAAATACGATATTGTCTCTAACGGAAATCACCCATACCCGATCGCCTGCTGAGTTATTGTTTTCAATAATAATTCAACAAAAGAGCTGATACTGTTTACAGGTGGGTGCCAAATATAGTAGACGAAAAGTTTTTAAAATAGGATGCATATAGATTTATATAACTTATGTCCATGCTCGATAATAGTCATCGATTTCAAATGACTTGAAATAGCTCAGAAATGTTTTGAAAATTGTACCGCCTATTCAAATGGCTATTTCAAGTATTATGTGAAAATTTCAGACCTCAAGAATTGTTTTCGACCGAATCATAACAAAAAACAAAATTAAATCACCATTGCTGGAAACTTTCCCGTATTCCTAAGTTTTTTTGCGGTTTTTTTTTTTTTAATTATTAAAAAACCAGAAGCAACATCAAAGAACAATCATGCACCAGGCAGTTAGATGCACTAAATGCATTAACTAGACAAATTGTCCTTCCAGAAAAGATGCTATGCGCTTGAAAATCGGAGCGATATTTCTGGACTCGTGGTATAGAAAAAAAAAAATAAAAAAAAAAAAAAACACGTCATAGTAAAACCAATACATTCCTACGCGTACGTAATAATAATATTATAAATACGTATTGTATTAAAACTGTAACTGGTCGAGTAAGTATTGCACCCGAGCAACGAACCGCAATATATTATATAATACGAATTATTTTAATCAATATAATACGTATGTATGCGTCAAGACTGCACGCGGGTGTTAATATCAATGCCGATTTTATGATGAAGAGGTCTGAGGTGGTGAGAATAGATCCCCTACGTCGGGGGGTTTTTTTTTTCACTTTACGCGAGGTCATTGGATGAGTATATTATAAGTTATTGAAGAAATAGTAACTACATCGTCGTCACGTCATTCGATTGGTTCACATATATATATATATATATATATATATATTGTAAAAGTGATGACCTATATAGGAATATTGAAATATTAACGCGCGTCAGTATATTATGCAGGTATTCAAAAGTCATACAGGTATATCAAATCCACAACGATGATATTATTATTACAATACACGCTATAGTAATACTGATGTTTATTTGTATGTGTGCGACACATCTTTCAATCGGTGTTAACGACTAAAACAAAGAAACAAAATGTGTTCACAATAATACGCTCAAAGGAGAATTGCCAATAATGTGTAATACGCCTCGAGCGACCCCTACCCCACCGGATCCACCATCTGTATAGGATCCGCATAGATATTAAATATACGAACAGATAATTTTAGACCCGTGAACATTTGCCTATACACATTTAGCAGTACTAAAACCAACGACAAAACACTAAAGGGCCAAAAACGCATTGCATTATCTCCTCTATCCTATGCTAAAAGCGTTACTAATGCTCATCACTCTTGGACCGCGGCCTACAACAATGTACAGTGCATAGTAGTGGTCTATCCATGCCTTTAATATCAATGAGAATCCGTGATCTCGCGATTATGACGTTTTCGTAATGTCTAAATTATTATTATTTGGTATTGTAAAATCATCTACAATAAAATAAATAATTATGGGTAAAATACAATTTTACCGTCCCTGTGCTTATATGCATAAATATATAAACATAACCAGGGAAAAAATTTGAAAGAGGTCGACGATTTACTATGTTGGTTCGCGAAAATTTGCCACCCATTCCGCGAAATAAGTGCCATCAAATTTAACGCTCCCGGGCGATTCCCCCCCCTCCCCTGTTAAAAGAATCTCTGTTTTGTCACGACGAATTTCGTATAGTTTAAAAGAACACTTTAAATCGCAATTTCACCTCTTCGTATCCAGTTATGGCTTGCCTCGATCCCCCCCCCAAAAAAAAAAAAAATAAAAACTACACATTATATTATCTAAATCGGGCGTTCTGCGTACCTATAAGCGACGCCAACGATTCAGACATCCACGACGGTGGATCCACCTGCCCGGCTAGTATCGACCGCCGGAGCCCAGCCATGTTGTCGCCGATGAACGGCATCGTGGCCGTGGTCATGAAGAACAGCAGCACGCCCAGCGACCACACGTCGACGGGACGTCCGACGTAACGCTGGTCCAGGAAAAGTTCGGGAGCCGCGTACGGCGGAGAGCCGCAAAAAGTCTCTAATTTTTCATCGTCTGTAAACAAAAGAAAAAAATCAATAGCTGTGATACCGTTGTAGATGGAAAGTTGGCATGGTAGGACACATAAAATGTTTATATCTGTGCGCAAGGATAAACCGCATTGCTCACGAATATCGATTTCGAGCGAAGTTCGATTATACAAATTTTCAAACGATGTCGTAATTTTTACGGGTTTCGTCGAAATTTGATCTTAAAATGCTTATAAAAAATGTCCACGTTACGCTCGACTTTTTTTTTTTATTTACCGTTAAGTCTAACACTAGTACTACATTAATCACATAATACCCCTATATCCTGAATGTCTTGTTAAATTGTCAAGCGTTTCTGTTTAGTCGAACAATTTAATCCACACAATAAACCTTTGAGCAGTTTACCGCTTCTAGAAAAGGGGAATATAAGTATTTTGTGAAAATTACAATTATTTTTAACCGAATTACAACGTGGGAAATAATGAAACCAATATTTCCGTAAACTTTCCTTTTTTTCCCCTGTGTTTTTTCCCAATTATTAGGGAAACTACGCGGAAAATTAAAAAATGATCTCACCAATGCACCGAATAGATCTAAAATGTAACAAAATAGATTTTTTTGTCATTTTCTTATTAGAGCAAGATTTCTTGTAGAAATTTATACACACACGAGATAATGAGCGTCATAAATAGGAGCATCTATAATACATATCATTATAGTAAAATCAATTTACGATCCGCTCAGAATCTTAAAACAAAAATGGTTTTATTAAAGTACTACGGCTTTGCTCGCGTACGGTATTAAACGAAAAAAACTAATTAAAAAAACGTGCGTTCTTTTATTTCTCCGTGTCCACCCCTGTCTCTGTCAACCGTTGCTGTCGAGTACTCACATGTTCGCGACAACTAATTAATTAAAATAACTATTTATTTTTGTCCGTGACATTAAGAGACAATCCATAAATCAACAAAAAAAAAAAAAAATCAAAGTTTAGATTTTCGTCTTATCAAAAATGCTGTGCCAGCTACCTTTTTTGGGGTTAAAATTTTGAAAATTGGACACACGGACTCGTTCGTCCGCGAAAACTGGACGGGAAAATATTATTTTCACGAGGAGTGAAAATCCAATCATCCTCCCGACAATAATATAAACGTATTATTTATTACATTGTATTACGTTTTCTAACCGTCAACGAAGAATAAAAAAAAAAATCCATTCATCTCCGATCTATAATTTTACCGTGAAGAAAACGAGACACTTTTTTTTCGCCATCGTCGTCGTCGTGCTCGTATTTAAACGAATTTTTAACACTAGATTTTGACGGATCGAACCATTAGTCATTGTATAGGACCGTTTTGGACGTGATCGAGAAAAATTACTACGACGAGGACGTTTCAACTGTACGTCGGATTAAAACATTCTTCAAATCTCGCGAAAACGAGCGTTTTCGATTTATTGTTAACGGCGTCGAAACGTATACCGCATAAAGAATCCCGAACAACAATATACTATGTATACGGATCGAAAAAGTTTATCGAAACTGCGCGTTTGGTTTAGTTTAGGTTTTTTTATTTTTTTTTTTGCTACCGTTAGCCTTATTATTTATCATTATAACTACAGTCAGTCGGCACGGATCATATATTTTGATTTTTACAATTAATCTCCGAAAGAACTAATTTAATGAAATTATTATGTATTGCGATTCGTATGCAAGTTATTTTGTATACGGAATTAAAACACACGTTTGCGTCATTTGAATAAAACGCGTGCGTTAGTTAATATTATACTAATTTTACTGCAGCAGTATTATGATTATGGCAGAGAGATTATTTACCGAATTAAAATAATGCACGGCCGTCCGTTCGGGAGGTGGGTAAAGGAGGGCCAAGAGAAGGACATTTCCGTCCCTGGATTTTCGTACTTACTACAATAAAACAAAAACAATGTTTGAACTATACAATAAATCCGGTATAATTTTGTCCCCTTGAACTGTCTTGGGCGAACGTCCATGTTAAAATATGGCGTTTGAGTTACTATATGTATAGTATATTTTGTATACGTAGAATTAGAATCGAGGTGGCCTATCCGTCGAATAGTTGTAGAAAAAAAAAGAAAAAAACGGTTATTTTTTGAAGAAATGTTATATCGTACGTTACGTATTGTGTCGGTAAACGTGATTAATGATTATACATCATTTATACACCGTCGATCATGTTACATTGAAAATCCGGAAAAAATTAACAAAAAAGACGGACATACTTCGCACGTGGGTGCAGCTACTATTTTATATAATGTAGTATGATTTGAAGTAACTATTCGCATATCTTTTTCAACAATTTGCGTTTCCATGACAACAATGGTTGTGTAAAAAAAATATTAAAATAATAAAAACGTAATAATAACAAGAAATAACTAAAAACTGTTGCCAATGACAACCTTATTTTTAATCTTTCAATATATTTTAGCCTAAAGAACCAGGTTTTTCTCATTATCTCGAATAATAATTTAAATTTCAAAAAATTACCACTCTAAAATACCACCCAGAGAACATTTCCTTCCCGAAAAGGTGCTATGTTTGATAATCGGGGTAAGCTTTCTGGTAAAAAGTGTTCACAAAAAAACAAAAAAAGAAAAGAAAAAAACATCATTGTATAACCAGTGCATATTTCTCGCTCCGCTCAGAATCTAAAATAAAAAAGTATAATAATTATAATAAAAATAGTAATAATTACTCGAGACCGTGATGCTAAAGCCAAAGTCTCCCAACTTGGCAACTCCTCTGGAGCTCAGGAACACGTTTTCCGCTTTGATGTCTCGGTGGACGATTTTGCGGTCGTGCTGCGCAACGGGGAACAAATCGAAATCAAATCAATACACACGTGATAGGAAAATAAAATAAATTTTTTCAACCCGAAAATATTGTTATTGCTATTGTTTTTCGTACCAAATGTTTGACGGCTAACACGATCTGGGCGAAAATGTTTTTCGCTTCCGATTCGTGCATTCTGCCCTCGGATATCAACCTTTTGAACAGTTCTCCGGCCGCCGCGTGTTCCATGATCAAATAGTACTTTGTGTACGTCTCGATCACTTCGAACAATCTAAATTGAATTTTTACACAATACAACACAATATTATCGATCCCACAATGCCGTTGCGAATAACATTATTATATTTTGTTATCGTCGGCCGAAAGAATACACGGGTGTATAGGTATAACGCGCGCAATCGCAATGACACAACAGCATAATACGAGTACAATAACAACAATAATATTGTTATTATTATCTATTATTATTGTTATTATTATTATACACGGCAAATTGATGCAGTCGGGATTTTTTTTTTTTTTTTTTTTTTTTTTTTTTATGTTAGATATCTTTTATAAAATATTATTATCATGTGTTATACAATAATAATCATAATATTAGACGATATCGAACGATAGGAACACATAATACGTTTCATAGGAATAGTACGTATACGTAATACGTATGTACCGTATACCTACCTATACTATTATAAATATATTATATACCTACGGTATCACTTCTCTTTTTTTTTTTTTCTTTTCTTTTTTTTTTTAACTACAGTTTTATCTTATTTGTTTATGTTGTTGTTTGCACTTTGAATCATTACGTTTTGATACTTGTGTATAGTAAATCATAATAATAATAATAAATTTAAAAAAACTTAAGGAATAATATTTTATATCTGTGCAATAAAAACGAATTTAACGAATTGCTTTATATATTATGTTAATAAAATAATGTATTTATATTTTTAAAAAAAAAAAAAGACTACTGATAGGTTTTCCACTGTTTTAGGAGAGAAGCTAGAACGGAGGATATATATAGAGTAACATAATTTATATGTTTACACAACAGCTAACAAAAAAATAATTCTAACCAGAGTATTATTAATAGTAATTTTCCCTTGTTGCCAAGGTAACCTAGAAGTCGACGGAAATTGACCAAGTTTTTTCGATTTAATAAAAACACCACCTGAAAAATCAACAAAATACTTCCTCAATGCATCAACTAGATAAAAACACTACAATAAAGTTGCTATTAAGTTTTTGACCGACATTTCTGGTAGAAAAGTCGTTTACAAACACAAGGTAAAAAAACACATTATATAGTAAAAATAATACAATCCTACCGCTACGCTCGATATTATAATTCGCCACTAACATTAAAAAAACTCTTACGAAATAATATTTACTAATATTTACACACTTCTTCGCCTCCTCGGCATCATAAAGACAAATTTAATTTATTTAAAACGCTATTTTTTACATACGCTAATACAACACTAATTGATTTTGAACGATTTTAATAATTCGATTATTACTATTTTATAGGTTCGATCATTAATACCGTGTTTTTGTTTTTATTCTTTCAAACAAATAACAACAACAACAACAATAATAATAACGAATAACACCTAATCGAGATTATACAAATGTATGCCAATTGATAATATTTTTCACATATTATAGCACAGATGACGGCGACGGTCTTGTGGTGATAATTATATATTTTTCTTTCGTACATTTTGTATTCGCCATAAATAATAATACCGTGATGTAAAGCACGTCAGAGCCGGTAATAAATAGTATTCAACCAGAAGTATAAAACATAAATCGTTTGGGTGGCGGCGAACTGTTTCAAAAATCTCGGATACAGAAATCGTGTGTACATATAAATTATTTATTATATATATATGTGTGTGTGTGTGTGTGTGTGTGTGTTACGAGCAAAGTAGGAAATCCGGGCATTGTGGTACAATGCCCGGACAATTTAGTTAATTTGTTTATTACTCCAATTTCACCCACATTGACCATTGTACGAGAGCGCCCGGTCACTGTGCACGATGCCCGGAATCGAGTGGGCACATTTGTGTCGAATGGAATTTGTACGTATTACCCATACCGACATATCTATTTTATTCGTTTGATATCACGACTCGTGAAATACCTATTTAATTTAGGAACAAATATCTAATTTTTATTGTTATTAATTTTATTCGATATTTTAATGTACGCATGTAATAATAAATAAAAAAAAAACAATATAATACTTTATACCTACCTAGGATCTAACATTACATTTTATTAATAATTAAATAATTCAATGGATAATAGTTTTTAAAACTATTAATAGACACCTAATATTTGAGGCGTTTATTGCAAGTTTTTATGTTTATTGAAGTACTTAGTAAGGTTGTTTTATTTTATTTTTAATGCCCAAATCTAGTTGAACACTGTATACAATGCCCAGACAATGTATAATAATTTCAATTTTGCCCTTAAAAATTGGACAATGTCTGATTTCTTACTTTGCCCGTATATATCTATACATACTTTCTTTATAAATAATATTATTATATTGGAACATGAACAATTGTAGAGAAAATTCTTATCATTGACAAGTCAAATATTATAATAACTCGCCTTCCGAAATTCAATTATTGTATTATACACGATGGATCTGTCGGAATTTGTTGGGCACCGAAACATAAAAAATTTCGCATTTGCGTTGGGTAATGGAACACGATATTTTTTTTCAATATTATCAAGTATGTAACGTATGGGGTTACATTATCGAGTATACATAATATATTAGGCTATATTAACAAATATAATAAGGCACCTTGTCGGCCACGGCAAATAAGAACCGATAAGAAATATCAATCAGAATAGTCGGTAGAATTCAACGTATTTCCGATGAAAATCGAGCGGGCGACGTTGAATTTCGGAACTAGATCCATATCAATAAAAATATATTAGCGAACTTTTGAGATTCGAAATGTGCCTATACGTAAGTGGATTATCATTTTGATTGGACATCGTTGAACTTTGGGAGACACCCCGTGCCAGTGCACAAACATAACAAAAATATTATATAGTATACGGAAATAGTGCGTTTGACGGAATTGCAAAAAGTAAATTGATCACTTTCTATACGAATTGTTTTGTAAAATAAAACGCGTACGACACGCACACGGGTAATATACGATTTTATCGGAACGTACGGTAAAACGGGAATAGAAATAATATTTATTGAAGGCAAGAAAAAAAAAAACAAACGTATCTAAAGCACTCTACCTACACAATAATAAAGATGCTTGCGTTATTTTCGAAACGGGTTGGTATTATCGATTAAAGTGTCAAGACGCATAAATATCATGATATCGAAATAGTCGTGTATAGGTGTATTAATATAGTCTTTTCCGATCCGTTTATAAAATCGAGTCAAGGTCGCGGACGGATTGCGTCGATAAACTTCACACGACGGTAAGTAGATAAGTAACAGTTGGGTATAATTTATATCTTGGGTACCTTTGGTCAGTTCGTGGTAACCGGTTTTCACTTGCGAGAAGTTTCCTTTGCCCAGCTCTCCGCTCAGCTTGTACAGACCGATCCTTTTGCCCACGGCCGTGTCGGTTTGCCATTTTCGGTCGTTGTCCAAATTGTCGATCGCTTTCCGATACGCTAACAATAATAACGTTAACATTGTTAAATAACGCCGGTAAAAAAAAATAATAATAACAACACTAATAATAATGACGAAGAAGACCGCACGAAAAATAATGTCGGCGCGACAATCGGACAATAATAATAATAACGTTATGTTTTTGTGACATTTAACACGATATAATATCATACTGACGTGTTAGCTTCGCAGGAGACGCCTTCTCATCGGAAGACTCGCAGAAGGTCATCGTTGCAACGTCATCGCGCGTTTTCTGAAACAGATCGAAACGCACACAAACGATATTATAAAAATTACAACCGGCTGGCTACTGCTTAACAATAATCGTTATATTTTTTTTTTTATCGCCACCGCCCTTTTTCTCCCGTGTAATACGCGGTACGCACAAAACGCGCGTCGTACGAACGCGGCCGACACACTGCAGTGTTATGGGTCTCGCAGTAAATCTTCCCGGTACGATATCAAAACCGTCAAAATGTAAACAGACGAGTCCCATTGATGTAGACTATTATGACGCGGTGTTTTCATTTCCTGTTCCTATAAATAATGAATACCGACGGAATCGTTTGGTGCGTACACCACACACAATCGATCCTGCACGGTGCGTTATTATTGTGTAACGAACGCGCGGCGCGTAAAATATGATACGGTGCACAACGGTACGGCCGCGTATCGGCGCAACTGGACCGCCAACTTTGAGGGCGTTGAAACTATAGACACAGCACAGACCTATAGGGGCAACTTCGCAATCCCCTTTACACGGCGTTTTTAGTAAGAAACTATAGACATTAGCAATTTTTTTTACAAAAATGTATTATAACTTTTTCGACTTTTTTTTTTTTTTTCTTATACACATCGCGTGTCTGTAGGTAATCTGTATTTCGTTCTGCTTATTAATCATGAAATACACGGATAAAATATTTGATCCGTGCTATAAAACAGCTATTATCGGGTGCTTTTAGAGGTGCTAATTTTAAACTCGGGGGTGCAAAAGACCCCCCTAGTACACCCCCCCCCCCCACTAGTTACGGCTATGGGTACGGGGAAAAAGTGGCACTCGTAATCAACAGGACCCGACGCACGCGTCTTCTTTGTCACCGATTTATTGTTTCGTTTCCTTCGTCTGTCTCGAGCGTAATAATTGTGAATTTTTTTTAGAACGTCCGAGAAACGAGCGGCTTTAAAATGCGTTACATTCAAACGTTGCGCGTTTTTTGTTTATTTTTCAGAGCGAAACCGTCATTACCGCCCCACTTTGGATATTAAAATAGAAACAGGTGTTAAAAAAAGCTGTTCTAGGATAATGGGAATGGATGCAACCACTATTATAGCGGTGATTTAATGCATATATCTGTAAGCAACGATTAACCATTGCTATCGAAAAAACTATTCTAAATGAAGTTCGGTTGATAGCGGTGCTTTGTCAGCAATATAAATATATGTCATACTATGGTAAAATAATTACATATGCATTATATGTTTTCTTAAATAATAATTGTTTAATATTGTACCTATTTTCCCATTTTTCGGGAAAACTTTTGGAAAAATCAAAAAATAACCTCCTTAAAATATCTCTCTAGTCCGTTTTCGTCTCAGAAAAAGTGCTATCATTGAAAATCTATGCAAAATTGCCGATAGAAAAATTGTCCGCAAAACAAAAAAAATAATAATAAAAATAAATATCGTTGTAAAACCATAAGCTTCTTCGCGCCACTCAGAATCTAAAATCCATAAATAGATAAGGGTTTGTCTAATAAAATACATTATTTTAATGACATTTTTAATTCGGAGCTATATGTTTGTACTTTAAGTATTAATACAAAGTTGATACTTTCCGAGATAAAGAGTGTTTTACGTTATGCAAACCGCTCTGTATATAGCAACGAAAGCATTTCTGCAACACAGCCACTAGTGTGACTCATTTCTGTTTGAGTTTAGGACAAAGGGACTTGTTATATACACATTTTATAAAGAAGAGTATTCGCACTATATGGATCCTGCAAATGATTTGCTATAAATATCTTTCGTTTCTTCATTCATTATTAACGGTTCAAGTTAAGAAAAAAATTTAAACACGCGGAACTATCGATGAAAATGAAAATATTACAAAAATTATTTGAAAGATCAATGTATATTTTTTTTTCGTGAAAATGCATATTGGGTCCCATTGCCCTAAATTCAACCGGAAAGTAGCAATCGTGAAAATGTGAAATGCTTGTTATTGCCATATAAGTATTACGTGTGGGGCAAACACAGAAAACAAATGTTAGTGACGGAGGTCCCTTAATGGTTATCTAATGGTGTTTTCGTTAAAACATGGACAAAAATAAAAAAATTAAACAATTATAACACAATATTATGTAGTATTCGTAATATACATGTCGGGCATTTCCATTAAGTCCGTTATAGACTGCAGTTCAAACTAAATGCGTACAATTATAATATAGTTACATCGAATAATTACTAAACATTTTTGAGATTCTGAACACAGCGGGGAATGTATATTGGTTTTTACCATGACACGCGGGCTTTTATTATCATAGTTGTTTTCATTTTTTTTCTACCAGAAATTTGCTAAAAAAACAAAAACGGCAAAAGGTATTTTTTGTAGCAAAATTTTTGTCTAGCACTATAGTTGGTACATGAGGTCATTTTTTAAAAAATGTTTAACTTTGTTGTTTTTCTTAATAGCCGGGAAAATGTATGCAATATTTTTATTTTTATTTTTTATACGCGTTTAATGTTTTAGTTTTAATGAAAATTGTCAAATTTACATTTTAAAACACGTTTAACCAAAGTTCGCTCAGATGCGTTTTTCGCTTTCAATTTTTTATCGTCGCCTAAAGACGGTAATCCGAATTTTGAACAGCCAACGTCAGCATATGGTTCTATTGTTCTAAACCCCATCTCCTCCCGTCAGAAAATATCAACACATTACGCAGCCCTCTTCTGCATAGATGATTACGTAATACTTACCCATCAGATGGCCATATAGAGATCACGATAATATACAATAATATAACATAATATATAACTAACTAACATCTGTTCTCGTCAATTAATATACATTGCCCTGATGTTTTTTTGTATAATGTTGTCATCGTGGGGGGAAAAAATGTAACCTTTTATAATTCCTCAAAATTAATTGGTTAGTTAAAAGCAAAATATAATAATTCTAAGTGTAATATATTATAATATATAGGTATCTACGTAAAAAACTCACATCATTTCAAAATTGCTGAATCGATATAGCCGTGAGTATTCTATTTTGTTATTTGTATTTATTATGCGAAGACGCGAAGACGATATTATGTTTTTTAAATTCTGTGTACAGATAAGAGGCATTTTGAAAAACTTAAACCACATACAAAATACAAGAGATAAAATAGTTGACATATTTTAATTGTTCAGCCCGAAGTTTTTGTACAAGCACATAGCTCGATTGTCATCTGTTTTGTTTTATGAACACATAATTACTATGACATAAAATATCTATTTTTTCCTTCTGTAATTATTTTAAAATTCAAAAAAAAAAATGTTAAAAGAAAACTTATGTTTGTCTCTTCAAAACATATGAGCCATTTTTTTCAATTATTTATAGACATTGTTATATTGCGAGTTTTTTTACGTAATTTGTATTTGGTAGGTACTCTGTGGATATAATTGTTAGACTAAACAGAAATGCTTGAAAATTTAACAAAAGATTTATTATAAGTCGTAAATTATGGTAAAAAAAAAAAATTAGTTTAATGTAATGTATATATATATATATATATTTTTTTTATAAAAATTTTAATAAACAATTTTGACGAAAATATAATTATTATAGCCTTTTAAAACATATATCACCGACCTTCACTCAGAATTAATTTTCGTCAGCAATGGTTTATCGTTGCATGTAAATATAATTTAAATTCCCTTCTATATTCTATACCTTCCCAACTTCTCACATACAACAGTGGTCCACCCATCGTGCGAAGTCTGTCCGTCTTTTTAATTTTTTTTTTTCTCTCTGTAAATAACTTTTTGAACAGAAAACTTGTTTCAATCGAAAAATGATAAAAGAACTTTTTTAATGCATTTTGGATCTATTTGGTGAGTAAGAAAACCGTTGTTTTGACATATATAGCTGTATATTTTTTATAAGTTTTTACATAGAACCTGCGTTAAGTCCTCAATATCGTGAATGATGTTTTTGTTTTTGTTTTTTTTTTTTTTTGAATATACAAACCGAGTAGATTTCCACTTTATGCTTCGGAATATTTAGAATTATATATATACAACAAACGAAACGTAGATTTAATCAAATTTTGGGACGACTATAGTTAGTAAAAGTAGTATTATGATCACTATTAATAATTCGTCCTTGAGTAGCTTATATTGAGTCAAAAAAATGTTACATTCGACATCAAACGATAATAATAACATTGTAATATTCAAAAAACAAATAGTTATAAACACGAAATATTATTCGAAATTTTATATCTACAGAAATTAAGACCTACATTTATTCACCCTAACGTTAATTGTTACAAGTTGATCGTATTATTTTATCTTTACTCGTGCATTCGTTTTATCTAAGGTTATTATAATAAAGGTTTTGTATCCGCACAGTATTAACATTTTCGTGTTCTGTGTGTTTTAATTGATTACATATATGTAGGTACCTACGAACTAAAACATATATCATATTTAGAATTCGAATGAGAAATTATAGTTTTATAAGAAAATGTATTGTATAAACCAGTGGTGACCAACCTTTTTTTTTACAGAGGGCCATAGAAAATAAGTAATAATTGTTGGCAGACAAAGAATGTAGACTTTTGCTTTTAAGTATTTTATTGTAGATACGTCTTAATATATGTACCGCTGTACCTAATTGATTGCTATAAATGAGAAAAAAATAAATTAAAAGTATAAACATATCTATACATCCATATAAACAGTTTACGCACGGTTACTCTTAAATACTCGTGCGTATACACGAGTAGATTACATTGGTTTATTATAATAGCTTATTAGTCCTATTATTGCTCTACCGACAGGTTTATTATACTGCTAAAATTTTAGCAAATCGCAGTGTTGAAAAACGCGAAAAAGTGTATAGGTTACCTACTTGTAAATTGTGTATATAATACAGCTCAATTATCCAATACTTCTCGTGCTCAATTTTTTCAAAAAAAGAAATCAATAAAGGAACGTGTCTCCCTGTTTCCATCACCCTTATCCCTATTACAGTTCAGCGCTGTTGCCCGGATACTTTCTTGTCTATGACGATCCAATTAAATAAAATAGATTTATTTTTTTCATCTGCGTCGCCCAGGTAACCAATCATAAGTCAACAAAAATACTACAGTTTTCATTCCAAAAATCTCAGCTACCCTCAGATTTCAAGATAAAAGTATAACCAGTTATTTTCTACTCGTTTCGAACGCAAGGCGTGCAGATAGTTTCGTCAATATCGGAATATAACTGTAGATTTGTATGGCCGACCGACAGAGACACAGAACTTAAATTTTATAATAAGATACCCGTAGATACTCGTTATGTGTTTACGTTTTAACATCATACACTGTGAATAAAAGTGCGCAGATTAGTTACGCCTACCTAATTAACATAAATTCGATTTGAATCCTTTACAGCCGATTATTTATACGTTTTAAAAAAATATCCTATTTTAAATGTTTACGTGACGGCGGGAGGTAGTAGCAGGGTACTTACGACAACAGGTTTTTTCCAGCAAAATTTCGGCATTTTATCGCGATTCGCTATATTCTGTAATAGTCCGTTTGAGTGAAACGTTTCGTTTAATTCAATACAAGCTATTGCCGGGAACTAAAATAAACAAATAAAAACTAAACGAAACGACGTCTCGGGTAAATCGAATTTGACGTACAGTTCGATCATCGCGGATCTAATGTGTGCTCGTGTCTGCGCGCGTAGGTATTATATTTATGTGCGTGCGCCGTGCCGCGCTTACTTTTAGCCGATACCCGAGACAACTGAAAAAAGACTAAACGGTCCGAATCGGATTGTACTGTGAGAGATGATAAGAATGACATTATCATGCACGTTTTGTTACACTTTGAGTCCTGTCTTATCTCTGCGCGCTCGTATAGTCGTAATACTACAGCTAATGACCCACGTGTGGTACATCGGGTATAACTATACACTGCCGCTACTGGTAATCGTTCGCCTGCTATTTTTACTCCAATATTAATTATGCATATGTCTGTATATATATATGCATAACGTGTGGTTCATCGATAATTGAGATAAATGATATTGTTACGATAAATACAAGCGAACAATGGTCGTCGACAAACCACGTTCTCCTCCCGTAATATTATTATGATACGGGTGTCGATAACTCCCGCCTATTTAAGATAAGCACCTCGCTGTTATGACGTTACGGCCATGACCGGTGATTGAACATCATTATTTATTGTAATATATTATTATCGTACAGTAATATCATATCGGACGAGAATAAAGTCGTTTTAGATCATCATACCGTACCCAATAATATGTATATTAGTATACGTGTGGATGTATAAAGGCTGATATAGCCGATGTTTGTGGCACCGGTGTAGGAAGGAAGTTGGAAGTGACTATAAATAGAGTAATTTAATATACATATATCGGCGCGCAACAGTAAACCGTTCCTAGCGAAAAACGATTCTGTACAGAATACTATTAGTCGTATTCGTTTCCTTGTTGCCTGGGTAACTCAGAAAACAATAAGAATAAATTGTACAAGCACATTACCAGTTTTTTTCTATTTATTAAGAAAACCACAAGAAAAATGAAAAAGATGCCCTTCAGTACACCAACTAATATCAAAAATACTACAAGAAAGTTCCTATAAAGTATTCGATTGTAACAAGGTTTCTGATAGAAAAGTTGGTAGAGTCTGGTTGATATTGATGTTTTGTCAACAATATACATGTCGTTTTAAGGTAAAATAACTAAATCAACATCATATGTTATCTTTAATAATATTTGTTTAGTATTGTACCGAATTTCCCGTCTTTTCCATTTGTTGAGAAAAATCCTGGGAAAATCAAAAAATGAACTGCTTAAAGTACCTCCCCAATCAGATTTCCTTTTAGCAAAGGTGCTACATGTAAAAATCGGAGCAAGATTTCTGATAGAAAAGTTGTCCACAGAAAAAAAAAACACTTTTGTAAAACCATAAGCTTCTTCGCTCCACTCAGAATCTAAAAAAACTTAGGTACCTACAGTAAACCTACCAACATATTTCTCACATAGCTCAGAATCCAAGTGCCGGACATATTTCGCAACATATGTGTAGGCCACTATTATAGGTGTGGGCAATTTAGAAGGTATAGAATAATAATTAAGTTTATAAAATATCACTGATGACAAATCATTACAATCAATAAACGATTCTGAACGAATATTGGTAAATTTCTGGTAAGGTTATAATATTATAGTCATAGGTTTCTCTCTCGTAGCCAACGTTAAACGACCCTAAAGAAATTAACAAAAATAAAACCGACGTATATCGTTATAATTGATGTCGGTTTTAATACTTAAATACTCGTTAAGTACCACCAAACGGAAATCTCACATATTTTAACGTATTTCAATTTAAATAAATAAATCGGATCATTTTTCGCGCTAAAAGTATGTGAAAAAAAAAACACACAAAAGAGCAATTTGTCGAAAAAATTATATTTTGAAATATTGTCCGAATATTACAAAGTGTTTTCCGAGAAAAAAAAACCATCTTAGTAAAACTAAAACACTTATTCGCTATACTCAGAATCTAAAATAGTCTAATATATTGTACACACTGTTTTTTGTTTGTTTTTTTTTTTTTTTTAATTATAAATTGTTTTCATTATCACAGTTACCTATATAATATCGTTTTAATGAGTTTTTGCGTGCAAAGGCCAAATTTCAAATAAATAAATTTGAATCAATGACATTGATAATTATACTGTTTAAAAACAAAAAAAAAAAAACGTTCGACGATGTTGAACATGTTGAACACACGACAAGTTTTGTTTAATGAAAATATATTATATAATTAAAATTTGCTGGTACACAAAATTAATGTTTATAATTCAGTTATGATAGTTTAATATACATACGCATTATAATTTAATTTTCAATGAAATTTCGTGAAATATTTTATTTAGTTATACAGACGTAAATATTTTAGTTAGAAATATGTTTTTGAACGATAATTTAATTTAAGTTTGATTTAAGTTCGATCACTTTAAAACAAGTAGAATAATTTATATAGGTAAATAATAATATACATAAAAGTAATTTAGTTCGAACTTTTAAAGTAATTACTACGTATAGCGCTGAGTTCGATAAATAATTTCGCGAACAATTCGAAATCGCAATATTTGTACGCTTATTTAAAAATGTTATTATTTTTTTCAATTATCTGTCGGGGAATTTACCGTTCCAAAAAAAAAAAAAAAAAATTGTTATTCGAGAAAAAATACATACCATCGCGTTCTCTCACTGACGAAAAATCCAACTAATAACAAACAAAACAAACAGTATACAAACAGGTATCTAATTATACTATGTGTATATTGTATACTGTATAGTAATAAATACTTAATTAAATCCTTGAAAAAAGAATGCGTCCCGTCAAAAGTCGACCTTTTTCGTACAGTTTATCACGCCAAAGTTAATAAAACAAACAAGAGTTTGTTTCATTTGAGATTCATTAGTTTTAGTATGCATTGTGTGCAACACAGTTGTGTAACAAAGCGTGGGTATTTTGGTAGTTCTCCAAAGTGTCACATATATGCAATATATATAAATAAAATAATAGTAAAATAGAGAAACGGAGCGAGTGAATAGAGACTGCGATGAATAACGTCGTGCAAAAGAAAACTTTGGTTTTTACTCGTTTTTCCCGCAAAACAATATTCTACACACTCGTCACGCCGATAGTCCTCCGCCGCCGATTTTGTTTACGTATTAATTCGGTATCAGGCGATCTAATATTTTATTGTTTCGCAAGGATATAATATATGAATTGTAAATATTGGATTTAAAGCGGTTGAAAGCGATAGACGCGCGTACGTCTCGATTTCAGACCAATAATAAGCTGGAAGAATACGAACGCACTACTAGTGAGTAGTCCGATTTCTGATTCGGAAAATTATTTCACTCCATTTATTAAGTTTTTACTTTTTCCATGATAAATATTTTCATTATTTTTTTTTTTTTTACTCTCAGCGGAGCACGACATATATCAGTTTTACTATGTGGTTTTTTTTTTTTCTTGTCCAAAGAATTCAAACAAATTTTTAAAATTAAAATTGCACTAGCGGCAATGGGTGAATTTTACTCCCGTAGCTTGTTAGTTTAGCTATAGACCGTCATATCCGTCCTAAAAACGGCCCTTTCTCCTTACATGGGTCAGGGGGCAGTAGATTAGTGGAAAATACGTATCAAGATACTAAGATACTCATAAGACTCGGGTATAAAGTAATTTTACAATTTTACAAAATCGGGAAAAATTTGAAGAACTGTTTCCAACGCTCTTAATTGAAAATTGTTGTGAAATTCAACGATGCATACATGTAATTATAATATAATTTCCTACACTATTATTTGTTCTTGAATAACTAATAATTTTTTTTTATTTTGTGATCTGTAATAGAAATGTATGTAGTTAATAGTTTTATTAGATTTGTAAAAAAAAAAAAAACCCTCGTTCAAATTAAAACAGACGTATAATAAAGAAAAGTCATATTTTTTATTTATTTTTTTTTTTTTTTTACGAAACCTTGAATTATTGAACTGTCAATATTGTATTTTTGGTGTTTACTTTTTAAATATTAATAATACTCATCCACATATTATACGAAAAATGATTGAAAAAATAATAAATACTAAAATTTGCCACCACCATCGTCAAAACCAATTTATTCTTTCTATATACTAATGTTATATAATATTTATGGGCATATACCTATGTGTACATATATAATATTAAGTTTTCTATTTCAAATTTAGAAACAAAGTTTTTAATTAAAAAAAAAACAACAAACAAAAAAAAAATAGTTATAATACGACAGAAAACCTTTTGCTTTGTTTTCGTTTTATTTATTTTTTTTTAATACCATCCGGGAGGCGAGTCGTTTTATTCACGAGTTGACCCAATTTCGAGATTAAACTTCGTATAAATTCCAAAATTTCAAGCCGAATAAAACCGTACACAAACTTAAATTACGGTCACTTAATTTTTTTTTTTTTTTTTATTCTTCGGCGATACCGAAAATTGTTCGATGTACGTATTATAACAGTATAAATTATCAATTATTATTATCGATTTCGGTCAAAACGTCGTCGTTTCAAACAATAAAAGTCTACTTTGTATCCTGATTGATTTAATAAATTACTTTTTGATTGGAACTATACATCATCAATCATAAAAAATAAATATATATATATACAATTAATTGAAAAATACAGACTATAATATATACGCTGCAAATGGTTAATTGACTTGAACTCAACGACAAACCCACGTTATAATATATAAAACATCGATTTTTACTTTTATTAAATTTCATTGAAAAACATCGTAATTACCAATTTATATTAATATAATAGTTGACAAACAGGTATCTAATAAATCGTAAAACTGTTGTTTTAATTAATCTGTTGAAAAATTACATTTTGATAAGATGAGACTTTGATAAGAATTATTTTTACAGTAAAATAAAACGGTTCCGATGATACGTTATTTTCAGAACAATATGTAAATACGTAATTTTAGTTTTTTCTCCGGGAAAGTACAGGGTCATACCTTATGTAGTAGCAAATAAATTATTAGATGTTGAATGTATTAGTGATATATTTCGTTCGATTAGTTCAATTAGATTCAATTTACTATAAGACGTGGCATTTGTGTGTTATTGTTCCCGGAAAACACTTTTTTATTTTATTACAATGCTCGGACTCCGTATACAGAATCTTAAAAGATGCGACATTGTCCACCCACGGTTGTGTAGCTATACTTTAATTAATAAATGTTTTTAGAACCCCGCGAACAAGTTTTCTTAAACATTAAAAAAAAAAAACACCCCGTTATCGAATGTCGGTATATGTCGATTTTGTCGCGGTTATTTTAACAGAGGAAGGTTTTCACTTTTTTACCGATTTATCGATTTCCGTTCAGATACCCTATGTCTAATAAATGGCTTCCAAACTTCTGAACTACAACAGTGGTAGACTCACGGTGCAATAAGTAGGTATGTAGGTACCTGGTTTTTTTTTTTTTTTGTTTTAAAGTATACAACACTTTTAGAACAAAACTGTCATAAGACTAAATTTGTCACTTTTGCGTTTAATATACCCACAGAATCACAACATTTTTCTCTACAAAATGTTAAACCACCACAACTCATGACAAAATTCAGCGTCACAGATTTGCGGCGGTTTAAAATATTTTCGTTTTTATCATTTTACTTAACGTAAAACTACCGCATTAAATCATATTTAATCATGTTTTTAAGATTAAAACCTGCCATAATTTTGTTTGTGGCGGTTTACGGTTTTGTTTATGTGGCATTATTACAATAAAGTAATATCACAAAAACAGATATTTTACATCTTATAATAATATACTTTTTTTTTTTTTTTTTGCAGCACAATGTAAAACTGCACTAAATCAAATTATGACACTATTATATTATGATGTAATATAATATTAAAAACCGTTATAAAGATAAATTCTGCTGATTAAAAAATATATTAATATCACGATATACATCCTACCAGTTTAAGGTACGGATATAATAATGTTGAATAAATATTTTTCATCTACGGCTGAAATAAATTGAATATTATATTCTTTTTTCAAATTTTAAATTTAAAAATCTTTTCTCAAAACTATGTACAGATTTAAAGAAGAGGCTGTCTCGCTCCAAAGATAAGTGTGTTTATCGTGGGGCTGGTGGTATTTTCGGTATACCGAAAAAATACCGCTGGTTGAAACTACTGGTATACCGGAAAAATACCGGCAGTTGAAACTGCTGGTAAAATAACAGGTAGTTGGTAAATCTGCAGTAGTACCGTAGTTTAAGTATTTATGGTAATTACTGTATTAAAGGTATTACAATAATAATTACTATACTGTTAGTCACTAGTTATCAGGTTATCTATTTCATTGAATCGAATACCTTATTATAATACCTTGATCCTTATATTTTAGAATAAATTGAGCTTATCTCTTCTTACTTATTAAGATGATACTTAGTGTGAACTCGTATTAGTAACAGGTTAGGCTAAACAGATCGAAATATGTTTTTTTCTCAAAAAACATCTTTTCGTTAGTGAATCAGTAAACGTACATTAATTTTTCAAAAAATAACTTAAAAGATATGGATTTTCCGTTTGGTTGTATTTTATTTGACGTTTTTTTCCAGACTTTTAGGTCATGATGTTATGAGTAAAGTAAAAAAAAACAGATTATACTGGGGATGGGTGATACTGCGTTTCCATGACAGCAATGATTGTTTAAATAAGATTAAAATAATGAAAACTAAATAATAACAAAAAATAAATAAAAACGGTTGCCAATGACAATCTTTCAATATGTTTAACCTAAAGAACCAACTTTTCTCATTATCTCGAGTATGAATGATAACTTGCAAAAATGACTTTTTTAAAGTAGATGCCAACTAAAGCCAAAATGTAACAAAAAAGGTCTCCTGTCATGTTTTAATTGGAGCAAGGTTTCTAGGAGAAAGGTTATTTGCAGACAGAAAAATGAAATAAAAAAAAATAACAATAAATACACCAGAGTAAAACCAATAGGTCACCCTAGCTTTACTTATGACCTAAAAAATTTGAAATGCTTGACGAGTCGAGCTCCACTAAGTGTTGTTTTTCAATTGCTTGAAATGTTTTTTTTTTTTTTTCCGCCAACGGTAATCGAACTAAACGCCTGTTGTCAATGCCTGTTTTTCCATCAAAGGTCCACTCGAAACAGTGGTCCTCCCACGGTGCGGAGTTTAATTGTTATTGGATTTTAATTGGCCACAAATACGATTGGATTGGCGAGCGCCGGTGATACGGTTATCGCCGTCAATATCAAATACTCGCGGCAGACCGTTTAGTCTAACCGGTTGACCGTAAGCATACCAAGCGCCGGCATTGAAATGTTCGAGTACCTAGTTTGTCGTTGACAGTCCCGTCTACTACACGCGTTGAAAAACGTCTCCGTTAATTATTGCTCGACATAGTGCACGCACGCGCACGCGCACATTATAACGTACCGCACGGTTTACGGAGACGAGGAGGATTGTTATTTTGTATTGTCTACGCGCGCAACGATTACGTATAGCGGCCCGGACACGCGAGAGAGACGGAACAGAACGCACGACGCACACGCGTGCGTTTATGCGCTACCGGATGCGTAAAGGGATAACGAAACGATATTACCGAGTTGCCCGTCTAGTCCCCGTGCGCGCATCACGATGATTTTCGTTCGCGCGCAACAATAGCGTGCGCACGATCAATTATAATTCCCGTCTGCCGACCTCTTCCGGCCGACGACTATTTCGAATCCCGCTGTCGGGGGCTACGCCGCGGCGCAGTTCGTCCCAATAATATAATATTAACAAAAGCCCCGCGGGACGCGATAACGTGCGCCGCATCACGGCGAGTAATCAAACACCGTTCGGACCCGAACGCGTTTTACGTGTAAACACGCGTACGGAAAAAAACAAACGAATAAACGTAAATTATTTCGCGTACAAAATGGTTTTTTTTTTTTTTTCTACCGCCCGCGGTTGAACATCCGATCTATCCGTACGGATTTTGACAAAAATCCCTTGAGTACGTTGTGTCACTTTCGCCTACGTTGAAACAAACATCGACGAACGGCATTGTGCCGGTTTATAATAATCGCAGGTTACTATGCCCGCTATGTCAATAGTAACACAATTATTGCGGCGAGATATAATTTCTTATATTTTTACACGATATACATATTTCGCATCATTGCAATATTGTACACCTACATAATGAATTTGCATATTTCAACTCTGTTCTCCCGATTATGATTAATTTTTACTACTGTCACCGTCGCCGTACGTATTTAAGCGCATAGACATTATACGCGATAAATTCATGCACGTTTGTGTGTATATATGTAATATGCGTGTGCGTGTGTGTGTGTGCGTGTGTGCGTCGAGTAATTAAACATTTACGACAAAGTGCATTTAATATTATAAAATTAATGTCGTGCCGCGTGCAGTGTACACAGAAAACACGTCTATACGCGCCAAAAAAAAGAAACGCATCGCTGGGAATATTCCGAAAAGGCCTCTTGAATAAACATCATTTATCATGTTTTGAACAAACAAAAATATTAGATTTTCGAATAATATAGTCGTCGAACAGAATACCTGTATATAAATATTGTACCACACCTGCAGTGTTTCCCAGCCCGACTATTTTGCATATATAAATAAAATTATCTCTATGGGCCGACGGTGGCTATAAACTAGAGGCATGCGTATACAGTAAGTAGGTTAGATGTAATTTTTCTAAATTCGAATCGGATATTATACTATTACTAGCTGATGTACCCGATATTTCCCAGGCTTACCTTTATCCCTGGCGCAGTAAATCGTTGCTGCCCGGTAATTTATCTTTTAAATAGGGCACTGTTCCCTTGTCCGTGACAACTAAATTAAATAATAATAACTGTTTTTTTTTTTTTTTTTACATCCGTATCGTCAAGGTTACCCGTAAATCGACAAAAAAAATGTAATTCTCGTTCCAAAATTACCAAAAACCCTGTATCAGCCACTCTCTAGTGGTTAAATTACGAGATAAAAGTGATTGTTAACGGTTTTCTTCTTATTTTGAACGTCAAATGTGCAAATTTTCATCAAGATCGAAATAAAACTTACCTAAATTTGTATTTACACAAAAAAAAAAAAGGTATGTTTAGTTGAAAATTTGTTAATAATAAATTTTGCATCGTCCGGATTACAACGCCGGTTGGAAACTACTGCAGTTATATTCAAAAATGCGAGAGAATGTCTCGTATTACAGCATTACTATAATGTATATTAATATATTAAGTAATAAGTTTAAGTACTTTTTATAATTCATGGATCCCTAGGATCTCTTGGATATCCATAGGTTTTTGAACACGGCATAATTATCATTTAAAAAGATCATTTTCCCGATTTCCTTGGTCTCGACAAATTTACAAAAAACTGCGTTGAGCGTCGAAATCACAAAATTCTGCGTAGAATATAGCGAATATTTTATTCCTCACCGCATTCTTCTCTCCCCCCCCTCTCGAAAAAAAATGACCTATCATAATTAAGTATAGATCAAAATCCGTATGCGTATCTACGTGGTTTTTATATACTTATAATAATTGTGGACAGGATTCGAATGTCATCAAACTGTTTGGTAGTTCAAAAACTATTCGGCAATAGAAAAAAAAAATTCGTACATTTTTTCAAAGTGTTGGATAGTTTTTCCGAAACAAAATATTCGATCATAGTAACAGGTATTCGAATAAAACAGTTTATCATATCAACTATCGATGGTATAAACTATTCGGAAGTCCCGCCCGTTAATATGTAAGTGCCGTGTATGTTTTTCTTTTAACAACAAAAAGCGCATCGATACCTATGAGTACAGTATAAGATCGTACAAGATACTAGTGCATTATATATTATTGTGTGGTCGCAATCGATCATTTGAAAAACAAAAACAAAAACCATAACGTTTTTTTTTTTTTTTTTTTTTTATATTTTTTATTCTTTATCGTAGGTATACACATTGTCTATTTAATTGTTAGACCTGCAATCTCGCCGCGAGCATAATAAACGATAATCTGACAAGACGATTGCACGTAAAATGTATACGATACACGAGTAGGAAATACATGTAATGTTCACGCCAAGTTTTGGCATACACGCCGTCCGCGAATTGTTATTACACCGACATGTCGAATCCGTCGGATTTGTATATTTCACGGAAATTCGGGAAAATTTTTTGTTTTTTTTTTTTATTCTATAATATACTCTCTCCCCGCACCCTCACTACTGCAACGCAGTCGATTATTAATAACGTTATTTTACCTCGTCGTCAATATCAGTTAATAACGTTCTCTAATTGCCGTTTGGCAGAGGAATTAAGTACGACTCACGTATCGTATTATATAGCTCGTACATTATTGTTATTATATTTTATAAAATATCGTCTCGAAAATCACGTACTTTAATTTCATTAAACTCTGCAAAAAAAAAAAAATAATAATAATAATAATAATACTACGTTTCCAACGTAATATCATTGTATTACGTAGGATATTGTTTTCTGCGAATATTCGTTTATAAAATATATTCGTTCGATCGTAGCCATTTTCCTCTAAAAATGAGAAAGGCCGATACTGTCGCTCAGTCACTGTTATAGGCGGAGATTTATAAGGAAGGATGTATACCATTGCTAACGAAATCGGTTCTGAGCAGAGTAATCATTAAAAACTATACGAAAAATACCAGTTTTTCCATTTAATAAAAAAACTAAAAGAAAAAAAAAGCCTCTCTCAGTACACCAACTAGATCAACAATTCTATAGGAAAGTTCCTATAAAGTTTTTCGCCGATTCGAGATTTTTGATAGAGAAGTTGTTTACAAATATATAAAAAAAACAACGCATCATAGTAAAACCAATACGTTCCTCACTTCGTTTAGAATTTACTACAGTTTTCCTCCACCAATACCAATTCTTCCCGATAATCAAAAAGCAAACATAGACTAATCTAGACCATTTGTTTCCATAAAAATAATGAGAAATTGTTACTATTTTAGTTATAATTTAAATTCCTTGTTGTATAATATCTACATTTCATACTGTGACCAAAAAAATTCTTAAAATTTTATTATATTCAAGCCATAATACTTATATACCTATTAATCAATTAATAAGTTTAAAAAAATCAAGTCAATATTAACTGCGGTACACAATGGTTAAGACGGTTAGTTCAGGCAGAAAATAGGAATTTTCGGAATTTTTTTTTTATTGAATTAATTTTAATTATATTGGAGAAAAATTTTAAAAAAAATGTTTACCCTGTAGAGAAATATTCGGAGAAAAATGGATAGTAGGAATCTTATTTTTTCCTTTCAGAAAAATGGACAGTGGAGGAAAACAGATATACCGTTATCTCGTTTTCAGTGGAAAATGATCCCGTCCGTTCATTTAACCTAAACTTAAAACGGATACACGACCGTAGCTCCCGAGATATAAAATTTAACCTTATTCAATATATTATTGTAAGGGTGCAGACGTTCAATTTTGTTTCGGTTTACCGTATTTGGATACTCCGTATTCGTTCATCATTATACCTTTGGTCTTAGAGATAAAGAAAAGCTTAAGTCAATTATGTAGCTCTTAATACTACCCAATTAAATTTTGAAAACGCATACACTTTTACGTAAACTAATGCTCCCTATTTCACGTGTACACGCTTTCACGTATTCACGTGAAATTAACATTTTATTCTATAAAACCGTGTGCTTAAAATATCAGTGTACACGTGAAATTATTCACATGTACACAATATATTACGAGTATTTTACGTTATTATTGACGTGTTTTCGCTACTTATTCACATGAATAGCACTAAAACACTTAAACACGGATAGTTAATTCATGTGTAATAAGTAATACATAAGCGAAAATTTGCTATTCATAATATGTACACGGAATCCGTTTCCACGTAATTATTAATTTAGTTTTTCAATAGAGGCCTCTAAACATAAGTTAATACACTACATACACGTTTTTTCGAAGGTACAATACAGACATGTATTGGAATAAATTGCTTTAAACAGTTATTTACTATGATTCTCATATTTTTGCGGTACAGATATTAATTAAATTTAAATTTAAATTAATTAAAATTCCAATAAACTCTGGAATAGACATTTATTTTTAATTGTAAATAGTTTAGCTATACAGACATTTGAAGGCATTACAATACTTTGAACAGCCATTTATCGGAATTCAAACATATGTAACAGACACGCATTGGAGTTCAAAAATTCCGTAAAATTTTGGTTCAAAACAATGGTCGTTCAGCACTATTAATTCCATTCTTTGTATGTTCAAAGTCGTTTAAATCCATAAAATGTCTGGTCCAAATAATGTTTTTTTTTTAAATATTTTGTTAATTAAATTTTTTATACACGTTGAAAACCACATCATTTCATATATTCTCATTCCATATAAAATGTATGTTCCAGCTAAAATATATCCCAATACAATATAGGCGACCCTTCCTGCAATAAATACACCTTTTAATCCTTTTATAAGTACATCGTCCGTCAAGGCCAACAATATTCGTTCCCGGAATAAAAATCTCGCAATGCGCAGGAATCGTTTGATCAGCGACAACACAATATGATATGAACGAGATTTTGTTATTCAGCATCGATATTTCGCAGAGTCTTCTGTAACTTCGAATTAATTAATTCCAGCTAACGTTATTGTGTTATATAAATATGACGGAAGCGTCATCGGGTGCAAATATTCTTACTGAATAAAATACAGAGTGATTTTTTTTATCATGAACCGACAATTTTCCCGGAGGATTTTAAGTGAATTCGATTTCTTTTTTTTCTTTTTTGTTACTATTATGGAATCATTTAGGCTTTTTTTTAAAATAACCTACTAAATAACCGTTTAAAGTTTAAGCCAAAGGAGTAGGGAAGAGTTATCAATGTACCATTCGAAAATAAATACACAATTTGTCACTCTTCCCTATTCATCCAGTTTTCCAACTATAATAATGATAACAGTAAAATGCCATCAATTTTGTGTCTATATGTTTTAATTAGAACTATTTTGTTCAAATGCCATATAATAATACAATCTATGAATATGATAATATATTTTATCAAATATCGTAACGGAGAAACCGTTTGCTTGATAGCTATTTTTGGACAATGGGTGACATCCATAGATAATACATTTGTTATTTATGTCCATCCATTATTGATTATCTATTGTCACATCAAAAAGCTCTACATCCATTATAGATATGTGCTGCGACGGACTGATAATAATATATTACTGTTATATTATCATTACTTTCATGCGTTCAATGTAAACTTTTATCGGCCCAACCGTGAGATTAATTTTGGGACTGTCGACTGTCGAGGTACTCGTTACTCAGTCAAGTGTCCGTGTTCACCTATTGCGTTTACATACTATTTTATTAAATATTAGGTACATATTAAAATGTTTTAATTGCGTGTAAAATATAAAACATGTTTGTTTCGTTTTAGAATGGTTATTGTGACGCATAAATAATTGAAAAATGGCATTTGGTGGTACAGGGGCGTGGCCCCCACGGGTTATTTTTCGTTACGTAATTTTAGCACTCCCAATATTTGGGCTTTAGTTGTGCCTATGGGTGCACCAACCAATCGAAATGGTTGATGGACCAAAGCGAGGAAAACATAATGTAATGTAAGAGTCACACCGTAACTTCAAATTATTAGTTGTAAATTCAGCCTCCAAAACTCTATTAAGTATAATATAAATAAAACCTTTATGTACAATAAGTATTGTACACAATACCATCAAACGACTGCACACCTATATGGTGTGTACGTCTGCACGTCGTGTCATATCACACACATGCAATTAATAATTAATACCTACGTGCGTCCCTGTTGTAAGGACGCTTACAAATAATTGGTCCAATGAAATATAAATTGGTCGTGGCGGTCATACAAGTACGAAGTCTACTCTCTCGGAAATGCAAAATAATCGTTTAAAACGATTTAAAGAGGTGTACGAGTAGTGTAAAGTCTTGTCTATAATAATAATATTATTATTATGCTTCGTGCATGTACATTGTACGTGTGTGTGTTGTGTGTAGTCTGTGGCTCCGCGGCTACCGGTTTCATCGACTCGCACGCGATTTACAAAATTGTTATTATTATTATTATAGTATATTAGCCATTAAGTATATATTATTAAAAGCGTAAACTCATCGTCACTCCGTAAAAAAAAAAAAAAACAACAACATTTTTTACAAACTCGATTAAAATTGTATTTTATAAATATTATAAACTGCGATTACATGCACTATGCACTCACTAATATGCAATAAACGTAAATTATAATATGATAGATGTATCATATAATTGGGCCATACAAATGGTAAAATAAACAAAGTTGATTCGTATTAGTGTGCGTCTTTATAACATGCATTTATCGTCATCTCAAATATTAAATTCGTGTAAAACAAAATACGTACAATTTATCTATTACGCTAATATTATATAGAAAAAAGATTTGTTTTTATGTTCGTAATGGATAAGCTCAAAAACCGAATTGACCGATTTTAAAACTTCTTTCGTCTAGAAAAACTACATTGTCAGCGAGTAACGTGTGCTGTATTTTAGTTTTAAAACAAATTGTAAATCCCTACGAAAATTGCGGTAATTATAGATTTTTAGGTATTTTCTATACGAATATCTAATTGTTTATTCATGGTCGAACCTTGGTGATATGGATGACAATTTGGTTGTCACGAACAAGAAAACTATTATTATTATTATTACTATTTACACTGTTATCTAGCAATAGTAAAGCATTGTCGGGCCAGCTTGTAGATTTATATTTTTACATGTATAATTTGATATTCAATTCCTACTAGTCGCCAAAAATATCGACCCGCATTTCTGTATTTTTTAAAACCTGCAGTTAGTTAGTTTGGTTTTAAAATTTAAGTATTAAAATGCATTAGGGTAATGCGAATTAAATATGCATAATAACATACAATTTTAAATAAAAACGAATTACAGTAGTTCGCACTAGCGACTCCGTGTTTAGCGTTTACGTGATAGTCGTGATAAAAACTTGACAAAGTATACTGTAATAGGTATACGTAGTATTTTTACCTACACATAACCTAACATACACATTACAAGTCAATAAACCTAAAATATTATTTTATATACGCTCGAATACATCGAATATATTTTATTTACCATAGATACACCTATATAATTCCGATAAGTACAGAAAACTGTATCGTGTAGCAATATATAGCTAGACTATATTCTATGGGTTAGATGTATCTTTTCTCGACATACAGTTCCACGCGACTTTCTCGCGATTAAATTGTTATTAAACGTAATAATATAACAAAACTATTATGTGTTACACTGCTAAATATATGTATACTTAAAGATTTTAAATAACTTATGACATTTCAATCTGATTCTTTTGAAAATATTCAATTATGAAATAATACATATTAGGTTTATGAAGGCAGATTATTATTTTAACTTTTAAAGAATAATATAATCGAAACACGTATTTTTCGGTCGATATTATATAGGTGGTTGCAACGTAAGCACAATAACAGGAATAAATATATTTATAGGTGTTTATGTTATTCTATTTTAAAATCATAATTGACTTATTTTTTGTTCCATTCGAATGCATAAATATAATTCTTATTGTCATTTCAACGATAAAATAAACCCATCGAATTCGATAACATTTTATTGTACTTGAATAGGTATAGAGATTAGTAGTTGACCAAATGTAATTTTTTTTATTATTATTATTACATTTTTTAAATGAAAAAAAAAAAAAACGTATAACTCATCAAAATTCTATTTTATTATATACAGATATTCGTCATAAAATATGTAGGTATTCGTTTGATTGCGGCGGAAACGATTTTATGGAAAATATTCCGAAATAAACGTAATTCAAAAAATACCATGCATAACAATTTTATCATAAATAATTATTAGATATTAAAGGTACGCATAGATATTGTAATAATGATTATAATAATTATAATGTGGGCATAGGCGCCCGCAGGAAATTTATCAGGGAAGGGCAAAATAAAATCAAATACCAAAAAGTACTTAAAATACAATTATGTTTAAAATTTTAAATCGAAGTAATATAGAATACGATACTGAACTATACTGAACTATACCCAAAAAAATGGTGAAATTTGATCATAAAAATGATAGAAGTGGGGCATGAAAAATTACAAATTTTCATCTTCCTGGTTTCAGTCCATATAGAAACGTCCAAAGCAAAAAATACCCGTAACACACAAAATCAGGGTTAATTTATATTGAAATTTAACCCAAATTTAATCACTAATTCAATCCGATTAATCAGCAAACAGAGCCACCTCTAATTTCCGAGTTTGAGATCGTGATTGGTCTAAATGAAGCCGGTATAGAAATGTTCAAAAGTAAAAGGGAAAAAATGTAATGGACACAATACAACGGAATGGTCTCCATTTTCCGGGAAAAATTCGATAAAAAAAATAAAATGAATCGATAACACTAATCTTGTGTAATCACTGCCGTGACAACTGTAACTCTCCCTGCTTACATTCTAGTGAAACTGTTGTCTGTAGGACACATAACACTTGTGTTCTAAAAGTGATTTATTATGATTTATAAACGTAATTTGTAGAGGCTTTAGAATAAAAACGTTGAAATAGGTATATTTGTTTTACACAAAAAAAAATAGTAAAATTTTTTTTTCCCCAAATTAAATACCGCTTGTGTATAAATGCTTTGAATCATTTGACTGCACTAGACCTGAACGTGTACCACTGTACCTATATAGAAGCGCCGGCTATACCATAGTTGCTGTTTCAGACCTTGCTGGTCTCGACGGAAAATATAATATTTTTATCATGGTTTATCATTATCATTTACAAATCGGGTCAACATCACGTTTGTCTCTAATCTTAAATCTATAGAAAAAAAAAAACAAAAAAAACTCGTGACTTTATGTTTATATTGTGGCCAGTGCACATAAAAATGTTTACATATTATAAAAAAAAAACTCGCCGTAAGTATTATCTTATATAAATAAGTGTACTTAAACTGCATAATATATAATATGTAGATAACGACATAATTCGCACGCGCATGCACGTGTATTTACCTACAAGAATAAAAATAACCAACAACTTTTTTACCAGAAATGTTTTTACTCCGATTTTTAGGTATAACACTTTTTCTGAAAGGAAATCTGACTGGGGTGGTACTTTAAGGAAGTCATTTTTTGATTTTCCCAAGAATTTTCATAATAAATGAGAAAATACACGCAAAGCTTTGTTGGCAACTTCAGGATATTAATCTTTAATGTTATTTTAAAATCCTAAAAGTGATAATGAAGAAAAAGTATCCGGTCATTTCGGTAAAAGGCCATTTTTCGATTTTCACAGGAGTTTTCGTAATAAATGAGGAAAACGAGAAAAAAACGTAGGAAAAACGAGAAAATGTACAAACTGTATTATTTACAAATCGTAAATATTACGGCCTTTCAAAACACGCATAACTGAACTCTGCTCAAAATCGTTTTTCGTAAACAATGATTAATCTTTGCGTACAGATATACATTAAATTTTCCCTCTACCTTCCCAACTTCTCACCTACAAACACCTACAGTGGCCCACCCATCGTGCGAAGTATATCCATTTGTTTTTGATTTGAAAAGTTTTGTTAATTTTTCAAACTCAACTTTGCACGTTTTTTTTCATCGTGGAATAATTTAAAAACATCCAGATCCAGATATAAATAAAATTTAAATAGATTATAATTGAATATTTCAATGAAACAAATGGGTAAGCTCTGCTTGTCAGGACTATCAGCCTGGTCACGCCACTGGCAAATGGCAATGACTTTTGATTTCTCGCTCCTTATGATATTATATTATTATTGTGCGCCTATCTAATTTCCCTGGTCATCCACAAATGTGAACTATAATATGATGATTAGTAATTGTATTACATTCGATATACAGTATATAAGTTCGATTTAAGTACTTCAATGTGATTTATTAATTGAGCGATTAAGTTTTGAACTCGGCTTAACCTCAAAAGTATATTGTTGGCAAGTCGACAACCGCACAAATGCCGACCGATGAAGCTTAAACTCATTTCACTTGCGTAATCCCAGCGCATAAAAAAAACAAACCTATTTGATTCCGTTTTTTTTAATTTTCTTTTTTTATTTATCATTCAGTAGCATTATAATCCGAGATTATACAATGTATATTTACCATGATATTTATACAGACGTTAGTAATAATATTTCATTTTATTTTCACAATCTAAATACGGAAATTAAAACGAAATCAAATTTCGTACTCTTCCGAGTAAATAATAACTAGCTATTGCATTAATATCACAATTTGTTTATTATTTTAAATCTATATTTTATTTTTGATTTTAATGTTCAGCCAATTAAAAAAACAATGACGATATGCTGATTAGTTTGATAAAACGAATTAATACAGGTTGCATTTCATTTGTAATTATTAAAAACAATAATTATTAATTCATTATTATCAGTTATACGTGTTATAATATACATGAGTGTTATAAAAACGAAAACTGATTTGTAAACAGCTTATCATAAAAAGACCGCTTTTAAAACAATCTACGCGTAATCGTATTAATTTTTAAAATTATAAACAACTATTTTGAGACTAGATACTAGGATATTTGGTCCTACAAGGAGAGAGGACTATATTCAATTTTTGCCATTTTTTTTTTATAATTTTGTTAATTTAATGTTATTTATGTATGATTGTTCTAACACATGTTAGTAATTAAAATACCTTAAAGTCGTGGTATGATGCACTTTTTGTTTGACGAAAAAACATAAGTCATTATTATAATAATCTGACTTGGGCAATAATTTAGAACGCCATAATATGTAAGTTAGGTCGCATAACAATTTCGAAATTGTTTAAAATTTTTAAAAATTGAATATGCAGATATAGTCGTATTGGAAATTTATCGACATTGACTCGAGCGCTTTTTCCTCGGAACTCAAGATATAATATAAACGCAATCACGAAATCATATTGATTATATTTTGATGTGCAGCTTTCTCGGAAACCCGTGGTTTTTTAGGGCAGTCAATGTTTACACCTAGCAACCTACTAGACAGATAGACAAAGTTTTAATTTTTAGTCTTTTTCTTTATTTATTCCCTGTTCTTCTTTCTGTGCAGTTTACAAACAACAATACATATATGGACTACAATACTATAAAATATAAAAATGTGTCCGAATAATTGTATACAGATCAGTGGTTCTTTTGGTGCACGCGGTCCCACGACGAAAGACTTTTAGAAATCTCGGACGCCATACCGAATTTCTTTCGAATACCTTTTTACCTACCTACCGATAGAGCCACCGCGGACCACAGTTTAAAAACTTCTGTTATAGATACCACCGAAATCAGAAGATTTTTGTTTTTTTTTTATACAATTTCTAATAGAATTGCCGATTCACAATAATTATTAATAACCGATTATTATCTCCGTTTATCCCAACACGGGAATAATGTTACGCCACCGTATCATTGTGACGGCGGCGGTTCAGTAAAATGTATAGTAGGTACATACTTATGTACACGTTCATAAACCTGTACACTTGTTCGGTTGAGAATTTTATACTTTCAAGGGCTGGGCTCTTTCGTAAATATGATTATTAATTATACACATAATAAACAATATAATGTTATGCGTGATAATAATAGAAACACAGCTATTTACACCGAAAGGAAATAATTAAAACGCCACCGCGCAACGGCTCGTTTATTAAATACCTATAGGTGTATTTTTCAAAACGGCTGCGTGTGAAATACTGTGCGCGTATCTCTGAAATATTCCGCTCTTCGCGACCCGGGGGTGTTTAAACCCCGAGTTTGACCTTAAGGCAGCGATATAAATTTTACCGTACCGCGCCCGTTGGATAGACAGAGACCGCGGTTGAACATACGTACAATGCAATGTAAGGGTAAACGTCCTTTTAATGTAAATAATGATTTTATTATAATCGCCCGAGATTATTTTTCATACAAAGTTACCCGCGATTTATCGTATTATTAATATGCTACGCATTGCTGCGGTACAAAAACGTACAATAAATTAAAATAACTTTACCCCGGCAACATAGCAACCTTGCACTTTTTTTTTTTGCCGAAAATTATGATTATACATATACACGCTTTTTATCAACATTTATATGACAAATATTTACAACCAAATTAAAAACGAAAATTGAATAATTATACAAATTTGTATTATGTGAAATATCACTTTGCATAGAAAATAATCCGGAGTAACCTCGAATATCGGACCCCCGTGATATTTAACCTCCTCTCCTCCCCCCCCCACTCGCCCAATAAAATTGCATTAAATAAATATAACCTTCACCCCTCCCTCACCTATCATTAACTGTCCGGGAGTAAAATTTCATTAGTGATTATTGATCTCGATAATATTTCACTGAGATGATAATAATGGTCATTAATCACTGACACACCTGTTCGCAATTAATTATTTTTAAACTGATTGTCACGTATTACCATCGTAATTCAAAATATATTATAGAATATAGATTGTCAATTATAAAAATTATCCCAACAAAAGCTAGACGTACTTCATACCCTTGGTAGGCAACTGTAAATGAGAAGGTAATTAAGAGTACCTATAGAATATACTATAGGGTAATTAAATGTAATATAGTCTTCGAAAAATTGACGATAATTCGTTGCGATTAAAAAACCGATTTAAGCTGAGTAGTATTAACTGTTAGTCGCGGTTTTCTCCTTGTAACCTGCAAGGTATCCTAGAAACTAACAAAAATAAAAACCAACGTGTATCGCAATTTGTTATCAGTTTTTTTTTTATTTTATTGAAATTTTTAGAAAATTAGACTTTTTTTTTAAAATAAAGTATACATTACAGAGTAAGAAGTCCACATATTTTAAAGTAAATATGATGCACATAAAAGAAATCTAGAATTAACTAACTGAAAAAGTGATGGGTGTGCCACAGTTTTAGAAGAGAAGTTTGAAAGGAAGATATATAAATTAATTTTATTTATATCTAACGATACACGATTCTAAGCAGAATATTATTAGTCATATTTTTCACCGTGTTGCCAGGGTAATAAAAAACAATATAAAATATGTAAATAAAAAATAACTGTACGCAAAATCGCCAGTTTTTCCCATTTATTCAAAACACTAGAAAAATGGCATAAATCAAAAATGCTACGAGACACTTCCAATAAAGTTTTTGATTGAAACACGATTTCTAGTAAAAAAAAAAAAGTTGTTTAAAAGCACATACAGGAAAAAAACCATAATTTATTCCCGACTTCGCTCAGAATTTAAAACGCATCTAAGTAATAATAATAGCCCTTTCGCTGCACACTCATCAGAATTTAAAATATTACTAACAGTGTAAGTAGGTATTGAAATATTCGCCTTGTAACCTCGGTAATCGTGGATTATTATAAATGTATAACCCCAAGTATACGCTACGCGATACACTGTTGTATTATAATATATACTATACGACTACGTGACGTCATTGTGGATTTTTAGTTAGAGATAAGTATTAGGTCAACTCGCGCTCAATGATATGCATGTCGTATCGCCATAAAATTAGCCCATCAGCGCAATATATAAAAATAATAATATTATAAAACTCAAAGACATTAAGAGGTCCGAGGTTTATAAAAACGTTGGACAACCGCCGCCGCCGCCGCCGCCACCGCCGTTTATGTACGCGTGTTGTTCTGCTATAGTCCGAGCATATTATCGCGTCGTACCGACAGTCATAAAAACCGCAAGTACGGTCGTAAGTACGATTTCGGCGCGTTAAGTCCATTAACCGACGTCCGGGTATATAACACTGTCGAAACTCCGTCGCAGAGTATTACAGGCATACCCTTCCCCTGCAAGCCCGTCTCACTATAGAAGCAGTACTCAATATAGTATGCAAGTTAATAATTAAAGGTAACAGAAGGCGACAAAATTCCTAAAGTTGTAATAAATCTCAAGTCTCCTTTCGATTTTAATCACAGCGAGGAAAGTATCGGTTTTCCTATGATGCATTATGTTTGTTTTGTTTTTGATTTATTTTTGTGTCTGTTAAACTTCGGATAACACCGAATATTGCTCAGAATCGTATTTTATTAGCAACGATTTATCTATAGAACTTCAGCAAACCCTGGTTTTTCTCAACACTAATAGTTATAAATTTAATAATTCTGTGTACCTTCACAACTAAAACAGTGACACTGCATCCATCAATAATATATCAGCTATTTTAAACACGTGTTATAACCTAACTATAATGCTATTTTCAAAACTAGCCAGAGTATAGTGAAAAACCGTTGAAATTCATTGCGATTTTTTCAAAGTGATTTCTAGAATTTTCTTAAAATTGTATTATTTTTTTTTGTTCACGTTCAAAACCAATGGTACGACCCGAATCGTCATGGCATATAAAAGAAAAAATTTCAACGGATCTTTGGTACTTTATTTGTTGTTGCCAAATTCAAAACAATTAAGTGCGAGTGATCAATTTTTAAAACACGCCATATATATATCGGATTAATAACAAACATTATGAAAAATCGCTCGGGATGTAGGAAACTAGATACTTCACGGCAATACATGTAATCCGCGTCTGCTCTTCCCTGCGCCGACGCTACACGAGTCCTCCGGACCGCGTGAACTCACATTGTGCGATTGCCAGAATATCGTCTGCGGAGGACGCATTGATCGACGTACTAAAATTATATGATAGCATTATCAGTTCATTGTTCGTATATTATGAATGTCCAATGCCAAAATGTTAATCAAATTAATATAGTATATTATAAAATCATGATTTTTTTTCTTGGCATTTTTAACGCTGAACGATGAACCACCGCCGCCGCTGCCGCCAATGTCGAGGATCGATATTATAATTGTACATTTTTATTTTTGCGTATATACCTACACGCGTACAATAATAACAATAACAATATGACGTACCGAACACGCAGAACGTTCCCTCTAATTGGCTCTATGATTATTTATCACTAGTTTATTATATCGTTAACTTTATTTCAATAATAACAACAAGTAACATGCTATTCGGTGTTTTTCACTGTTGGCCGAAATTCGATACAGTTCCAAGGAAGTTATATGGTGTCCGAAATGTTAATCTAAGACTATCTAGTCGACGAAAAACAACGACAGGCTTAGTCGTCAGATTCGAATCCAACAACTAGTACATTGAATATATTATAAAACGATGAGTTTTTTTCATTAGGACTCCGTGTAGGTATGTGCATGTTGAATATTGTATGATATTTACAGATATCCTACTTTAAACGTATAATGTCATATCTAACCAGTCAAAGGATTCCATTCGCCTCTGTAGCTCGTTTCATGTAGAAAACGTGAATACCCGACGACAAATGTAGGTGTATAACAATAATATTGCAGCGCGGGTGCTTTCACCATCCCATCATGGCCGATTGCACGAGCGGAACGCCGACACGAAATAAACAAACGATGTTAATATTTTATACTCGTACATAGGTATATATACAGGTATTTCAAGTTTAAGTATATCCGTCATTTTATGAAAATGATAATAATATCGAATTAGTTTTTTTATATGTTTGCTTTATTATTGTTTATCACGCAGACATGGCTTTAACCTCCGAAACGATGCACGAAAATCCGTGTATACGCAATGCCAGAACCCCTTTATTGGCCATCGGCTCAAAAATACAACACAATTTGTGGATTTTATCATGAAATTATAAATTTCATCCAAGTTACTTGAGGAAAACAACTCAATTTATCGAACACAAATTCGGCTCTATTCTAAAGATTCGGATTTTTAAATTCTCATTGTCGATTTAGTGATAACAGACCAATATTGTACAGGATTTATTCACGATAAATTGAAAATTCTTGTACGCGACACTGACTGCGACATCAACATTTCAATGAATCAGTACTGTACGTTAATATATTATATATTATTCATCACTATAGTGATTCAATGATGTGCGTTATCTAGATAAATTAAATGTATAGTATATTTTTATCTCGCCTAGTTAAACAAAACAATTTTCTGACTACCTAGATATTCAATTTTAACTCTAATTTTTTCATTTTCGATATTCAATAATATTGTCAAAGTAATTATATTTATTACTAATTTTTTGTTTGTGTAAAAATATTAAAATAAATAGATCTTGTTGGATGGTTTTAAATAAATACATTCGATGGTAACTAGTTTGAAAATGTGTTTGTAATGTTTTGTTATTATTAATATTTAATGATCAAAATGATAAAATGAAAGGACGTGACGAGTGACAAGAGACTTACAATGAGTTTTAAAAGTATGTTCTATAAGAATGTGATAAGACCGACTATACTGTACGGTTTGAAGTGTTGTGCGGTAGACAGACAAATATAACAAAGAATGAGTGTATCGGGGATGATAATTCTTAGGTAAATAAGTAGAGTGACGAGAGAAGATAAAATAAGGAACGAGTACATACGAGATAGCTTAAGCGTGGCTTTAGTAGTAGAAAAATGAGAGGAAATAGATTGAAATGGTTTGGGCATGTCGTGAGAAGAGGTGAATCAAAAGTTAGTAGTAAGAATAATAATGCAAGTAGACGTAGGAGGAAAGACGGGAAAAGGAAGACCGAAAAATAGGTGGTTGGATGCTATTGAGAATGATATGAGAACACTCAAAAACGGCCAATATAGGCGAGGTGGGACTGGTGGGAGGTCGGGTCAAGTGGAAGTTTAGAACGATGGTAGCTGACCCCAATTAGCTGGGGTGAAGGCGCAGAGAAAAAATAATAAATAAACAAATTATAATACTTTGTGAAACATAAATCATTATTCATTGTCCAATATAGTTAATAAAAATAAAACAAAATTATAATTTACTATTTCACAGGTTTAATATTTTGTGAGACTTTAAAAGTTAAAACCATAAAAATGTATCTGTTTTTACACGTGGATAAAAGAAGCTGTTATCTTATATATTATTTCCTGAACGCAATATGTTTAGTTGTATCCATTATCTAGATAAATTATCAACGTATTATCTCTTATCTTATTTAGACATTTTTAAAGCTATCGTTACGGAATACTGGATAACCATTGTCTCTCTTTTAGTCACTATATACATTATACAAGTCTTGGAGAAAAGGACGTGTCGTATACACGCGAATCATAAAGAGATTCTATATACCTCATTGCAATGTATGTATGTGTGTGTGTGTGTGTATGTGTGTGCTGTGCAGCACATCCGGCACGAAAGACATCGTATAATTTAGCACCGTGTATCACGTGCGCTCGTTATTCCGGAAAACACCCTGACGACGGCCGTGTTTCATACACTCGGGTACCTCGCGTACCTATGCGCGCAGGAAAAACCACCGCGATACGCAGGTATATCGCGGAAAAGGACCCCAACCGAACTCTTTTCAGTATATACGAGGGAGGAATGAATATAAAACCAAACAAACACCGGATCGTATACGCAATAATAAATAAAATGGCAAATGCGTATGTGCGTGTATATGTCTGTGTGTGTGTGTGTGTGTGTGTGCATTATATTACAGAAATGCCGTGACCCAGAAGAAGAAAAGCGGGTATATAGGTATACAGAGTGATTAACGTGACGTAGGACTTGGGAATTCGTTTTTTGGAAATTATATGAATAGCACAGCAGCTCTAAAATGTCGCATTTCCGATATTTTTTGTCACACCTGTTTTTTTGATGGTGAAACCGCTAATTGCTTTTGGTTCTCAAATAGCAACTTATACATTAAATACGTTACAAATAGACGAAGTTTTAATTTAAATACATTTTAGACGTTTTTAATTTCCGTTAACTAACTAACGATATATGTTGCTTGTAAGTTTGACATTTTACGGTTAGTAGGAGAGTAGTGGAGCATCATCACATTTTTTGTGGCGGTGCGACACCGAATAGTGTTCCACTACAACCCATTTTGAATGGGTTAAATTTCAACAGTAATGTTAGGTTTTAGTGCTGCTTTTTTTCTCTAATCTAAAACAAAATCCGAAAATGAGTTAATACACTTTTCGAAATAAAGATTAATTTACAATTATGTTAATCACTCTGTATGAGTAGGTATAATATTATTATACACGTATGGTGCGACCCGGTCATCGGAAACGCTGCTGTTCGTTCCTCGATAATCGTCGTATTTTATAGACGCGTAATTATAGACATTAGGACACACGCAAGGAGAATATAATATTATCGTAAAGGTAAAACCCTGTATCGGCGATGATCCTAATTACCATCGTATTATTTTACCCATACTTATATACGTATATAGTTCTGTATTCGAGGCCGCAGGGACGTCGATGACCGAAAGGTTTTTGGACCATGGTTGGGTCGAAAATTCAAAATATATCTATGAGGGGGTTGCGAGTAAAGTCCACAATACGAATACATAATTATTCATATATTCATAATTATATTTATTGGAACTTCCTGTAAAATCAACGTTTTAAAATAACACTAAAAAAAAGCACGCATAAAGTAAAAAATAATAATTTATGTACAGTCATTTAATTTGTATCTGTACGTAACAATAAACCATTGCTAACGAAAAACGATTTTGAGCAAAGTATTTTTAGTTGTATTTTTTCTCTCGTCAGAAATCAACAATAATTGTACGAAAAAGGGCCAATTTTTCCGACTTATATAGAAAACTACAAGGAAAATCAAAAAAACCGACTTTTTTAATGCTCCAACTAGATCAAATGTACAACAGGAAAGTTCCTATAAAGTTATAGATTGAATCAAGACAAAAAACACATCATAGTAAAATCAATTAATTGCTCGCTTCATTCAGTCTAAAAAGATAATAGAAAAATTCACTCTCCCCATGCAGAAAAAGATTTTCGTGTTACCTTTTTTCTTTTTCTTTTTGTCGCAAAAAAAAAATACTAAATATATTATATACCAAAGGCTTATTATTAATCGTTAATGCAAAATAAATGTTAAGTGTCTTGAGGGACATCTTGTTGATGAGTTCCGTGTAATATAAAAAAAGTACAAGATAATAATATCAACTGGCCTGTTACATTCGATCAGTTATTTCCACAATAAAATAACCAACGTGATTTAAAGAAGAAATTATCTTTGTATCGCTAACCGTTGTAAATTAATGTTACACGCTATTTTTTTTTTTTTTAATTATACAAATTATATTTCGAGGGGGTCGGACTCTTAAACCCTCCCCTTTTGCGTTCGTCTCTAAATAACCTAATACTGACGTGTGGAATAAATGGCACCAACGTCCTACACGTATGTAAACAATTTCGTTAGTGCTGCTGCTCCCACCCCTCCGCAGAAATCATCACGCTACGCTAATAGCGAACGCGTTTGTTAAAATTTCAAAATAATAATTATATATGTATGTATATATTATTCATTGTATTTATAATAATACCGGTCACGCCCCGTACGTGTTAAATCGCGTATTATTCATGGTAAATTAATGAAATCCCTATACTCGAGCAAAATAAACGCAAAAGTCATCGCCCATTTTCTCAACCGTTGTGCAGGTGTAAGCTTATTATAGTGTTATAATGAAAACCGTCTCAAAGGTTTCGAACGGCAACAAACATCCGCCACTGGACGAGTTTAAATTTTCACTTCGTAATACGCATGTGAAGTACCCATATATGTGATACGTACATTGTGCATTGTATACGATTTTGTTTCTTTTTTTTTTTCTATGTATTTTACAATATTCCATTCAAAAACGTTCAAACCGAATCGATATAAATAATCGCGTTGGTAATAAAAACAAAATATGAAACATCATAATATTTATATAATTATTATTCTCGTATATATTATTATTAAACGCGGTACGCAACGCATAAAAAACAACATGCTATAATCTTTTAAAAAAAAAAAAAAACCCCGACTAAATTACATATTATATAGAAACATAAAAAATAATTAAGCCACTGCGCATACACACCAACGCCGCCTTTAACATAACGACAATGTACTCTACTCGCGTATTATAACATAACATCAAAACACCAATACCCAATTGTTGACGAATATTTAAAAAAAATTTAACTACGCGGGACGAAAAAAAAACAAACAGGCCTAATTTACAACAATAATTACTGTCGTATTGACTCGACAACACATCATATAATATTATTATGCAACGTGCACCGGGTGTTTAGTTTCGAACCGCGAAAATTTGCGGGTGGGTGAAAAAAATCTTCCGACATCGTAATACAGCATATTAATACGATATTAGTGTACTCAATTGATTCGATATTTTTAGCGAGTTCTAAGAAACATTACAATAATCGTATAAACATCATACCGTCCGCGCTGTCGAGTAAACATACCACGTATATTCGCATATATTACAGCAGTTCGATAACGTTTCCGAAATTCCTACACAAATATAAATTAGGTTTTTTTTTTTTTTTTTTATACGCTCACTATAATAACGTACAATTTATTCCGATATATTTTTCAACAGACGTTCGTCATTGTTATAAATATAGTATAACGTACAGTGTATTGTATATTGTACTAAATGTATACAAAGAATGTGCATAAGAATGTAATTGCATAGTTTCAATACCCAGCAATAAGTTTCTATCTGCGGATTGATACAAGAAGGTCAACGAAAATAAATTACGTATTACAATAATTATGAAGTTCGCGTTGGATTTTCGGAAATAAATTTATTTTGTTCAACTTCAAATTTTTAATTATCAATCTGTTTGTTGACATTGGTCCTTTCTGCACCAACCCGTCACGGATGCACGATATCACTATACGTCATAAATGCATTACCAGACGGTGACTGAGTCTACGTAATAATAGCCAAATCGAAAATGTCCATATGGCCAGAGTAGTATATCGATAAAAAATAACCGTAGAGACCTGACGTTTTTTGAGAATATAGCTACATTGGCGTTTTATAGACATGGTAAAATTTAAAAAAAAAATCCTGGTGATTTTCACGTAGTTCGTAGACCTTTGACGTTTTCGATTTTTTGGCTATTATTTAGTTTTATGCGGATATAATTGTTTTGGCAGGGCAGAAATGCTTAATTATCTTACCCATGGTTCATTGTGAGTTGTATTTTTTCAAAAAGAGTAATTGATGAGTAGTTAGGAGACACACAGTATAGTTTGCTTTTATAATATACTGTGTGCAATCATAAATCATTGCGAATAAAAAACGATTCCGAGCAGTTTTTTTTATTTTTGTAAGTATAATTTATGATGAAACTCGTGTGAAGTTGTCATCTACTTGTGCTCGGAAATTTTATCCATTACGTGTAAAACCAAATAAGAAGGGAAGGACTTATATTCTGCGAACAGGTCTCCGCGGTTATATTTAACCATATAACAACAAAAAAAAAAAAAAAAAATTGAAAATAAAGAAATTGTTTTAATGCCGCACAATTTCCCAATTATATTAAGAAAATTGCAAGGATATCAATACACCCACTATGGATGAAATTTTCTTTCAAAAAATATGTTACAATTGAACATCGGGTCGAAACTTCTGGCAGAAAAGTCGTTCACAGACAGACAAATAATGCACGGCAAAAAATAATTTGGTAATAAGTAAAACGTCAAAGCTAAAGCTGACAATAATTTAATAATCGTATTCAACTACGGGTTATTAAAACTTGACAACGTTCGGTGCCTAACGATTCATAAGTTGAAACTGTTATGCACATAATCGTGTTAGTCGTACTTTTAGCTAAAACACATAATCGGTTTTTAGGCGGAAAATTATCGTTGCTCCGTCAAAACATTACGGCTAATGTGTAATATTCCATTATTCGCCATTGTACTGAATGAATACTGTTCAGTCGTCGTAGCGCGCGCAGCTTAGTAATTTCTGTTTTCGTTTGATTCCATGTGTGTGTGGATTATTGAAATTCCGAGAAAATATTTTCCTAATTAATATGCAACGTTATTATATTGTGTGTACGGTTAATGCGGAACCGACTTCGTGGAAATGCTCACGAAAGAATATTAATCATAGAAAATAAGATAAATACCTAAGGTTTGGTTTGTCGGGTCGTGAAAACGTGAAGCTACGGACCATGATCGCCATGGCTGAAAAAATCTTTGGTATCCCATGCGTTTCATCGTTGCGGGTTACCAGGTGTCCAATGTCCGCGCAGTCTACCAGAACCCATCGCTACCACAGAGCTATTATTTAAGGTCATTGATAATTATTTGTTTTTATACTAATCTCCATAAGGGGTCTATATCTTTTCGCCGCCGTTCAATCCGCCACCAACTATTCGCCGCGAGACATTTTTTCGTGCCAAAACCGGTGCCGTTGTTTTTCAACGTACGTTGATGGGATCTTCGCTATCATGCATAGACCTATTAGGGGCGTTTTATATTAAATATACCCCACTTCTGATTTTTGAATAAATTATACCTCAATGAGATTTGGTGATTAGAAAGTGGTTTTGACGCCAACAAATTTGGCTTGGAACCCCATGGACAAGTCCCCTCCGTAGTTTGATACCATTAAATCCCTTTCGGTAAAACTAGCTTGGAATTCATCCGATCACTACCAAACTTTAGATATGACCCCTACGTGATCACCCCTAGACTGTTCTAACAGAGTTTACTATCGATCGGAAAAAGGAATTTTGCTACAAAATGGTCGGTGGGTCATTATTGACCGGCGGCGAAAAGATCGCGGCGGGATGCACTAGCAGAGCCGTGTCGTTTTGATTTTGCACCCGGACGCAAGGTTAAAAATTCCGATCTCCCGTTCATTTAATTATTTATATAATAGTTTAGATTTTAAACAGTAATAAATAGTGTGATTATTATTATAAAAAAAAAAAGGCAACTAAATATTTATTTCATAAATCAAGTATTTATATGACTTAAAATTTAATTTTTCTGGATTTGATGCAAAATCTTCTATAACGTCTTCAAGGTCGATTTTTTGGGTTATTTTATTTTCAATAGAAAAATATGTCGAGTTTGTAAATCTTAATTAATTTTATTTTACTAAGGTATCGTTCTCCAAATTATACAGTAACTGACATGATATTTCGACAGAGCTGATCTTTACGTGAGACGTCCGGAATAGAATAAAAATTTATAGAAAATTATTTTGGTTTTTTTATTTTATAAATTTTTTCTTTTCTTACTTTAGTACCTACCGAATTTATAAATTCATTTTGAATTTTATTTGATAAATATGTAGTTTAACCATGGTATTTTAAATTACTTGATAAAACTGAATCATAATTGATAACAAGACTAATTAAATTTAAGAATATTCAATAGCAAAACTTTTTCTTTATTTTTACATAAATTTTAGAGGGAAGTTTTCCCTTGACCTCTTTGGTTTGTTTGTTAAACACAATAGTTATATTTTTTTACTTTCAAAATAGTTTATTCAGGGGAAAGAGTGGTGCTTCGGTAAATAATGACCCACCGACCGTTTTTGAACCCTTTCGATTATTACATTTGATGAGGGTTACCTAGGAACCATTTCCAAAGTTTAGTGACGATCAGACAAACTTCAGGCTAGTTCCCTTGGAAGGAATTTTATTGTATCAAACTAAGGAGGGGACTTGTGTAGAGTACCAAGCCAATGTGTTTAGCCTTAAAACCACTATCTCATTACAATGATATACCAGAGATATTCTTGATCCAAAAATCAAAAGGAAGGGTACATTTATTACAAAATGCCTTTAATAGATCTATGTATCATAGTGGTTATCCCACAAGCGTACGTTGAAAAACAACGACGCTAGTTTTTAAACGAAAAATATCTCGCGGTGAAAAGCTCGGCTTCGGTCTATAAGGTATATATAAGGTATATCAATATATGTAAAAAATGTAGTATTCTAGAAATATTTAAATAAAATAAAAAAACCTATACAGGTACTTAATCAATTTAGCTGTACATGATCTAAAAATGATCGAATACAGGGAATATAATATTAGCAGAGCCGAAAGTTAGTCATTTTTAGCACCTGATTAGAAAACAAGCCGCTTATGATGTCACGAATTGTTCAAATTTGTTAAAATTCAAATTATTTGTTGTTACTCGCTACCACCTGCATAACTCTGTCAAATAATTTAACGATAAAATTGTATTTTGTTACACGCATATAATGAATATTTATCCTGTGATATCAAATACTATTTTATCGTGTTATCAATATAAATGTAATGTAACTAAAATACATAATATGTTATTTAAAATACCTACCATACAGACACAATATATCTATAGGTACATATTTAATTATACTATATCGTTTTATTAATTTTATCCGCTATATTTAATTAGGTATATGTAATGCATTTGCCATACAATTTATTAATATTTGATATAATGTCTAATCATATTTACAATATCGTGATAAACAATATATTATACATAAAGTAACCGTGTTATAATTAATAGATATAATATACAATATACGTGAACTACTTATAGTCACATTCAATTAAACATCATAATATTGTATTGTACATTACTCGTTATTTTAATTCTGTTTCCAATAAATTCTATATAATATATTTGCAATTTAGTAAAATCTATTAATTTTATTAATTCAATTTGTGTATTATTGTTTATTTATTTTACATTACAAATGATCAGAATATATTATTGCTATCTGCAACTTAAATTAACAATTTAATCTTCAATAAACCTAATTTGTACAGGCAGATACCTATGTCGGCTGTTTTATTACAACACATTTGTTTAGATAAGATACCTACGTGAATAACGACCAAATCAAATAGTATGTTTAGGCAGATACCCTGTACTATTTTACTTCGTTCGCCTACACAAATTATAGCTGCAGTTTTAGTAATATTTTCAAGTAGAATTAAATAATTAAATAAAATTAGTATAAGTTTAACAATAAATAGAGCCGTCCGGTATGCAGGTTTAATTTTTAGTAAGGTCGACTCGAAAACCAGCTACTCCGGCATTTCTGTTTTTTTTTTTTTTTCAATTTTAAAAACCCTGCAATACGTCATAACTCGCTGCGCTCAGAATTTAAAAAAAAAAAACGCCCAGATGTCCGGTAGAAGTGAAAATGTATGGAATTTTCGCTGCCGCGCGGTTACCCGTGTTGTAAAATGGGTTAACCGTTTTTCACAATAATATAATAATTAACTATTATATACGTGTATTATTATAATAACATATTGCGCAAAAAATGCACAGGAAGAAAAAAACTATTTTTAAATTCATCGCGTGTTACGATTAATTAATATTAGGGGATATTTTATTTCTATACAGGTACAAAATAATATCCGTGTAAAAAAAAAAAAAAAATTCTATTACGATATATTAATTTAGATTTAACACGTATATCGGCGCTTGTTAACATTATTGTAACAGTATTAATAGCAATATAATAGAAACGTTTTTTTTTTTTTTTTTTTTTTTTTTTTTTTTTAATTATTGCTCGTGGAACGAAATACGACCGCCGACTCGTCGTCACTACTCAAGGCTGTCATCGACGACGGCGACATGTGTAAAAAGTAACAAAATGATTCGCGATTATTATACAATATTACGTGATACTGTGTTTACGCGGTTTTATTTTTATTTTATTTTTTTTAAATCCTTTTCGTTTAACTATTATCGAACGAAACGAATCTGACGATTTAAGCGATCGAAAATGTTCGATCATATTTATTGGATATTCTGAAAACTCTTTATACCTACAGCGCCGGCGGCGGAAGAGTAGCTGAGTATGGCAGACTGAACATTTTTCCAGGGCCCCGCGCTTCGTGGTAGGCCTCGCGCCAAAAAATCACCAAGTTCCAAATTTCTTAACTATACCTATAGATGACTCTGCTTCAAAAAAAAAACCAATAAAAATAATATTTGAATAGACAAGATTTGTATTGTATAATTTTAACATTCCAATATTATACTTCTGATATTTTTTTGTTTTTGTTAACAATTAAACAGACACGTTTAACAAGTTCGACAACTCATTTGAAAACGTGTAAACGTTTTCGTTCTTTATTGGTAGGTATTTAATTTTTTTTTTTTTTTTATAGGCTATGTTCTTTACTTTGATTATGTTCAACAATTAAATAAAATTCAAAACCTTAATGCATAAAACATTTAGGCATAAACACTTCGTAGAATTTTTTAGGGAATAACAGGTTTATAATGGTAACTTTTTTTTCATACGATCGTTTTAAGTCTTAAAATATCTAACGGATTTATTTCCGAATAGCCAGATAGTGTATGTCCTCCTCCCACCAGGCACCTATATGTTTTCAGGCCTCACAAGAGTATTTTTTCCAAAGCCTCGCAATACTTGGCGCCAACATTGGACATCTATATGAGTCGACCGAGTCTCCGGTAAATCCGATTGGCGACAGCGAATAAGCCAGGGGAAAAAATTCCGAGAGGAGTGGTTTGATTTTACATTAATCTTCTCGTTCACTTAAAAACGAAAAAAAATAAATTTTCGATAGATTAATAAGACGATTAAAAAGTCGTATATACCTACCTAAGTACCAATTATTTTTTAATAAAATTGTTGCACGTGTAGTAAACTGCATTTAATTAGAATGTATTACTTAAAAAATAATAATATACTTGTACACTTTTCAAACATACGAAAAGTATAGTTGTCGGAGACATTTTGGATAGGCTCTGTTATCATCCTCTAATCGGTCTCCCCCAACCTCAGATGGCTACGACTCTGGTTCTGATTTATTTATACAGGCCGAATTAGTCTTCTAATTATATGTAAAATGCGAACTCTCTATATAAAATTAAAATATCCTGAAATCGGCCTTTTTAAGATGAACTCGAATGAATATCACAATATGAAAACAATAATGTTTACAGTTATTAGACGAGTAATAAATAATTATTAGGGATATCAAATAAAATTGCGTTACACGATCTACATTGCTAAGAGTACTACTAACTCTAGGTATTTTTGGTAAGTTCTCCGTGGATAAAGTGTTCACCATTCCCCTCACTTTATTTGAATAGATTCCTAATTATAAAATAATAATATACATTTTTAATAGTTTCACGATATTCAATATTATTTATGTATACATAGGTGTGTAACCTATGTTAAATTTATACCAGTAACAAGGTTAAATTACATATCGTACAACTCGTTCTATAATAAATATTATTATTTCTGCTATTATTTATCGTTTTTTTTTTTTTTTTGTAGGATTATTTTTTTATACTTCTGCCTGTATACCGGATACGTATTAGTTTAAACCATTTTATACCAATATATTAAAAACTTAAAACGTTCAGTTTTCGTATCGATTGCAAAAGATAATTCAGAGTAATCCACTTAAAATGAACCAGCGATTTTCTCGGGAGATTTTAAGTGAATGATATTTGTTGTTTTTTTTTTTACCATTATGGAATCTTATAAGCTTTATAAGAATAAAAACTCAGTCTTCAATTTCTTACTCTTACTACTTATATCTGAAATGAGTGTACACTTTGGATTTTCAAAAAGCAACCCCTTAAAATCGTCTGAGAAAATCCTTGGTTCGTGATCACCGTGTATATTAGGCCAATTTCACTCTACAAAATATTGGCATCCGGGCCTTTCAAAAATTCGAACACATGTAAATATCCCGCTGGGAGAGAAGTAAAAATGTCTAATACGTTTTACAATCCGAATCATTTCAGTCAAGTCAAGTGTCATTTAAAACCACTTTACTTTTACGCTCAAGTGTCAACATCCTTCGTGTCAAGCCAAATGTTAAATACCAAACTGTTTTTTAAATGCAATTAACTTCTTGATATTTTAGTATTCCCCTCCCCCTTATTAATGTACATAATATGTACCTACATTGTACGACATGTACAGTGTACGGTGTGCGCCGTGTCACTGCAATCCATATTAGTATATACATACGCAAACAAATTCCAATTAACTCAAAGGAAACCCGAGCCCGCCATAGCACTTCATCGAAATTAACCTTTTAATTTTAACCTTCATGATGATATATAGTATTAACCTAACCTATGTAGATGTGTAATAAAATTGTTCTCTTAGGAAATGGATATCTGTCTGTATAGAAACAAAGTAGAAGAAAAAAAAAAATAATACGTTTTTATTATATTATGTATTACATATTATCGTATATACTTTACTCGAAAAATAATCGATTGAATAAAAAAACTACGGCTTATATATGTATGTATGTATTATGTATAATTATCAATATTTCTTTTGATAGTATCAAATATTGTGTATAAGTGAAATTCGAATGACGAACGCACAAAATCAAATATTATTTGTTTACAATATTTATTTACGGTTTTATTTTTCTGTCAATGCGTATATATTCATAATATACATCGTGTTTGAAAAAAAAAAATAAAACAGGGTATAGGTGTACCGAGAAAATATCCGTACAAATATTTTACACTAATTCGGAAAACTTTAGATCAACAAAACAACTATACCTATAATAATGTGGCCTTAATGTGGGCGCCATGTGACCCGTCTACTTGAGAGATATATTTTGAATAAAAATTATATAAAAAAAAAAAAAAAAAAAACTAATATTTTCTATACGAAACATAATTATTATCTATTGTATAATAAAGTCCTATAGAGGATACAATTGTTCAGGTTTTCGTGGCCGACGGTAATAAATCCTCGATTTCTACAGTAATTGTGTAATATTTTAATACGCCGGATAAGCGAATGACGAATAAAAGAAAAAAAAAACGATACTGCGAATGGGCGGGCCACTGTTTATGTAGGAAAGTCGGTAGGGGAGATAAATGGAGTGATTTAATTTATACTTGTAAATTGCACGGAACTGCAAACCATTGTTAACGATAAACAATTCTGAGCAGAATAGTAAACAGTATTCGTATTTTTCCCCGTGTTATCTTTTTTCCCATTTGACAACTACAAGGAAAATTAAACTATGATATCGACGCGTCAACTAGACCGAAAACGTTCCTATAAAATGTTTGACCTGAGCGAGATCTCTTGTAGATAAATTAATAGTCGGGACAAAAAAAAAAAAAAACACTCTATAATAAAACTAACTCGCTTGGAATCTAAAAAAATGTCCATAATTTTTATCTTCGATACAAATGTCAATAGGGACATGTACTATTATATTATTAACGGTGCCTACATCGTTTTTGTATTTTTTCATACGGCGTCTGTTAGTATAAAATTTTATAGTGATTTCATATTGTGTACTCGTACAGATTTGAATATACGTATCAGCCAAATCAAAGTGTAGGTTAAATTGCAGTAGGTATTGACTGATATAATATATTATTATACACGGAGTGATAAAAAAAGCCCACGTGTGTTAAACACCGGGATTACCGCACGGTGCCGTCGGAGACGAATCCCTGTCAGTGACGAAATATGATATAGGTGCCTACGACGTGTGGTCCACGCACGACGATTCGGCGTTTCCGATCTCAATATAATTTGTCCGCCTGCCAAATTTTTATTTTTCTACAGAAAACACAAACCGAATTAGTTCGGTTGCAATGCGCCACTTTCGTTTTGCGTCTCGTACATGTTCCGTACGGGGGTCAGTTTTATTGACGGAAATCCATTTCCGTTTCTCGATGTAAAATCAACTATTAATGTGTTTCTAATAAAATAATAATATATTCGACTAACGAAAAAATCGCATCGCCCACGTAGGTACCTAGGCTATAACGCGTAATAATTCTGGTGGTTTAACGTCATTTGGCGTTGGTCTCGTGTGTATTATTGTAACGGCTATTGTTAACTTATAGCGAAATACAATTATTTTGCAATCGAATTTTACGTATACACATCGGTTCGTCGTCCAAGGAACGATTCCTGATCTCACAACAGATAAGTGTAAATAATTGAAAATTTTAAAATTATATTATGTATGAAATTGAAAGTCGGTCCGCTGTATGAAAAACTATATTTCAATACCGACTTCGATCGAACTTTGCGCACTTATTGACATTTAAAACGGATCAGAAGGTCGCGGTCGTCGCTTATTCATCTCGAAATTTAACACATAATAGATGCACTCGCGCTTGATTTTTGATACTTAATTATGAACGAAATTGATTTTTTTTTTTTTTTATTTCTGGATTACCTTGGTGACGCGGATGAAATAAAAAAAAAATAAAAAAAAACATTCGTTATTATTTCATTTCGTTACCACATTCAATCAGGAAACGTCGTTTTTTAAAAGATAAATTTCCAGGCAACACAACGACCAGTATACATTGCAGCTGGCTTTATTTTTTATCGCTCATAATTTGACTACAAATGAATGTTTTATTTATCTCAAAAGTTGATTGAATGCAATATAAAATGTCTGTAAATGTGTAGGCATAGTTTAAAACTCAATCGAGTTAAATGACGTACGATGAATTTTACTACTTATGTTTAATATACTTATACGCACAACGAACAATGGTAAAAAAAAATATGTATCGTTTGAAAATCTGTTTACTCGATTGATGAATACTAAACAGTAAACTATGGGTAATAGCCATCGTTAGAACTCAAAAGTATAAATTTACATACAATTATAATATAACTATAATAATAGTATATATATGTACGTTTAAAAACAAAAGATCGTTTGACGATTTAAATTCGTCTATAGTTAGACATACGTAAAAAATTATAAATTATAATATATCATTTAACAACGTTATATATTGTTATTTTAATAAAACTAGCGATGGGAACAACCAAATAATTGTTATAGAACTATTCGATAGATCAAAAACATGGGGGGAAAAAAACAATTCGAATAGTTTTTATTCGGTTATTATCAAAGGCAAAAATATAGTTTTCCCAAATAACACTATTCGGTGATGGATAAAAATATTCCAGTGTTCTGAATATTATCGATGTAGTTAATGGTAAACTATTAACTATTAGTATAAACTATTCGGAAATTCTGGTCACAAAATTTAAAACGCTCAGCAACGACGAATACTATACGCGTTGTGTTTCGACGACGTTTTGCTTTATAAACGGAAATCATAATAATTACGGGCACAACAATTACTACAAAGGGGGAGGGGCTACGAGAGCTCCCCTCTCTCTTAGAATGTATATAATTTAAAATTAAGATTTAGATATTATATAAATTATAATTTATAACTTGTATACTTACTATAAATACATTTTTAACGGTAAAACGAAAAGTGACTTTTCGTTTATCCGCTCCTTATCTAATTCCTAAATCCGGCCCTGATAATAATAATTGTACCTATTATTCACGTTTTCGCATAAGCAGAAATTGGGGGGTTAGCCATCCGAAGCCCCCCCCCCTTCCCTATAAAAATCGATTTTTCCATTATAAACCATATTTATATAATACCTATATAAATTATAATTATTCTAGCAGCCGTACCCCCCTTACCCCCGTATGCCGTATAATGTTCTATATTATTTGTACTAAAAAATAACTATCATCTTCAATTCTGAATAAAAATCTTCGCTTATTCAATATCTATTTAGTAATTACAAGTAGTATATTATAATATTATATACTGCCGGTTAGAGGTTTTTAGGCATTTCGAAATATTGTCTGTACACCGACTACAGTGACTGTATTACATTCATATGCGTTCAGTGTTGTGTGTGTGTAATACACGTGTGTTTTATTTACGATTTACATATTATAATAGCATTATACCTAAACAACAACAATAATAACACTCCTGTAGAAATCTACTATTTACATTAAGTATATACCGATGTACACTACTCGGACATGCGCGTTTTAGAGTTTTTTTTTTTTTTACGCGATTTATGTATGGGTACTTCCGAACGGAGACGACGCCACTTAAATTTGTATAATATTATTGCTCTTGTCTAGCTGCTGGTAAAAATATTTTTCAAAATAAGGAAGTATATTACATTACGAACAATGTGATTGTGGTCGATGTCAACGGTATACTTTTCAATAATAACTACTTTTTGATTGTTATATCTTATTTATCACCTTAACTGCCATAAGGGTCATTCTTGGGCCTCAGTAGAATTATTAGTTAAGCCAAGAGGAGTAATTTTGTCCCTCGCTACTATGTCGCCTCTATACACTCGTGGGATTAAATAACCCCTTAGTTACTGTCTAAATATCATTCTATCTAACTCTCTGTTATTAACTGATTAAAACGATCTACTTAGCATTTAAATATTTGCATTTCTTGTACCATGATGTAGGTATAGCAGTCAATGCGAGATTTATATATTTTTTTTAAACTTAAAATTAAAAATTAAATTTGTTTACATAAACTAAGGTCCAAAACAATTTTTTGAATACAAATCATATATAAAATTGACCGAAAAATTACGTTTAGTGGAACGAAGTTACACGGATAAGTTCGAGGAATTAGAGAATTTAATTTTAAATTTTTCATTATATATCATAGACGTGTCTACGTTTAAGGCAGAGTGAGCAATTGTCTCTCCTGGAAATTCTGAGACCTTTTAAATTAATTTATTAACAAACATCATCAATGTTGGACAAAATAATTAATAACATAGCGTTTAGTTTGAATCGAGAGAAAATTCAAAATTCAAATGATAGAAAATATTGTTAACATACACAATTTAATAATGCTTGAAGTTGATAATGAAAATATTTTGAGTTTAATTCAGGTGTTTGATTCAAATCAAAATAATTTAGAAGTTAGAAGACTCTATGTCTGAAGACAGACAAAATAAATGCCTTGATTGGATTGAATGATCAACTATAAATTAAAGATATGCAATGTTTATAAATATAAATCAAACTATATAAACGTTTGTTGCCATTCCGGTTACTAGCTGCACTTGTGATAAAATGTCATTTTAAAAATTAAGTTTCATTAAACCTATAAACTTCAAAGCACAATGAAACCAAGGCCGTTAATAGAACCTGTTGACAATGTATATTCATCAAGAATCAGATTACAATATCAATATTAATGTCGTTATCAAAACTATTAAAATTCTAACACCAGTGGTATAGTGGGGCGTGTACGCGGGTATACAGCGTATGCCCACTTCTCTGATTTTCTGTTGGTGCATATACTTAAATAATGATATTTGATACGTAGGTATAAGCCGTTCATTACATGCATTTATTACATAAGTCGAATAATTTGATAAATACTATTTAATTAATAAATAAAAAATGTTGAACAAACCTTATCAGTTATCGGTTTCCATAATCGAAACCGATGAGGTTACATATTGATAATAGAGTTCATCTATGGCTCCAGTAAGTCATACAGTTATTTATACACATTGTTAGAAAACGCATTACATGTAACCACGGTATATTAATCGCGCATGTAACTGAAACGCTACAGAGCACCACTACCGGTGAGGCAGTGATCAGTGTAAGTGTGCAATTACGTAACTCGTGTTGTCTCGTGTTGTATAGTAATTTTAGATTCTGAGTAGAGCGAAGAATCTTATGGTTTTACAAAGATATTTATTTATTTTTTTTTTTTTTTTATCTATGAATAACTTTTCTACTTTTTGTAGTGGATACATTTCATATGTATTTATTCAAAATTAATTAAAAATATTATTGTATAACGAATGTGTTTCAGTTGAATTAAATATTATTTAATCTCGAGATTGCATGTAACTAATACATAACTGTATCAATTTAAAAAATATTCATAATAAGTGCTTTGAAGAATGGGAGAATTTATATAATTATAAATTTAAATTTTGCCTCGTCGGCTATATAAAGGTCTATGACACGCCTATGTTTTATTTAGGGAAATAAAGTATGTGAATAGTTCGTGTACGGATTCTATTCGTGCGAGTTTAAAAATAGGGCTAGGTTGTTACTAACCATCTTAATAAGTGGCTAAGACACAATCATTCAAGATTGCCAATTTCCCGTGTTGCAAATGAGTGTCAATCATTTTTTCATGGTTGATGAATTTGAACATGTTTGACTTTTTGTACAAGTCTTATCAATAATCTTAAAACTGTCAAACTCGAATGATCATGTATGGGTCCTTTTATAATTGTGGCCAACAAAGTGATCAATCCTCGATAAGACACTCATTGTCTCGGAAAGAATTAACTTTTTTTTCAAGACAATTTATGAAACAAACAGCTCTAAAATGTTATATTACCGTTATTTTTGACGATGAAACCACCTTTTCACTTTGAATTTTGGGTAGGGATAAAGTAGTTAAGTACTATTCAAACCAAGCACGTAGCCAGAAATTTTCAAAGGGGAGTGTTATGAAAAGTAACAAAACCTATTGATTGAAAAAAGACGGACATACTTCGCACGATAGGTGGAACGCTGTTATAGATGAGAAGGAAGGAAGGTAGAATATAGAAGGGAATTTAATGTATATCTGTGAGCAACAATTAATCATTGGTATCGAAAAACGATTCTGAGCGGAGTTCAGTTATAACGGCATGTTTTGAAATGTCGTAATATTTATGATTTTTGTCAAAATTTCATATTAAAATTCTTATAAAAAAACGAACATTGTTAAGTAATTTACATAGAGATATAGTTACGTTTACGTATGTGGGTAACTATAGCCATTGTAAAATTATTATCTTGCACAATATTTGTATGTACATGTATTAAATAAACATGATCAAGAAGGGGAGGGTGTTGCTTCACCACCAATAACCCCCCTCGCTATGCCACTGATTCAAATGCCATGCGTCGCTCTACAACTAAATGATGCTCTAATAAAATATCAGTAATGTAATATTTAGAACTACTATTGTTCTTTAAATGGTCCAAAAAAAAAAAGAGCTAATACTGAGAATGGTAAGCAAAAATAAACCATTGTTGACAAAAAACGATTCGTAGTAAAGTTCGGGTATACATGATTTGAAAGGTTGTAATATTTATAATTTTCATAAAAATTTGATTTTAAAACTCTTATAATGAACCTCCTGTTAAATTTTCAAGCACTTCTGTGTAGTCCAACAATTTTATCTACAGAGTACCTACCAAATAAAAATTACATTAAAAACTTACAAAATTAAAATGTCTACACATAGCTCAAAAATGAAAATTATAGGTACCACATGAAGAAAATGTAAATATAAGATACCTTTCAAAATCATTATTTTCATAAATCTTCTGGGTCTTTCTACGTTCTTTTTCGGTTTAGCTCAATTATTAAAAAGATTATAGGAAAAATCAAAAAATGATTTTCTTACTCACCAACTAGATTAAAAATTCAACAAAAAAAATCTCTTGTTGTTTTTCTATTGGAGCAATATTTATGATGGAAAACATAAACCGCAAAAATTTTAAACAATGAAATCGTATGAATTTGCTCTTTTTTATTTTTCGTCTTTTTTTGGTTTTTCAATTTATTATGAAAACTACTTGGAAAATCAAAAATCGATTTTTTTTTTTTCAGGAGCATCTAAATCCAAAAATATAACAAAAAAGATCACTTGTTTTACTATTTGAGCAATATTAAAATTAAAAACAATGAAATCGGTAACGCCGCGGCGTGCCGTAAATATTTATCGTTTGTAAGTTAAATTGGTAGAAAAGGTTCGTTTTTTCGTACATTTAGACCAATAAAGTCTAATAAGGACATACTCTCTGTAGTTAAATTTCTGTTTTGAAAAACGATTTGAGTTCGTATTTGAAATTTGGTCATTACAATTTCATTGTGGGACAGCTACCATGTGTATAAGTACATCAATCGAGATTGCGTGAATTAGATGCACGGACATCCTTTGTCCACTGTAACGCTCACGTATTAAATATAATATTTGATAACTAGCGAACGGATTTATATACACTAAAAATTCACAAAAAAAAAGCAATTAAAAAACGACATAAAAGCCCTGACAAATCACTTAAAAATTATTCAAAAGAGCAACAAAGGTAGAGGGGTTTAAAAGTTTCCCCGTCTATTTTTTTCTAACTTATTAAAAATAATTTTTTAAAACATTAAAAAACGCGATTATTACCTAAATAATTGTCTTCAAATATATTTGTACGTGTTATTAAAAAAAACAATAATTTTTTGTGTTAGTCATTTGTCAATGTTAGAAAAATGTACTTAATATAGGGTTAAAACCATTAGAACGGGGATTTTAAAACGCCTTTACCGTTTTTGATTTAATATTGCGAAGTGCTATTTTGACGATTTAAGCGGTTTTTCGCGGATTTTAAGTACATAACGGATTTATAACCAATAAAGAGGCTTTTACTGTATTGATTCGACAGTAAATATTGTTGATCTTTGGAAAAAATAATAATAATAAAATATTGTTACCGGTGGAAATTATTTGTTTATTAAGCACGGCGGGTCGGTGGGTCGGAAAATTCAATATCTTTTACGCTGCGCCGCCAAGAAATCGACGCCGATATTTACGCCATTGCGGGCGGCGACGATTGTACGCGGTGCCGGTCGACCCAAATGGCCGCGGGACTCTGCGCGAACGTCGACAAAGAAAACGGATGAAATAAAAATAAAAACGACTTACGAAATTATTGGTGTTCGGCGAGTGTCGCGCGGTCTTGACGAATTGACAGCCGCGAGTCGCGTACACCGTTCGTCGGGTACCGTTTTTTCGTTTCGTTTCGTTTTGTTTTTCCCTCCCCCCTTCCCCTCCCCCCCGTATAATCGTCCGGTGTCGGAAAACGATAACGGGCCCGATGTACGAACGACGATGACTGATAGACGGGACGTTTTCTCACCGGTCGCGACGCGCGTGTACCTATCGATATCGCAGTGTATCGGTAAGTGTACGCCTATACATACACGTATATAATATTACCCGACGTTTTTTTTTTTTCTCCGGCTGCCGTCGCTATTATAACAATTGATACGCGCGCCGCGAGAACACACGAGCAAAATGAAATAAATCGACAACAGAACGCGATTTATACGAAATGATATCGTGTATGATTATTACGCGTCAAATCCTGTACGGAAAAACGGATCGCGTCGACGACGGCAACACACGCGCACCGGCCGTGCTCTCCGGACGACGTCGGACAAACGTTTAAATCGAAAAAAAAAATAAAACCGCCACGCGCCCGCAGCCACTAACCGCCGCCGCCGCCACCACCGTCGCCGCCGCCGACACCCGCAGCCACCGCCGCGCCATAACTACCGCCGCCGCCGACACACGCGGGAAACATCGCTCACGGTCGGCGGACGGATGGCAACAATAGGAAAATGGTTGATCTTAAAACGGCTTGGACAGAAAAAAAAAAAACCAACGAACTGCTATATGCGTTACGCACGGTTTTCCCTTATTTTAGATTCTGTGTGTAACGAAGAACGTGTTTGGTTTTACAAAGATGAATATATTTAACCGAATTTGAGAAAAAAAAAAAAACAAAACAAAACACCATTGAAAATATAACGAACCCATTATTCCAATAAACTTCCCGTTTCTTCTACGTTTTTGTGGTTTTAATCAATTATTAGAAAAAAGTTCAAAGCAAATCAAAAATTACCTCTTCAATAATGCACAAACTAGATCCAAAATGCTACCAACAATTAATTCTCTTGTCGTATTTTGATTGGATCTAGATTTCTAGCAGAAAAGCTGTTCATAGTCAAACTAAATTGCTCGGCTCTATAAGCGATTTAAAAAACTATCAATAATAACGGAAAAGACACAATATGAACACAAAAGAAAACCTATTGACGTTGAACTTTCCCAGCAGCACTTGATCGTCAATATTTTAACCGAAAACATAATATACTGTGCGAGCGTATAGTGATCTAAATATTTTATATGTATAATACGATACTTTTTTTTTGAAAAACCATATTTATCTCAGTAGTTTGCAATGATATTAGTTTAGCAACGCTGGTTAACTCGCTGATTTGAAATTTAAGTCAAAATGTGCAGTATTTGTCCTGTTTATATTAATTGAAAAAATTGAACAACCAACACTAGAAATTATATTATTCTCTAAACAGTCTTTTTTGGATTGTATTAATATTATTTACATAATTGATGTTGTTATTAGTATTATCATTTATCGATCATTTTTGCCATAAGAATCGATAAAACATATATTACATATAATATACATAGCAAGAGTTATAAGGTGAAATAATTACCTTACACATATTTAATATTATGTATTATTTACATTTTACATAATAACTGATTGATATTTCTATTAGTATCCAATTGCAAAGTTGCTCGATGGTCGATATCTTAATTGCTTTGTTTCTATAATCCTTCTTCATAAAAACTCCTGAACGAACTATTTGCCCAAGCGTGTTTATAGTTGCTTTCGTTACTATACATTTTATAAATCAGTAGATTTATTTTAAATAATTGAGAATCGAACAACAACAAAAATGTGCTATGATTATAATATTAATATCCCTTGGGAGACGTAAGTACATAACATGGGAGGCGCGAGGTAAATTACATTGATATTTTTAAATCAACAATGATTTCGTTGAAACATTTTTGAATCGTTGAATCAAATTATCATATTTATGTAACATTTTTGAAAAACTTAATTTGTTCAACACATCTTTACAAGGTGAAAAAACTCATATTCTGCAATTATATAATAAAGTGGACATGGTGATATGATTTTATTAAAAAAAATCAACTTATGCAAAGAAAACGGTAAAACCACTTGTTTTCCACTTTGAATACATTTTCTGGAAGATAATTGTAATAACTTGCTATGGATAGGTATAAAATAAATCAATAAACAATTAACATGGTGCGATTATACGTGTCATAACGTGGTCACTAGTATATATTAACCACATAATAACCAAATACATACAACTAACCTTAATTAACAATTATAGTGTTACCACATTCTTCCCTCTTAATATTAATATTAACATTTTTTTTTTTACAATATAATAATAATAATAATAATATAATAGTAGAACAATAATCCAGCGTGACAATAGTGGCGCGAACCTAAGTAAAAAGAAAATTGCGCAGTAGCCACCGATTTATAGTAACAAGAAACCGAGTTGTACAATTAAAAACCGTGCTAATTCATGGTAATCCATCGGCCAGTTCTACAGGCCAAACGGCTGAACATATAAGGTCATATAAGGTATTAATCGATCAGAAATATTGTGCAGATAGGAACAGGGAATTGGTTACAGGCAAGCAGATTGGTTAGATGGATTAAAAGTTACCACAAAAAATTTTCAAGTACTTTCAAGTCCGATTTTTCGTATTCTACGTATATCTACTCTCGTTGCTGTGGCGATGACGACGTAAACTTTATTTATACCCCAATCCGCCATTTATCCATCCCACCAGTTTCGTTGTTACAGCGACGATGACGCCGGACCCTCTGTTATTAGGTTTAAAATGAACGACCAGTTTAAAATTCAAAATTCATCTTCAGGTTTAACAAAGTCAAATAATATCGTGACTTTGTTTTTATAAAAAATAGCTGATATCACACCGAAAACACTTATACTGTACATAACTGAAGTACGTCTGACCGGTTAGGTTAACTATTTTATAGGCAAGACCAGTCTATTAGTATAAAGTCTATGGGGAAAAAGAATCTGTTCCCATTTTCTGTGGTACCACAGAAATGGCACTGTGGCGACACTGTTGAAAATACATTGTTTTTTTAATTATGGTTTCACATGGTGTGGTGACACTGTAGCGTTGTGCAATTGGTTCCCGTCAAGTGTGTCTCCACAATTAGAGATACATAGAATTGAATGCAGGATTTCACACGAGAAACGAGACACGACACAAACAACAAACTGTATGTATAATTGATTATCTACTACGTGCAACGTGCTCATAAAGTAATATAGAGAGATCGTTAAATATATATCCGTGTTTTATACTCCGGCCGGTGAGAGAACGCTACTCCTTGGCGCATCTAAATGAACGAGCTCCTTGGTTTCGTGCCCAAATGTCTACCGCTCTACTGTCTACTTGCCGCAGGAATGCTCCAGAACGGACGAGTTTTGGTCACCACTCAGTAGCGATTTCTCGTCAGCCGGACTATAGTAGTGAAGTCAATTAATGTTGGGTCATAGACCCTTATCGAGAGTCCAACTGCTCCCTACTTGTCCGCTAAATTCTATAGATATCAACAAATTAATGCTATGTATTTTTTATTATTAGAAGTCTGATTTTGATGACTTTACATAATATTTGTATGATTGTATGTAATAAAAATGGTATGTCCACGGTTGAAGGGAAATTAGTTTTAGATGCTGTAAAAGATTCGAGAAATATTAAAACCTATTAGGAGAAACTCGGACCTTAAAAAAACGTCTACAAAATGTATGTATGCTACCTAATATAAGCACGTAAAATCGGTTTGTTAGAATTTTTTAACTACCGTAAGTCTTAAAATTAGAATGAGGTGTGATTAAAATATTATATTCTTAATTACATGATTATAATAATTATGTAGGTATTATTATTGTATTCATTTTTTTCTTAAATGTAAAAAAAATTTAGATTCTGAGTGGAACGAGAAGCTTATAGTTTACAAATATGTTTATTTTTTTTTATCTATGTCCAACTTTTCTACCAGAAGACTTACTCAGATTTTTAAATGTAGTACCTTTTTTTGGAAATCGATGTGGGGAGGTACTTTAAGGAAGTCATTTTTCGATTTTCTCAACCGTTCTCTTATCAAATTTAAAAAACCGACAAAAACGGGAAAAACGTAGGAAAACTGGGAAAATCAGTACAACATTAAACAAATATTATTAAAGAAAATATATAAAGCCTATTTAATTATTTCACTATAAAATGACATATATTAATGACAAAACGTCATTATCAATTGATCTCCCCTCCCCTTTTTGTTGTGGTTTATCGTTGCTCACATGTAAACATTAAATTATCTATGACTGTGACTTCACCCGTCCCCATTATCCTACGTCCTTTTTTTATTTGTGTAATATAATAATATCTATTATGTACGAGTATGTATAATATTCATGGCAATAAATAGATTATGAAAATAATTAATATTTATTTATTTAATTTAATAGAAACACCAAATTAAATAAATTATTAACTACTAGAGATTATTGTTCTCAATTATTCCCTACATGTTACAATATTGTTTAGGTGACTACTAGTTAGTACTGGTAGAAGTGAGTGCAATAATTATTTTCTTCTAAAAGTGGCTAGCCTGCCCAGAGTCCATTTGTGCTTCACGATACAATTTAAAATGTTCTATATTACTCTATGACCATGCTCGAATTTTCGCATAGTATTATACATAGACAAATATAGCCGTATACTAATCATATTAGAGCGGTAGGTGAATTGCTTCCCATTTTTATAAAACTAGATGCATTGCGTCCCTGTTGTAACTTAATAAATACTAGGTGAATTGCGTCCTTGTTGTAACACGGACGACATTTTCTACCAGAAATAATAATTTAATCGAAAAATCACAAGATGCATTTTTTGTTGCTTTTTTAATTTACTTTCTTATGGTATCATTGCCAAAACTTTTGAGCCACTTTTAAAGAATTTTAATTTTCGGGTTTTTTTTTTTTTTTGCTGTAATTCAGTTATACATAACCTTAGAGACTTGAAAATCGGTAATAATATTTATATTCGTTATAAGTGTTTTGAAATCAAATTTAAACGAAAATATCAAAGCGAAGGTATCAAAACGTTCTGTCAGAGTTGCCTTTCTGTTTTACCTCTTTTCTATAGACACAGGGCTCATATCTGGTGACGTCACGGTTGTAGTGTGAATGCACACACCAGGAGCGCTCCCATTGAAATAAAGAATGGATAGGCCACCACATATAATGCAATCGATACACGAAATCTGGAAGAAAAAAAACTATTTCTATAGGCGTCACCCTTTGGTTAACAATATTTTGAGATTATATTCAAACTAAAATTATTTTGTTTAATACAAATCATTATATCAAATTATACAACATATTATAAAAAGTTATTAAAAAGTTTCAATAAAACTAATAATTATTTTGTATTGATAATGGTTCGGACTTGTGTAGTTTGCCGTAAATCAAACTTCAATGAAGATGTGTCATTTCACATGTAAGTGCATCATAATGGTAATGGTTATCTTTATTTATAATTATTATTATTAGGTTCCCATTGAATGAAAAAAGAAAGCAAAAATGGATGATTGCCTTGGGGCTTAAAAGTACTGCAAAGTATCAATACATATGTTCAAAACATTTTACTAAAGACTCCTTTAGATTCAGTAATAAAAAAAAACTACTACATCCAAAGGCTATTCCTAAACTGTATGTTAATTCAAATTGTATGCATATACAATTTAAAATAATTAAAATATGATTATATATGTATATTATCTAACTTATTGTTTTAGTACTGCTGCAGAGTATGAGACTTCATTATTACTTAATAATATTGATGATCCGTGTTCTCGAAATAAATTTCACACCATATCGACTATGTCAAATGAGTAAGTATTTTTAAAATTTCACTATAAAATAGCATCCTTAATCAAAACTTTTTATTTTAGTGAATCAGAAATTGTTATTAAGGAACATTTTTCTCCTAGTAAACTTCTTGTTCAACCTAATAACTCAAATGAGTAAGTATTTTTAAAATTTTACTATAAAATAGCATCCTTAATCAAAACTGTTTATTTTAGTGAATCAGAAATTTTTATTAAGGAACATTTGTCTCCTAGTAAATTTCTTGTTCAACCTAATAGCTCAAATGAGTAAGTATTTTTAAAATTTTACTATAAAATAGCATCCTTAATCAAAACTGTATATTTTAGTGAATCAGAAATTATTAAGGAACATTTTTTTCCTAGTAAATTTCTTGTTCAACCTAATAGCTCAAATGAGTAAGTATTTTTAAAATTTTACTATAAAATACCGTTCTTAATCAAAATTGTTTATTTTAGTGAATCAGAAATCGTTGTGGATGAACCGTGTTTTTCAGTTTACTGTCAAGACCTAAATGAAACAGGTAACAATTATTTCTAGACTCTAGTTTCAAACAATTATAATAAAATGTTTTGTTAAAAATAACAATTTGTTAGCTAAACAACATTACCTTGTAACTACCAATTTAGGACTTTTCAGGAAATGAAATAATTAATTTAATTTGTTTAAACAGTTCTAACATTGTATAAAGTTACATATATGATGACCTGTATAAATTTTTGGAAAATGTGTAGTTCTTTTTTAAAATAACATATTTTGCATAAGGAATGAAAGTAGTTACGATTTATTGCTCTCATTACTTTTATGTACGAAATATTGCATTTTGTAGATAATTGGTATTATATGTTTACATTGATCACTTATAATTTTATAATAACATTGATCTACATTCATAATATTATTGTTTATAGCATAACTTATAAAGTAAATAGTTTGAACACTAACATAGTATATTATTAATTGTATGCTTCTAAATATTTTTAAATTTTAGTTACTTATACCAAATATGAACACCATCTTAAATTTAAAACCATTTATTGGTACTTTATTTTGGAAATTACATTGTGTCATAACATTAATAATATTATTGAGATAATTGTTATGGTTTACTTTGACTAAAAATGTGTTTCACAATATTACTATTATTATTGTTTATCTTTATTGTTGTTTTTATTATTTTAACAAATACACTTTGTCCATTTATTATTTAACTTTTATTGTTAAACAACGTGGTTTTTATAAAATGTCTGTGTACATCTTTACATACTACTTTTTAATTAATTAATATCTTACTAACCTAACTAAATTATTTTATCACTGTTATCAGTATGCATGCTCTTTTTTTTTTCTTATTCGTATTTAAACTATCTTTATATATTACTTAATAGTTACCATTAACAATATAGAAAATTTCACATTATACTACTTATAAATCTGATTATCTCTATACCTAATAAGGATTTGTGTTTTCCACTGAGATCTTCTCAGCCCTATGCCTTTTTTTTCTTCATTAATTTCTCTTTATTTTTCAACACCTCTTTCTTTTTTATTATTACTAAGAATATTTACTCTCTTCTTCTTCTTCTAATCTTAGAAATGTCTTATTATTTTTTATAAATACATTGTTCTGTTTTACCACTCTATCATTTTTAAGTACTTTGACTAAAAATAATCTTAAAGATAATGTCTTTATAATCACACCTTCACTCCATACCTTACTTTTAAATCTTGTATACATACTAATGCCCTATACTGTGTTTCTTTAACACTTGTTCTATTATAGTATTTAGTTAATTTTTCTTTGTTTTCTAATATTGTTTTATGTGCTACTTCACTAACCACTTTAGGTTTTAAGTTTTCAACTTTAAAAGGAATTTTAAATCTAAGCACTCTACTTATTAATATTTGCGATGGTGAATACTATAATCCTGCAACTGGACTATTATTATAATTTAACTTAAATAGTTTGAATTTTTTACTCTCATTGAGACTTATTATTCCTATTGCCCTTTCTGTTTGTCTATTACTTTTTGGATAATTGGGTAATGCTGTATTTATGGCAAAATTCCATTCCTTAGCAAATTGTTTGTATTCCTATGAGCCATAGGACATATTATCCACCACTACTACTTCAGATATTCCATGTGTACCAAATATTTGTTTAAATTTTCTTACACACTGTTGAAGTTTTGTTATTTAATAATTTTACCTCAATCCACTACGAAAAATAGTCAACCAAGATTAAATAAAATTTACCTGCATACTCTGCTGCGTCTACACCTACCTTATTAAATGGTAAATATGGTATTTGAAAACCTAAATACGTTTCATGTAACAAGTTCAATATATTTTTTCTTAAAGTTTTTGGTATCATCAATCTTGTTTTATAATATATAAGATTTTCAGCCATATCTATTTCATTTGTATTTCATTTTGTTTATCTATTACTTTCAGCCAACCATTTTTATAGTATTCAATTAGTACTTTCAAAGTTTTATCCTTGCTTGTTTGTCTTTGAAAATTGTTTAGTTTTCCTTCACTAAATTTAATTTGTTTAATTTCTACAGAATGTACTACATCCCTCATACATAATTCTTCTTCTACTACTTACATCTCTATATTAAATTTTCATCATTTAATTTTTTGTTTAATGAAAGTGTAGGAGCTATCACACTCCATTTGTATGTGCTTTTTGATCAAGAACTTTTGTTCAATTCCAACATCAAGAGTTTTTTAAAAATGTAATAAGATATTCGATAAAAAAAACCATTTTTGTTTTGATAACCACAATAATCTGAATACAGTATTATTGGTATTTTTTTTACACATATCTTAGTTAAATGTTTATTTATTAATTATTATAGTATAAATAAAGATGCTTGTAGTTCCCAATCTCTCTCATGAGACCAATAGTTGTTAAAATAACCTACTACTAATACTAATACTAATGTTATAAAAAGTAATATTATGAACTTTTAATTTCATATTATAGTAAAAGGCATTTGCTTGAAGAACTGTACCAAGTTGGACTGCTTACATGTCCATCCAAAAACATAGCACTTATTTTACTGTGCTTTTTTATTACTTCTTTTCTTCTCCAGCTCAATTTTTATTTTGAATCGTGGACAAAAATATAATATAATATAATAAAATAATAATATATATAATATTTGAATAGTAGATAAAATAGAATATCAAAAAAAGTATAAAAACAAGCACAAATGACTAATAAAGGAAAACAGAACAATTCATAAGGAACAACACTGTTGGCTTTAATTTATTTTTATTTTTATTCATGAATTCATCGGAACTAAAATGTTCCTGACACAGATTTATTATATAATTTTCCTTTAGTCAATGAAAGTAGATTAATGTTTCCTAGTAACAGTAAGAACATAATTTTGATATAATTAAAAAATATTGAATAAGAGATAATTTTAATTAATTAATACACACCACAGTTCACTACCCACATTTTACTTCTGACTTCATCTTTAGGAAATCGAAACATGCTTAGAGTCCTGTCGAATTTATTATAAAATCAATAATAATACTTTAATTTCTATTTCTGTTGAAAATATACTGTTAGAACTTATTTAAATCTATTTAATCTATTACCCATATTTTTCAAATATTACTAATTCATTTACCTTATTGTTTTTTGGTTTATGATCAATTTCATTATTAATGGTATTATGATATACAAACTCAGAATTTTCAACAACATCTTTGTAAGTTAACTGCTTTGAGTTTTCTTGTTCCTCTTAGTAGCCATAACATTATCTACAATATTTTTGTATGTTATTTGCTTCGACTATTTTGTTTTTTTTTTTTTATTATTATTATTAGGAGCCATTTGAAAAATATTATTCAATCTTTGCTTTGACATCGCTAAAATAAATAATTAAATAATAGAATAATTTGTAAAAATAACAACTAAGTATATTTTTTATAATTTTATATCTGATTAGTAATCTTAAATGTTCTTATAAAGAAATTCAAATTAAACAATACGATTTGGTGTTTTAAACATTAAATATGATGACAACCACATGATATTTTACTAGTTTTACATTTTATACTAGTTACGTTTACTCGTTCCTATCGGCTATAAAAATTCCATGACTACTGACTAGTATGGCACTGTAGTGTAGAAATTTAATTTACGATAAATATTGTAATATTATTGGTAGATGTGATATATCACTTAATTGTGTTTTTGGAGGGAAATATTTATCACGAAAAATATAAACGTCACCAAAAAGATTAGACATAATGATGATTAAAATCTTGATTTGAGTAGTAAGACTATGGGTATTTTTATGGACATGAGGAAGGCTTTTGATAGTATCAATCATGAACTATTACTTAAAAAGCTTTATTATGTTTGAATTAAAGGTTTCATCAAATGCCCTTATAAGATCATATCTTACCAATAGGGTGCAAGTTGTTAATGATAAATATAGCAGCTCGCTTAATATAAATCATGGGGTACTTGGACCCATTTTCTTTATTATATATATAAACGGATTGCTTAATACGAGTATTAATGTCAATGAAAATATTGTGTATTATGCAGATTATATTGTTATCCTTGTAAATGATAAAAACATTGATACATTATATACTAAAGCTAATAAAGTCTTTGCAGATGTCATTTTTTTTTTAAGGAATTTATCCGAAAAAGTTTTAGCTGCTTGTAATCTACTTTTAAAAATTTTTTCTACTTCTATATCGCTTAGTTATTACAATAAATTAATATTATTACTACACGAGCAAATAAAAGGCAATTTATTTATTTGTACATCAATTTCTACCAATTTTTTTTATAATATTGCATTACTTCAACCAATTTTTTTTTTCTAATAAAATTATTACAAGATTGCTTTAATAAGTTAATTTTAAAATATTTAATTGGATAATTATATTTATTACACCAGTTGACTATAACTACTGTTTCTTAAAATTTTTCAAATTTAATATTGTGTTCTATTGAAATTTTATAGAATTTGATTGAAAAAACATAATAAATAATTATATTAATACATTTCACCTGCAAATAATAGTAAAGAAAACTGTATTTATACCTCTGTTTGTATAGAACTATGGGCAGGTATCGAAAAATGTATTGGCCTCTAAAAATATACTTGAATTCGACACGCCATTGTTTGTACGCATTTTTATAACGTTTACTGTATAGTTCCTGTAAATCTCAGTAAGGTTTCCTTTCAGAAAAAATACTACACTGGTAAATCGGAGCAAAATTTCTAATAGCAAAGTTGTTCACAGATAAAAAAAAATAAACATCATTATAAAACGAACTCATTCCGCTCAAAATCTAAAAAATGTAACAAGTTTAATTAAATATAAAATATATTACAGATGTCAAAAAATTCTTGATAAAATGCAAAGAAATTACTTACTAATAAATTTCATTACAATATTAGTTTGTACAACAATAATCGTACGGAGTGGTATACTTAAGATCAAATTTTATTACATCACTGTCTTATGTTTGACCACAACTCGAAATGTATGCAATATACGGAATTCTCGTCTATAAGTATAAGATATGTGGTGTTATGTTATAATTATTTAATATGATAAGCAAATTATATTAATTATTTTAATCATTAGGTTCATCTAAATATTGTAGCTGGTAATTTCGAGATTATACTAATTTATTTACTAAATGCATACATAACATACATATAAACAACAAAGCGCCTCCTAGTTTAGCGTTCTAAATCATATAATTCATAGAACTATGTTTCATAAATAGATAATCGAAATGTAAATCTGTAAATGACAAAATTATTTTATACTAATTTTATTAGTATTTACTATGGAAAATATATGCTATTATTTTAAAATCAAAAGTATGTAGCCACCCCAAAAAAAAGGCGACAAAAATGGAAAAGAAAAATTTTGGAGCTGCTTATTTCTTTGATGTTCTAGAAAACAAATTTCAAAACAAATTAATACTTTCCGAGATACGTTATGTTGATCACTCTGTATATTAGCTTATTAAATCTATTTATTATTACGGTTTGTTAATTTTACTCGTTTGCCTTTTCGATTTTAAAACTTGTCTAAATTTATTTGTTTGTTATAGATTTTCAGTACCTAATGAGTATAGTTAGATACCATAAATTATAATATTTGCAATAATAGGTAGGTATATGACCTTGAATATACGCGAGTTCCGGCAACACGACCGCGATGACGTTACAATTTAATATTTTCATTCGTTCAAAATGACTTGTTTCGTTTTACTTTTGATTCAAATATTATATTCACAATAATTATATGATGACTGTGAGCTAGCAAATTGCGAAAATAGTATATTCCTGTTAAAGTGTATTATATCCACAGGCGTATATGGTGTTTTCTTGGGGATATGAAATAATATATTTTAGAGGCAAATTTTTTCCTAAAGCACCGTAGATTTTCGAAGTATTAAGGGACTAAAGAGCACGTCAAAACCGAATAAAGGTCTCTCAAAAATGCTTAAATGTAAATTCTCTAATTGCTCATATCACCCACAAAAGTACCCTTTATCGTAAAATAAAATTAGATCTAGCTCAGGCGCGTCCCTGGGAGGGAGCGATGGGGATAATCCCCTCCCCCGAGAGAAGTGGACTTACATTAGCATTAGGCATAGTCAATGGTCCAAAAGTATATATAACAGATATCATCAATATAATATTTAGCATCATTTTTTAGATTCTGAGTGTAGCGAAAAATGTATTGGTTTCACAAAAATGTTTATTTTTTTTTTTTATACCTACTGTGACAAAAATTTTTACCAAAAATCTTGCCCCGATTTATACGTGTGGCGCCGTTTCTGAAAGGAATAGGTCAGTGGTGTGCAACCTGTTTTGATCCACGGTCCCCAAATGAATTTATTTCGATGAGGCGCCCCCCATTCTACTAACATTTCATAAGTGTATAATGCATATATTTAATTAATGTATAAAATAAATCATTATAGTTGTATAAATTAAATCGTTTATTTTAGGCAATTTTAATATTTGTTTAATTTAATTTATCCACGTTATAAAAAAAAAAATTACCGAAATTGTTGTAATTATACCTAATCAACATTTTAATAATTTAAAATTATAAAATTACATGATTAGGAATAAGATCCTTGTGCGTGAATTGTAGACATGATTGAATTTAAATTGGGTTTGATATTTGAGACTGCCACTCTTAAATCTGCTTCGACATTTAATTTGGAGCGATATTTGTTTTTTATTATCGCTAGTGTTGGAAATGTTGTTTTGCATAAATAAGTTTTAGCAAGTAATGATTTCTGATTAAATTTAAAAATAATCCATATACTACGTGATTCAGTAGAACTTATTATCGCAATATAATACGGCCACCGACGGTACAAGAAATATTACGTTAGGTAAGTATTTAAAGTAATATTTATTTATATATTATATAACTTTCATTTGATGTAAAAATATTGGCGATCCTCTGATAAAATTTCAACACCCACTTAGAGGTTGTGGCCCCAGGTTGCGCACCACCAGTAGCGCTGTATGATTTTCTTGCCAATTTGAAACATAATGTTGTATGAATAAGTGATAAGAACTATCATCATAAAGATCTTTTTCTATACTTAGAAGGCTAAAATCGTATTTACAACACTATACAGAACAGCAGAAAATTAATAGAATGGCTGCTTTAAACTTATATAGAGACATTGAAGTTAAACCAAATTCAGTTCTTAATGTTAATCTTAGACTGTAAGTTATTATTATTATTATTATTATAAAGGGTGGGCCATTTAAATCTTCGGGGTGTTTTTTGGTAATCATTTTATAAAAAAATACAAATTATTAATTATGAATAATTTTTTATTTATTTTGGAAATTTGTTCTGATTATTTTTTAAAAATAATATCGCCTAAATGGTCGCCTTCAGAGCGAATGGCATAATGTGCTCGTTTTCCATCACTTTTCGAAGTGTTTAAGGTTGAACGGGGCCGTAAATAAACCAAATTTTTGGTTCTACACCAATGAAAACCCTCAATTAATCCACGAATAACCTCTTAACAATTTTGCGCCGGATTTTTTGCAAAAACAATCATTGGACCGTTATTTTGATGGAGCAGCCGAATCCATCAATGAAAAGCGTTATCGGGCCATGATAACGGATATTTTGATTCCATTTTTGACCGACAACGGCATGAACGACGATTGGTTTCAACAAAACGGCGGCACCACAGCTCATACAGCTCGAACCATGATCAATTTATTGCGTCTTTGGTTCCTTGGACGCTTAATTTCAAAATATAGTGATTTCGACTGGCCTCTACGATCACCTGACTTAACGCCTTCAGACTATTTCTTGAGGGGTTATTTGAAGTCCAGATTTTCGAGAAGCCACGAATCCTAGATACGTTGAAAGATAATAAATGACAGGAAATGGCCACTATTCAGCCTAAAACACTTCGAAAAGTGATGAGAAATGCTGAAAAAGAAAAAAACATTACACCATACGCTCTGAAGGCGAACATTTACGCGATATTATTTTTAAAAAGTAATCAGAACGATTTGCCATGACTAAAATAAACGAAAAATTATTAAAAATTAATTATTTGTTTTTTTTTTTTTTTAAATTATTACCAAAAAACATCCCGAAGGTTTAAATGGACCCCCATGTATTTATAAGTAAAGTATATTTAAATACATAATTAATATGAATTTAAATTGTTTTCAAATATATATTGTCTATAAATTAAATTTAAACAATTTAAAGATTTTACTTATATACCTAATTAAACCTTACCCCCTACACCCTACCAAACACCATCCAAAATTGATATTTTTTTCAAATTCATAAAAAAAAATTAAAAAATTATACTTATCATAGTACACCAATAGATCCGAATCTAAAAACTGCTCGCATACTAATCTCAATTTACATTTTCCTCTTTATATTATCATATAAGGACAAATAGTCCAATTTTTTCTTTTTTTACATACCGGATACTTAATTAAATAGTAGGTACCTATTATAAAGACGTTATTTTAGATTTTCTCAGAGGGTCTGAATTGGTGTAATACTTGAATTTTTTTTTGTATATGTATATAAATTAATTCAGAAAATGTTTAAAAAATACACAAATAGCACAATATTCGCCCCCAAACTACATGCCCATCATTACAACATTGATTATATCGATTACATTGCAAATTTTGGCGTACCGAAAACATTTTACATATGTTCGTAATATTAACAAAAAATAATAATAATAACTCGTTTTTTTTTTGTTTAAATACTCCGGCATTGATAATTATATAAAATATTTTGTCGTATTTGACTAGTTAGGTACCTATAATAATATATTGTGTATTCAAACATAATGAGTTTTGGATTTCGTTGCATGTATACAAATAACAAATTTAAATATACGTATAAATAGCTTAAACTAAGATTCGGACATTTGAAAAAAAAACTCACTCGACCACTTTCATAGAATTATTAAATCACCGTGTCGTATTTTATCACAAATTAATAAGGAACATTTACATGATTACTGTATAAAATACAAGTAACAAGTACTTCCCCAAATGTATTGCGCAAGGTCTTTTATAAATAATAATAATAATGATAATATTCCGACGTCACCAATTTATTCATTTACAATTTGTACACGTATCTATGGTATAATATAATATCAAGGTCGTGAAATGTATCACAGTGATTTTCTGCTGAACAATCAACCAAATAATAGTCGAATATTAAGAGAATAGATAGCGCCTATCTAAATATTTTTTAATTTTCTCATATTATAAAGTGCCTAATAACCAAACGTTCTTTCGATTGTTGTCATCCAAAACACAATACCCTGTGTGTAAAATGTAATGACTAATCAGTAATGCTATACTAGCTATGACCCTAAAAACTTTTAACTACCTATACATATATGCACAAGGTTTTTACTAACAGAAAATAAAACCATACATAACAAAACCAATAGATCCCTCGCTACTCTCCTAATCTAAAATCATGTTGAACATTTCTTTGAAATGTACAAAATCCTCAAATATGCTCTGAAAATCTAAAATAAACAAATAAAAATATTTTTTATACAATCAATACTATTCAAAAACATATAAATATCTCAGTAAATAACATTCATTGTTTGTTGTTCTCATACTATATAATCGCGAACAATATCATCAATATCAATACCAAATCAAAGTTTTTAATCGACTACAATGTCATCTCAAACACCACACTAGGATTAATCGTGTACCTTTTATGGATATCTATCGAAAATAAAAATTTTTCTTTTTTTTAAATACATTTTTAGGTAAGTACCTATGCATGTTTCGATATATTGGAAGACAAAAATGTATAGGTACATTTCTAATTAATTTATAGTCTCTACGAAAAAAAGTTTGTTTAATGATATAATTAATGTAAAACGACATCACGACATGATTTTAGAGTAAATGTTTTTTACATATCTACCTAATATCTTTTTAAGTTTTTTTTTTTTTTGTTATTTTATTATCATTATAATAATCAGTCCTTAATATTATTTTACATATTCGATCGATTTTAAGTCGCCTGTGTGCGGGTAAGCGGTGAAATGCATTTATAATATTATGCATTTGTACCTATTAAGTAGGTAATTTTATCTATATTGGGTCGTTTACATAATTCGACTTCATTTGATATTGTCGCATTCTTCGGGTAATAACTCACTATATAAATGATGATTATAATATAATATTATAAACCAATAAGTATGGGAATGCTGTGCATTTTGTATTAAATATGGCACCGAAACAAATAATTTTAATACAAATGATGGATGCAGTGCATATCATAGGTTCCAAGCGGTTCCAAAAAAAATAAACCGCAGAATATTACATACATGATACATACGTACCCAGGCACATACACGAAAAAATAATTCGCGGGTGGTTCATAGGAAATTTATAATAATCAATACTATCAATATTATCAATATTTTAAAAAAAAAAGACGTCCTAGGATAATGAGGACGGGTGCAGCCACTACTGTTATAGGTATTTTAATGTATACTTATTATTATAATTTTGTCGATTAAAAATATAATATTACATAATTATCCTGTAATTACATATTTAATCGCGATTAATAAACTAAATAGTTGTCAGAAAAATTATAAAAAATTGTAGTCACAGCGACCTGTAACAATACTAACTTCGAAAAACGAAAAAAAATTTACCATATCCAAACCGAAGCTCGCTGTTTGTGTCATCAGCCAAATTTTAAAATTTAAAACATTTAGTCGTTTAAAAACACACCATGTGGAAGTTAAGTATGGTGGAATAAGAAAATATAACGCCGGCAGGTGAAATTTTAAAGTGAAAAAATCGATAATGCACAAGAATCTTAATACAAAATTATGGTATGTACCAAAGTTGGGCAAAATTTTATCTAGACAATTATTTGAATAAATGGGTATTCGGATAAGAAATTATCCGAATGATTATTTTACTGTGATATTTTATTTCAATAACAAGTAGTTACGGTAAATCGATATTTTATTAATAACCCTATTTTTTTTTTTAACAAACTTATTTTTATAATTTTGAACAAGGTAAAATTGTATTTTTATATCATTATATTATGTTTAATTATAGAATTAAGTAATTAAAAAAATTATTTTTTAAATATTTCACGTTCACGATCATTTTGTTAAAATTGAACTAATTACAGGCTCGTTTCAGGATTGAAGAATGAAACTAGTTCTTTTTTTCATTCCTCAAGTAAAAATAAAAATCATTAAATAGTATATAATATTTACATATAATTATGTATTTTTTTCTTTTAAATTTCAATAGATATTATCGACTTCAAAAACACCCAATTTCTAGATGTCCTTCACGAGAGACGATTGGGACAAAATTATGTTTATAATATATGTGTTATTAATGAATGAAAGCAAAAAAATGTTTTGAGATATTAAAATGATTTAAATTAGCTGGATATGTCTGTGAAAAAAAGGAATCGAAAATAAATCGCTCATGTTCCTCCAATAATTGTACGTGATAATTCCAATACGTTCCCGATAAATTCCTGAAAAGTGAACGAAATCAATGGAACTCGTTCCCTTCAAGCAAGATATATTTTATATAAATATACGTGTACATCTGATGCGTTTCGTGTGTTGCAATAGCTAATTTTATCGTAACCGTATTTTGACAAATGCTATAAATTAATATATTATGTAATCAAAATAACACCAACAGAGTAGTTATGTTTTTTATAACACAACGGACTTCAATAGGTCTTCTTCGCGTTAGATGTCCAGGCTTCTGAAAAAAGTCACCGTAAATACCTTCGTACCAATGACTTACGAGTAACAATGGGCCTATATAGAAAAATATTACGTATACACAGGCCTTAGGGCCGCGTGGATTGATTGCGTCCGGGGCGCCAAAAAAAAACCCGGTTTACGGCACCGGGCGGCGAAATGAACTGGGCCTAAAACAGCGGACCGAGAATTCGCCATGACGTGATACTTGCATAAAATCGACTCGTATGGTTAATTAATAGTAAACACGATAGTGAACTGATATCGTAATGTCGTAATTTATTCACGTGATCACAAGTACCGCGGTGTTCGGACAGATAGGTCCCCGTATTGATGTATTTCATATTTACCTGTATATTGCACTTGTTGAATTGTGTGCGTTTTTCGCGGCTCGGCTGCAAGTGACATCCGTGGTTTTTATGTTTACGGCCGTATCGCGTAATTTCAGCGATACCCGGGTGTTCGAGAGGTGAGTGGGTAAGGCACCCGTGGTACCTGTACGTGGCTACGCATAATGTGCGTTTACGGTGAATGAGTACTAAAGCAGTTCGCTATATAATATACAGTGCCCGTCGAAACCTTTTTAACGGGCATTTCAACCATTTAAAGATGTTTGTTCGGCGAGCTGTTTTGTATTAGCAAAAGATTTAATCGTGTGCGATACAGGCGAGCACCGAGTACCCGGCCGATCGGCGATAAATAAAAATATACAAATTTTCAAGTATCTGACTACACCTACCGAGCCTGTAAATATTGTGCAATAATAACGCGAGGCGGCTTTCTCTACAGGAGCGAGTGTTTAATTAACGCGATCCTTAATCGGCGGAAATTGTCCGATCCAGCTTGACCGGAATACGTCGGAATCGCAATAATTGTATTTCCTTCCGGTTTTTATGCAAAGTAAGTACCTATTTCAAATCATTTTAGGGCCCGAGCGGAACGAGAAATGTATTGGTTTTACAATTATGTTTAATATTTTTATTATTATTATTTTTTTTTTTTTTTATGTAAACACTTTTTCTACCAGAAATCCTAATCTGATTATCAAGTGTAGCGTATTTTCTGAAAGGAAATCTCACTGGTGTGGGATACTGTAAGAGGTTATTTTTTGATTTTCCCACGGGTTTCCATAATAATTTTGGAAAAACCCCCAAAAAAATGTGGAAAAAACGGGAAAATTCATAAAATGTATTATTTTCAAATCGTATATACTCGTATTACGGCTTTTTAAAACCGTTTGAATTGTTGGAATATTTTTTTATTATTTTTTTTTTATTTTTGTGAACTTTGTGGTGTCATCTTCGTGTAACTACTCTATAGAGAGGTCATTTTTTTAAATTCTCATTAATATTCGAGATAATGAGGAAAACCTGGTTCTTTAGGTTAAAAAAGGTTGAAAGATTTAAAATAAGGTTTTCATTCGCAACCGTTTTTATTTATTTTTTTTGTTATTATTAAATTTTTATTATTTTAATTTTTTTTTAAACAATCATTGTTATGATGGAAACGCGCATTGTTGTAATAATTTCATCATAATATGACATTACATATATATATATTGTTGACAAAGCAACACTATCAACTGAACTCCACTCAGAATCGGTTTTTTGTTAGCAATGGTTTATCGTTTCTTACAGATATACATTAAATTCCCGTCTGTATCCTATCTTCCCAACTTCCCACCAACAACAGTGGCTGTACTCGCGTTTACTCATAAATTCAACATGTGTAAGTGAATGTTTGTCATCTACACTTGAATAATTTAAATGCTTACAAATGGTTGACATTAAAAATAATAGGTAATAATTTAAAAATTAATTAAATTATGTATATTTTTGTCGTAGAAATTATTTTTTGTTCGTTCAAAATTGTGTCGGAATTATAATTAAAAATGTACACGTTCTTTCAAATTTTTCATTTTTTGTTCAAGATATCGACGATCAAATTTCCAAGTATCTAATTCAACGTGTTCTGATTAAAAACAACGATAAGAAATGTAGGTACAAGTTGATAATAGTAGTAAAGGTAAAGTTTCGGGCGATTCGACCGAAATACGTTTTCGGTTGAAATATTTTCGACTAAAATACGGTTCGGCTGTTTTATAGCCGACCCCTCGCCCGTGTTGATTATCATTTATCACCGCGTGCGATTTGTGATAACGCGAACGCTATTTAAAAGATAAGGAAATTCGGTAATTTAAGAAAATTACAATATTTTATCACTGCAGCGCGCTACGTAGTAGGTTACATTGGACATCGTTGTTTTCCGGACTTCGAACGGTGGTCGGCGGCTATCCGCTGTTTTCCGCGTTAAAACGTTATTATTGCGGCGGAATACGTTTTACGAGTTAATCCATCATTTTACGGACCTATTCCCGCCGCGTGTGCGTAACATGTAGCCTTTGTTTTTAAAAAATGTACCGTGGCCATTGGTTGTGACGTCGCGAGGGTAACTTCTTGTTTTTCGAATTCGTTGGATATCGTTTGTATTTTTTTATGTTTTATGCACCGACCAAAAAGCGGATCCCAAGTGTCCAATCGTTGTCACCGTCAATCTCCATCATCTGAAACACTCGAATGTGTGTGAGATGCCATTCTACCGCGGCATGTCCGGTGGACCGTCTGCATAAAACTTTCTGACAATCATCTGGTCACGGTAATATTTGGACAACACTCGGGCAAAAATCTGTGTTCAATGTGCATTACACGTTAATTCTTAACTAAATTTTCAGCTGAAGAAGATGAACGTTACTGTCACCAACCTCACCAGTAACGTAGTGTCCACGGCTTTGGCACCGATTAAATCATTAGGCATTCCACATCCTCCGGTTCCAGTCAACCCACTTACTGTAATAGCAATCGTTGTTGTTGTTTTTTTAATGATTTTTGGAGTAAGCTAACAATAACAGTAATACAACTATTTTAAATGAATTTCAAATAAAAATGCCCAACTATGCTTACAGTTAGTAATAGCAATACGGAGAAAGAGAAGACTGGACAGGCTACGGCATTCGTTGATACCGTTCTATTCATTTGATGCTAACGAAGAGGAAGACTGGGATTCAGATCTGTTACAAAATGAAGGGGGCACTCCAACAATTCGAGTAAGAGATTTTTGGCTTCTGTATATTATATGAAGTTTTTGTTTGTACCAAATAAATATAACATATCTTACAAGATGTGATATGATAAACTAAAAATATTATTTCAAACATTTAGGCAAACTTTATATAGGTAGTCTTAGGTAGGTATATAAACAACAACAAATTGACATTTGCATTTTTTTTGTAAATTATTTGTCAATAATATAGTTGTCACCAATGTTCCCCTGGAGTTTAACGCCTCAAATTATTTATAAACTTTTTAAATTAACACATCTCTTTACTGTGTTAAAATTTGTATGTATAGAATTTTAACTCCTTATTAGTTGCTGCTATTAATAATTAGAAATGCTAACTTATACAAATAATACTGGTTACCTATTTACTATTGATTTCAACCCGTAGCAATTTAGATTTAGGTACATTTTCAATCATCTTTATTGTAGAGAAATTATAATATATTATTATATTATAGTCCTTTACTTCTTTCGATTTTGTTTTTCAACAACGCAACTTTGTTATTCAATTACTTTTGTATTTTGGTTTAAAAATAAGTGTTCAGAAATGTCTAGATAACATAACATACTAATATTATATACTTTATTTTTCTGGAAATTTAATTGTTATACTATTGTGTATAATGCTTTATTGGATATCTTTTAGCAGCATGGTCAGACATTTAGACACGAGGGCAGTTTCCACAGCTGGCATGAGAGATTTAGTCCAATTCAAAGGTTACCTTTATCCAAAAAAATACAATAATGATTGCTTGATATTGTACTATGTTGAATAACATAAAATAATTTATTTTGATTTTGCGTGATTGCATTGATAAGATCTGTTCTATGTGTAGATAATAATATAGTAAACTTTCTTATTTCCAAATTAGAAACCACTGCCATAGTACTTATTGATAACCTGTCTAGTTTTAGTCAGTTAGCATCAATGTTTTGATCATTATCCGATGTTTGTTTTTTATCAAACAGAAATTGCTTGACTGTATGAGTTTAAATTATTATTTTATTTTTACTAATTAGCAATAAAAAAAATGAATACCTGTTATTTAAAAATAAAATAATAATTTTTCAACCATAAATTACCTACTGAATAATGTATTGTTCATACATTATGAAACTGTCTAATATAGTACACTGTCCATATCTGTTTTGCAAGAATTTTTCATATGTAGTTAAAAAGTTAGTGTTGTTAATTTAACCTAGGAAAATTATTGTTTGCTTGTAGTTTTGACAGTTTTCATTTTTTAGTTTGGCAATTATATTTATAGTGACATATTTAATTTGATATTTATGCAAAAATATTGTCACATCCGTGCAATTTATTTATTTTGTTCTTATATTGGTGTTGTAAACATTTTCAGAGCTATGGATCAGTCGAACTGAACATTATGGCTTTGGACTCCGAAAACAAAAAAAGATCATACCTATTCTAAGAGTATTTTTGTAACTGTTGCCATATGTGTTATATTCTATATTAGTATCGTAAATTGCATATTGCCTGGTCACATTGTGTAGAAAGAAAATGCCTGCGATTGCACTTTCTATCTATCACTAGAAGTTTGTTTTTACTAATTACTGACAATCACCATGGTGTCACTTTAAATACTGTCCATTGTCACCAAAAAGAAAGTGATTTGTCTTGTCTTACTGTTATTGGGCAATATTTATACAAGATTATTGTGTTTATAAAAGTGTATTTTTAAAGATGGTATTGTTGTTGTTATTAGCTATTTTATAAATCTACTTAATTGTATATAAGTGTACACACACACACACATTCATTCACTAACCTCAAGCTTGATGCTCAATTTTAATTTTATTTATGTGACTTATTTTAAAGCTTTCAGCAGCTTCACTTTATAATTTTTTTTTTTTTATATATAATTTGTATTACAATGAACTTGTATAATTTGAACAAAGTACTTAACTTAACTGTTATATACACGTATTGTATACTTGTATTGTTGAATCATTAAAAATTGGTTATGGATTAAAAGTGACCATTAAAAATTTGTTCCTAATGTTAGCGGTGTTTATTAATGAGTCAATAGCTATAAAATTATTTAACCATTTTGTTTATATATACACTTAAATTTTAAGTTAAAGATATGAAAATTTTGAATTTACACGATTTATGATTTCCAATTTAAAAATTGTACTGTTCATTAAATTAAAAACCGACTGAATTAGTTTACTAGTCACTTATTATAGGGAATATTGAATCTGCTAAATGTTTATGTTGATTAAAAGTTATTATTGCTTAAATGTGTGTGTTTATTTTATTTTTGTATTAATCAACAAATATATATCGCTCAATTTAAATTTATATTTTTGATCTCAATGCCTAAAAAATATAAATTTATAAAAAAAATTTGCACTATATATAAATTGAACAAAATTATAATCGTAATATATTAATATTATGAAAGGTGAAAGAATGTAATGCAATATTTGACTGATATCCGTTACCTTCAGCTGTGTGTTATAATTCATGTGATAGTTACACAATTTTCAGAATTATTACATTTTCTGTCAAATTTAATTTATCTATAATTTCTACAATTATCGGGTTTTTTATTTAAAATGCCAAAATCAAATGAAAAATACTAAGTAATAAATATTACATGTTGTCATACTTGAAAAGTACTAATATCAAAATTATTGAAATTTAATATTTGACTTGGAAATGATAATATAATGTTGTTGTATTGTGATGCAAGGGGTTGCAACACACAAGAGATGAAAAACACTAAAACTGATTATTGGAAAATGTTAAGAACATTCCTATCCATTTTGGAGATGGTTCATACGAATTGATACATTATCTATACAACTATACTAAATATGAATAAGTGTTTGCTGTTCTTTATGCCTGGTTTATATGATGCGTAACACTTGTCATTCGCATTAATATCTTTTGTATAAACAGTAAAAATAGTGCGAGTAGAAGTGGCAAACACAAATGAATAGAACCCAGTTGTATTTACTAACTGCAAGTAGCTACCCCCTTCATGACTATACTCTATTCGCGGCTACACTCGCAAAGTGCGACTGCCAAATGGTGCTCATTAACCGTTGTCCATCATAAGTTCTATTACCTTATTATCAATTAAATTGTCACTTACCTACTGCTTTTCGAGGTGAGCAGTTACAATACACTTATTATTATAATTACCTTGTTCCCTAACTACTACTACCGGCATTATCAAATAAGTTGTGTTATATGTGTGTGTTCGCGTAGTCCTATTGCAAGTGACAATAATCAGTGCAAGTTACAAGTATTGTGCATCGTGTAAACCAAGTATTAGGTACAGTCACTACCAACAGAAAGCCAACAATGTGTATATTGTAAATTATTAAATAGAAGTTGTAGCATCATTCACTAAGCGTGCTCACCCCATTTTTTTTTTTGGTTAACTTTTGGATGTATTCATATTCTGATTTTTGAAATTTAAAGCCGATATTTACGAGTAACTTAGATTTTTGAAAATATTTAAGGATTCATGTGGCAATACTAATTTTGGTTTTTCAAATGGGAACCTATATTAAAAATTCTAAAAATAGACGAAGTATTTTAGGTACTTTAAATACATTTTGGTGTCAACATTTTTGATTTCCGTCAACACGTTAACGAGATATTCGACTTTTAAGTTTAGGTAGGTGGAGGTATAAGCATACGCCGTGCGCACGAGGCAGTCAAGAAAGGTGGCAAACTCCTCTGCAAAATTTCCCACCAAAAATATAAAAAAAAATATGTTAGATATACTTTTTTTTTTTAAATTTTAAATCCTATAGTACCTTCAATTTTGTGCGCTGGCTCAAGAAGGAAAAGAGCCATTGGAGGATTTTGATACCACCCCCCCCTGCCCGCCGAATACTACACTAAACCTAAAATAAAGTCCTTATCAAGTAAATACTATGTGTACAATACATAATCAATATTATTGGGGTTTAAACCACCTTCAAAAATATTGGCATTATTTTAGATTGCGAGTGGGGTGAAGAAACTTATGGTTATACAAATTATGTTTATTTATTTTTTTTTTTCTGTGTACAACTTTTCTACCAGAAATATTGCTCCGATTTACAAGTGCAGCATTTTTTCTGAACGGAAATCTGACTAGGGAGGTACTTTGAGGAGGAAATTTTTTTGATTTTCTTCAAGAGTTTTCCCAGTAAATCTGAAAAACGCGGGAAAACCAAAGGAAAAATTGGGAAATAGGTACAGTACGAAACAAATATTAAAGAAAATATATAATGCCTATGCAATTACATAACATATATATTAATGAAAAAGATACACCATCAACTGAACTCTGCTCAGAATCGTTTTTTCGTTATCAATGGTTTATCGTTGCTTACAGATACACGTTAAATTACTGCTGGTATCCTACCTTCCCAATTTCCCCCCTACAACAGTGGCTGCACCTACGTGCGAAATATGTCCGTCTTTTTGATTATGATTTTTGTGTAAGGTTTCATTTTAAAAATACCGGATATACTTTGCATGTAGGTGGGCCACTGTTGTAAACTTGTAGTTGATAAGTTGGGAAGGTAAATGGGAAATTTAACGTATATCTGTACGTAACGATTAACCGTTGCTAACGAAAAACGGTTCTGAGCGGAGTCGGTTAATATAGTGTTACTTTGTCAACAATAATATATATGTTATAATATGACAAAATAATTACATATGCATTATATATTTTCTTTAATAATATTTGTTTATTATTGTGCGTACTTATTTTCCCGTTTTCCCTATATATTTTCCCGAGTTTTCCCATTTATTATGAAGACAGCTGGGAAAATCGAAAAATTATCTAGTAAAGTTGTTCACAGATAAAAAAAAAAAACCAATAAAATCATTGTCTGCCTTACCAAGACCTGCGCACGTTTATGGGAATAAGTACCAGAAAGCAAAAACAATTCGTAATTAATACATTTATTTTACGAAATAAATAAAAATGAAAATAAGTTTGTTATGATTTAAACTTCTCCTTTATCATACCAAGTTCAAATTCTGGAACCACGTTTGTAGGTATATATGGACAATTTTTTTTCAGCCCTTTAAATTTTTTTCTGAACAAAAAAAAGAGGCGAGTGTTTGTGCACACGTGGTTGGGGTATTTTTTTTTGTTTGTTGGATCTTGTAAATGATCGTTTAGACCGCTAGACTATATTTTTCCCGGGCCGTTCAGATCATGTCTATGCGCCTCCGGCTATGGCGGACGATGAATTATCGGTGAAATATTTTTAAACCGCAAAAAAAAATATCGTTAGGATATTTACTCGGTTATCCCTCGTTAACTTTCCCGGCGACAGTACCCACGGATCGACAGTTGATTTGTTTGCGCATTCAATTGGCCGACTGTGTTTCCGACAGAATTGTTTAAACTGTTCCGAGTCAATACGGCGACCGGTGTGTCAGGTAAATCTGACGTCGGACGGACGCGACTGAATGTTCGTCCAGATTTTTCTTCCAGAGACAAACGGTACCCGCGCACTCCGTCCATTAGCTGCTCCAGTGACATCACTTCGAAAACGTAACGTGGCGCTCGCGAAAATCAATAAACTTATTTAGTTAATTTTAGTAAATTTAGTAAATTTATTTAGTTTATTTTTGTTAAACCGACGTTGAAACCGAACGCGTTAAAGACTTACGACCGACTGCTGTTTCGGAAGCTCATTAGGCGTATCTAAAATAACGATAAAATCGATCGGCCAAACATTTATTGCGAAATCCGATTCGGCGGACCGTTATCGTAGTAGGCTACCGCACTCCAATTGGGTGTTCCTGGAATTGTGCACACGGTAATATTTACCGGGAATTCAAAAACGTCATAAAATTAATTCGTGCCCGCGTAGGTGAACAGGCCAAATTGTTTTATTTCAATATAATCAATAATACGTTATAATAATATTTCTGTAAATAATTTATGTTCGCGGGGTGGTTTTCGTCAGTCGACAATCGCAGGGGTATCAGTTGCCACGGGTCTCGTTAGGATTCCCGATTTCCAACCCTGCAGCGATGGCCCGCCCCGTAGTGCGAGATACGAAAACAAGACGTTTCCGCGGGTCTTTACGCCCGTCCCGCGCGCTCGAGCCCCGTCCTGTCTCATCGGACGTTACCTCGCCGATAACTTTAAACAATGGCCACACCCGCGGTACGAACTAACGGAAAACGCGCGTTTCCGATATTTTTCCGTAAGACTTTCCAATCTGTTGCGCGCGGTCGAGCTCACGGTCTCGTCGACAATCGCGTTGCCATCGTTCAGACGCTGGCGAACAGAAACGCGGACCGCACGAGGGATTGCGGACAAATGCCCGCGACACTGACCGTTTTCAAACGCGACAAAACAAAATCGATCCGGTGTCCGCATTATGACCGCCGTAAATTGAAAACGATTGTGCTTGTCGATCGACACCGTAAACTCTCTGCGTTGTGACGAACGAATAATAAAAACGCAATTAATGCAAAATTAATAATAAGGAAACGCGAAACAAATTGGATATGAAAAATTTAAAACGCGCACACGAATTAAAATTAATTCAATCGCCGCGGAGTCGCGTTTGCCCGGGCTAACGGGCGAATGTGACGTCGGGCCAATCCGACCCGCCGCAGTCACATTCGGCCTGACGTCAGTACTCGCCTGTTACGCCGGCAACAATTTTTCATTGTCGTTTCGACGAAGGCGCGGCCCCTGCCTACTCATTTATTTATTTGTGTTAATTTTAAACGGGTCGAACTGACCCTGCGGAAATTAATACGGTGAGTGCAAGTATTAATTTAAACACGGTCAGAACAAACGTTAATTGGAATACGAACAAAAGAAAAATTTATGCAAATTAGAACATTACTACAGCAGTGGAATCAAAAACGATCTCTACTTATAAACTTTAGATTCCGAACGTAGCGTAGGATCTACTGGTTTTACAACCGTAAACAACTTTTCGAAAAGACAACTTGCTCCGGTGTATCAAGTATAGCGCCTTGTTTGAAACCCCGTGTAGTTGGTTTATTTAAGTGATTATTTTTTGATTTTTCAAGACGTTTTCAATCTTGTTGGGAAAAATCGAAAGTAAAACAATAGGTAAAACGGCAAATATCGTGGGTACTCCGCGGCGTTACCGACTCCGTCTTTTTTAATTTTTGCTAAGCGCGTTTTCTGCCAGACATATCGCTTTAATCAAAAACTGAATAAAAAACCTTTTCAATTGCACTTTAGACCTTGTTGCTCACAAAGTAAATCGCTTTCCGATTTTCCAAATAGTTTTCATAATAATTGGGAATAACCGGGAAAAGGCGAACAATAAACTGAACAAATCTACGGCACACGATTTCATTATTTTAAATTTTTACCCACGATATTTCCCACCAGAAATATTACTCCGATGGAAAAATAACAAGAGACCTTTTTTTTGATACATTTTAATTTTAGTTGGTGAATACGAATGCCGCTGTTTGATTTTTCCCTGTTGCTTTTTGAAAACGTGAAAATTTACAAAAGTAATATTTTTATTATTTTCAATTTTGTTATTTTGTTGTAATTCAGTTAAACATGTCTGCGGAGACCTGACATTTGGAAAACTTAGATTTGCCTTTTCTAGAAATGGTGAAATGTTGAAAAAATTTAAGCTATTTTTAGGTATTTATAGACATTTAAATTTTACGTAATTTTTATTTGATAAGTTACCCTATAGATATAATTCTTTGACCGATTGAAATGCATGGAAAGTTAATAGGAGGTTCATTATAAATACTTATTGGTCAAAATAAAAAAGTTAAGTGTATTGCAGTAATTTTATTTTTATATAATTGTTTTAATTTCAATTTTTGAATAAAATCGTAAATATAACAGCCTTACAAATCATGTACAAATAAACTAAAGAACAAAAGAACAAAATGAAAAATAGTAGTGGGATTTAGAAGTCCACTTCTAACAGCTGCAACTTATTAAATACAATTTTCTAATACTACAAAAATGATGAATACAAAGTAATTTTAGATTCCGAATAGAGCAAAGAAGCTTATGGTCTTACAAAGATGTTTATTATTATTATTTTTTTTTGTTATCTGTTATTGTTTTGTTATTTGTTTCAGGAACTTGAATATTTGGCGGAAGCCTCATTTTTTTGATAACTACATAACGCAGACATATTTTTTGAATACTCAAATAAGTAGGCAGTCCGAGACTTCCGGCAAAATGTTTGTAATTACTTTTCATGGCATTCTAGAACTCCTCAATTTTAATTAAAAAAAATAATCAAATCAAAGATGTTGTTTACTAATTTATTTTTTCCCAACTTTGAACCAAAATTTCTGGTAGTAAAAATGATTTACAGAAAAAACAAAAAAAATCGTAATATTTTACTAATATATTCCGTATATTTTCTCTGTTTTTCCCATTTATTGGGAACTCCTGGGAAAATCAAAAAATTACCTTCCTAAAATACCTTCCCAGTCAGATTTTATTTCAGAAAAAGTGCTATCATTTTAAATCGGAGCGAAATTGCTAGTAGAAAAGTTGTACACAGTTAAAATAAATGGCCATAATATTTTTTTTACTAACAGAAAATAAGCTACACTTCATACGTCGGAGCAAAATCTCTGGTAGAAAAGTTTGCACAACAAATCGGGTGGTATTTTGCGATTAATTTAGTCCGAGCGAGCGATTATTAGTAAAGTTTTCCGGATTTGAACTCGCGATCCCTAGGGTAACAATAGGCATATTGCATGTATAACCATTAGACTTCGACAAACATTCTTCAAAAAGATAATATAGAGTTATTTAACATAACATATAATATCCGCACATCAGAACTTCAAAAAGCTATAGTTTCGAAACTATGTCTTTCCGCTCAATTTTTTATTTCACCATCGTTCTTATTAAATCAACAATAAGTATACATGTGTAAAAAAAAAAAAAAACAAAATGATAAATTATTGTTCCACATAATGTTTTACTCGAAAGATTTTCGTGAAAATTTGATATTAAATTTTTTTACCACAAAGTAGGACTTATAATGAACCTCCTGTTAAATGTTCAAATTTAACACACAGTACATACCAAATAAAAATCACGTATAAAACTCACAAAATTAAAATGTTTATAAAAAGCTTAAAAATGGCTCAAGAATATTGAAAATTTAACTTGTCTACAAAAGGCAACTTTAAGTTTTCTGTCCAAATTTCAAGTTTCTACAAATATTTAAAACTGAATTACAACAAATAATAAAATTGAAAAATAATATCACTAATTTCCCATTTTTTTTTTTAAGTTTTATCCTAGTTTCCCAAATATAAAAACCACTCGAAAAATCAAAAAATATTGGATCAAGATTTCTGGTAGAATTTTTGTACACAGCATAAAAAAAAAAAAAAATAATTAACAGTTATACTCGGAATCTAAAATTAAAACACAAACAAAATGTTTGAATTTTGTTCATATTTTACCTTTAATCAACTCAGTATGGACTTAAGTTTTGTTCTGTCAATCTAAAAAACATGGCATTACGTTATATTGTTTACATTGTATAGAACTCAAACATCACCCGAATTTTAAAAATTCCACTATCTTTATTGGGTTGTATAAATATTTAGTGAAAATTTCAGATCTAACCAATTTACAAAAAAAAAAAAAAAATGAAATATTAACTAATGAAACTGTAATTGACATAAGCTTTCCGGTTTTTTATCCCCAATAATTAAGAAAACCAAAAATGATTTCTCCAATGCACTAATTACATCCATAATGCAACAAAAAAGCTACTGTCATTTTATGAATTTGCCTGTAAAGTCATTCACAGACACATCAAAATAAAACAAACCATGATTTTTTAATATACCAGGAAAATTGAGTTTTGTTGAAATAAAAATATTACGAAACCTGAGGACATGTTTATTTACTTTCACTTATTACTTTTATAAAATCAAAGTAATATACTCATCTAACATCTAAAATAGCAAATCAAATTAAGCAACACCGAATTACTATATATTAATAGTTTATTATATAAAGAGGAAAAAATGGTGAAAAACACATTTTACACCAACATTTTGTTTTCATTAATATGATAGTATTCATATAAATTAATTTCATTTAATTAAGTATAATATTCTGAAATACTTGTCGTATTCATAAATCATCAGGTACAATAGTTGTCAAAAATGTAAGTACAAATTAATATGATTTATCCATTTAACTTTTACAAGATTTTGTTGTTATTACTTCGTAAGGAAACACATTAATTGGTTAATGTAAATACATGACAAACTAAATGTGCACAAACATATTAAAAAAATTGTAAAGTATAAATTTATTGATTTTAATTAGATAATAATTTCAAAATAATTACAGGATAGGTGGACAACTTACAAATAAAATGGAAACTTAATGATAAATGAAATAAAAGATGGATTCCATCCTTAAGATAAAATTAAATAATTTTGTTTTTTGTTTAAATTTAAAAATCAATTGGTTTTCCAATGAGTTACTTTGTTTCCATTATATTGGAAAAAAATATAGTATAAACCAAACCTAAACCTACATAATATATTAAAATTGTTCTGTAATAATTAAATATTAATAAATTAAAATAATAATCATTATTCTTGATTATTATTTAGAAAGAGTAAAAATGAATGGCAAAATATTTATTATGAGACACGATTAGACAACATTTAGTCTTCGTCGTCTTCTACTTCATCGTCATCGTCATCATTCTCCTCGGGTGATTCGTCTTTTTCCACTTTTTTAGCTGGCCTACCTCGTCCTTTTCCTGTTGATACAATCTATAATAACAGTGTTAAATTAATAAAAAAAAAAACATATTATAATAATTCAAAAATACACCAGCACATCCCATGTGCTTTATTTATATACTTTCACTTACTTTAGGCTTCAGTTTGCTGGGGTTTTTTTTTGGTCTTCCACGGCCTCTTTTGGCAACTGGTTCACCATTTTCACCTTCCTTTTCAACTTTTTTTTCAACCGGTGCAGCTTTTCCTGCTGCTGCTGCTGCTGGTCTGCCACGTTTTTTGATTTCTTTTGCATCTTTATCGATTGTCTATAATACATAATAATAAGGTTTGATATACAAACTATCTTAAACCTACAGCAAGAAACTCGTAACATTCTCGATAAAACTTACATCCACTGGTTTGGAAGCAGCTCTTCCACGGCCCCTCTTTTCGGCTACAACTCCGTCGTCAGACATTTGGGAAATGTTTTATGTCTTATCAATAAAAACGACCGTCTTATCTGAAAACAAAAATACGTACACAATAAATACATTTTATTTTTTATTAATACAAATTTTAACAACTAATCAGGCTGTTGTCGGCATTAAACACAAGTATAATACACATACCTATTACGATAACATAAACGTTTTAAATTTATATTTATCCCTACAATATAATTAGATTTAAAATAACCCCCATCAAAATTATCTCTATTACAAAAAACTATATAACAGGTATAATTATATATATATACACCTGTATAAGTGCCACAATAAATAATGTAATAAACATAAATAGTGACATAAAATTACCAATGATGATAATATAATAGACTATTAGACCTTATTGTAACGGAATAGCGCATATTGTTGGTACACCGTAGAATGAAATGGCGGTAACCGTGGCACTGCAACAATATTTCGCTTAGACAAGGCCACTCAGTACGGCTCGGGGTCTATGGACACTAGGTGATTTTGGCAAGTCGGCACGCGTTTTCGATAGTATATTCGTTTGACGATCGGATACACACCACCGCCATAATTAAGAAAGAAAAAACGAACATCCTGGATGGTTGTAAAAAAAAAAAAAAAAAATGACGATAACGGGGCGGACTGGTGTCTAGATCGGTACTACGCGAGCATTTTTTTTTGAATACGCGAAAACGTTTCGGGAAAAATTCGCGACGGATTTGGCGGGTCGGAAAAAAAATGACAATATTACACACGCGGTGTTCGTAAACTCGCGAACCTCAGGCCTCTCGAAACGTATTGTTTACCATCGCGCCTTTTGTTTACACGACATCGCTGCGCCTGGGATGGTGTAAATAATAATAACCGAAATCACCGGGATTGAAAAACGCAAGGTACTATTATTATTGTTTCCTGTCGCGATAATAGTTGTTTGTTTTCTCGTGATTTCTGATAATTTGTTATGTAATCTGTGCAATAATAACGATTATAATTTCTATTGTATTTAACACAGTTTTACGCTTCGACGTTCACAAAAAGCAAGTTTTCCCGTCGGATAGGATTTCAAATTCAATTTTATAAAGGTTGCCGGACCTGAAATACACAAACTTCAGAAAAAAAAAAAAACTATTCGAGGTACGGAATACGTGTACACTGTGCGTACCATCAATACACGTACCAAACCGAGAGCCCAAGTTTAAATACGTCTCGGTATTTTTTTTTTATTAGGGTGGCAGTGGTGAAACGTCGTTGGTGCGGTGGCGGGGCGCGCGGCTCGCGGCGTTTGAACAGTGCTGCACCACTTTCCGCCTGCCGAAACTTATAATAGCGGTATATATATATAAAAAAAAAAAAAAATAAAAAAATAAACGACAAACCCGAAATGTATTCAAACCGGCAATGTCCCAAAAAAAACAGAGCCTCGATCAGCGGCGCCGGACCCGGGGTACAGGTCGGGCGACCGAATTTCGTACGGGACGAGTAGTATTCGTAGAAAATACAACCACAAGAAACGGTGCCTACTGCGAGTTACATGTAAACATAATTTACGCGTTATATTTGTGGTGCATGGTGTAGGTTGCGGTTCGAAAATCAAAAAAAAAAAAAAGTAGGGCGGACCTCGGAACAAACCAAAACAACGGTGGGCGGCCACATTTTAGAACTGCTGGGGACGGGTCAACAAAACAAAACGATATGAATTCGGGTCGTTAAAATGCAATATTGTCGCGTTACACGACGCATCGACGTCGTTTTATTTAATATTCGCGCGCTTAATCCGCCGAGAATGTAGGGAAGAAAAATAAAAAAAACAAACGCAAATACGGGTTTCGAATGAATTCAAACGTCGGGGGGAGAAAAAAAAAATGACCCAGTTACACAATAACAAAACTTCATGCCGTCGACACTACTGACACGGTCCCCGGACGCGGGCGGCGCGAAAGCCTTTGTTGCGCGGTCGGTGTGGGAAAAAAAAAAAAAAACAAAAACAAACCCCCGGGAGGGAGCGCGACGGAACACGAACTTTGTTTACGCGGCGGATGGGGGAACAACCGCGGCCGCGCGACGATAGTACGAGAACGCGATAGTCGGTTTCACTGTCGCTGTCATTACGGGCACCTACCTGTCCCCCCGCGCCGTTATTCTAGACGCGATCGTTGGTCCGTCGCCAATTTCCCGCTGTCACGACAGCGAATAGTATGGCAAACGACGTCGTCCGCAACGCCCGCGATAGAACTAAAACCCGCAGCCCGGACACGCGATACTATCCCATCACACGGCGATGGGCAATCGTTCGCGCGGCGACAGTGGGTACACAAACAGTAATATATAAAAAAAAAAAAAACCTTCGCGACTGTCGCCAGATGATCGCACGCGAAACTAGACACGCCACATACGCGCGCGATAATGTCACCAGCCTACTGTATAGGAAATTTTAACATTCCGCCTTGGAAAAATCAATACGCCGCGACGCGTTGTTGTAGGTACGAGTGGTAAAACCGAAAAGCGCGGCGCGCGCGGACGCGTTACCTCCAGAAAACGGACCGGCGGCGGGCGGCCCGACTGTTAAACGCGGAGTTCGGCGGGCTAGCTAAACGCCCGGGGGCGGGGGGGGGGGGGGTGTAGGAGGAGGAACGAAAACCAAACAAACCCGGCCGACAAATCGGTACCTACCGAACGTAATAGTTTTCGTAACGTTATCCCGGGCGGTATGGTGTGGGGGGAGGGGGTGCTGCGAGGGCGAAACGAAGTTATCGACAAACGATTTGATGATCGGTCGCGATCAACCCCACCGTTTCGGCCCGATTTTCACCGACGCGTATTATAACCCGGAGACGACGGCCGTTTATTACGATAGATTATCGTTTGCCGATTTGGTCGCGTCGTAAAGCGCGTTCGCAGTCCGTCCCGTCGCCGGGCTGCTGTTATTATTCAATATCGTTGTAACGGGCGGTAAGTGACCGGAGAACGGATCAGAAGAGAAAAAAAAAAATGCACGGGCCGTACAAATATCCGAGGAAAATCAAACGGGGCAAACGACGGCGATCGCCCGACAAGAACCGGGGAAAATTTGGAGACAAAAAAAAAAAAAAAAAAAAATGGGCGCGCGGCCATTTTGTCGGCGGTGTCTGCGGGGAAAAACGCAGAAAACGGGTAAAAACGCGCCAGATAAAACGACGAAATTCCGTCGGCGACCCGCGACCGGCGGTACGACATCGGTTTGAGCGCCATTAGCGAGAGAAAAAAAAAATAATAATAATAATAATAACGAAAAACAAATAACAATTACTTATTGCTTACAACCGAGTCAAAAGTGCGCGCGCGCGGGCAATTTCACTCGCGGACCCGGCGCCCGGGCCGTGTGCGTGTGTGCGCGCGGGCGCGCGCGCGCGCGTTAAAGCCGATGACGTCCGACGCCGCCGCGCCACAATAAAACAGGAATTACAATAATACGCGACCGTGCGATTTAACGCGTTCGCGGAAAAATATTTTTCGGCCGCAACGATGCCGGGACGCTCTCGTACGAACGCCATTTTCGGAACGCGCGAGACGGGGGAAAAAAATCGCGACACAATGCGTCGGGCGACTACGCGACGTTACGCGACGCGTCGCCGGCGCCCGGACAATAGAAATCGGCGGACTGCGATTTGTATTTATTTATATTTTTTTTTTTTATAATTATCAATTTTAATACGGTAATTAGAAAAATCAATACGATACCTATGGGCCGACGTAGCGAGGGCGGCTGCTGCAGGATTCCTCGTATGTGTATACGTGAGAGACGCGGGATCAGCAGGAATCACGGACGAACGGACGTGCACCAAGAGCAAAGTGTAAACATATACAAAACGGCGGGCGGCGGCGGCGGTTTTGTGAATGGCAGTTATCCGCCGCCGCCGCCGGTGGTCCGGCGCGAACGCGCGCAGTGCCGCGCCCGACGAACGGCAACAATACGACGTCGCGGTGGTCACACTGCGGCTCCGATAAAGGCCGCGTTTTGAACCCCCGCGCGGTTTTGAAAACCCGGGCGATTTTGCCGCGCGTCGCCGTCCTCCGGCCGCGGGACGTGGAGACAGGAGCTGCTGTGCAGGACCAAGGACCGGACTGCATATTCGACCGTACCTATTGCGTTCCGGCCGCGTTCTTACGTCTCGTCCAGACGACGGTTACCCCCTCTCTACAACATTGTTCGCACGGCGACAGTTTAGTTTTAGTATACACGTGCGCGTCGCGGCGTTTGAATGCTGTGTTCGCGGCGGGTGCGTCGTACCTGTACAGATACAGATCACCACCGACAGTACAAAATATAGAGCCGCGTCGGTTAAATATTAAGGTTGGTCGGGTTAGGTACGAGATTGTACCGATTGTATACCCTGTTTGGAAACATTATCCGTTCGCGCTGCACGGTTTAAACGCGTATCAAATCGATCGATTCGATACAAACTATATTGTCGATACCGTATTGCCGGATTTGAGGGGTCTTTAAAGAAAAAAAAAAACACCTGTAAGTAGTAGAGTTCTGCCATTAGAGTCGAATTTTTTCCCGGGCGATTTGTCGCTATTACAATATTTGATTTTGTTTTCCCTATAATTTCATCTAAAATAGTTTGGTTGCCGGAATTGTATTACATTTTGGTCTGAAGGGGTATTGTGAATCTGGCGTCTCTTTTGAAAACAGGAAATCTGATCATAAGAATGGATTTATATTGAAAACCGCGTTGAAATAAATGGCTCCTATTTCGGATATTTGCTTTTATAAACTTCTGAAAGGTGAAACAATTTGTAAGATACATTCCTAGTGCATTAAATCCGCATGAATTCTCGACCACACCGTCTCTTATTAAACTTCGTATCTGACATTTGAACAACTTCTATTATTGATTTGTATTTTGCTTATTTAAATTGTGTTGTAAATGTATATATTGTATATGGTCGATGTTTTAGTTGATTTCATATTATATCACAGTCGAGTGACTGTGGAAAACTCATTTAATTTCAATTATTACCTAAATACCTGGTACTTTAAGTACCTAGTTTATAATATTTCATAAAATTACTGTAGAAACATATAGATGATATCAAACACCTTAACATTAGTTATTAATATTAATTACATGAAATTATTTTTTCAATTTTTTCAGAGATATTAAATTTGGTATTTTTTTCTTTTTTTTTAAAATGATTAAATTTCGATATGTGATCTTTTTGCATAATATATTGTTATTTATAAATAATTTATAAAATAATGCCATCCGTGTTTGTCAAAGTAGCTGTTAAAACAACTTATAACACTAGCAAAAATTGCTTTTAATAAAAATAAAAAAATGTTCACATCAAAAAATTTACATCTTAATATCAAGAAAAGACGTGTTGGAGTGTTGTAACAAATTGATGTGAAATATAAATTATAAATAATTAATGGTCCCAAAAACAAAAAATTACATACCTTTGAAATATGGTGTCAGAGGTGTATGGAAAGGATAAGTTGGTAAAACAAACGAAAGGGAGCTGTGGGAGATAAACGTACATTTATAGATACAATTAGAGCAAGACCCTGAAAAATGGTTGGAAATGGCCAGAAACACTCAGAAGAGTTGTATAATATAATATTAGAGGGTATGATAAAAAGGAAGAAAACTGCTGGACGTCCTCGAAACTGTTATACAAGGAAAATTAAATGTAATACAACACTATAGGTATTAGCAATTATTGTTAGTTTATTTACCTACTAAATTTAGGTACTAAACTAACAGTCTTCATATTAATTTATTTGGATAGTTTTCGTCAAGAAATATAAATTATTTGGTTATTATTTATTATCTAAAATGTATTGATATAAGATATTGTTTATATTGTACGACCGGTTTCAAATTAAAAATACATCAGCAGGTAAATCACCAAATCAAACAGTAAAATGCGACTGAATATGAAAAAATTAATGAAGGAACACATGGAGAAAAAATTATACAAATTGGTAATTTTACAAATAAATAATTTACTTTAATAGGATAGATTATTAAAAATGAGCTATTATTAGACATAGATATGTCAAGAAATATAAATTATTTGGTTATTATTTATTATCTAAAATGTATTGATATAAGATATTGTTTTCAAAATCGGTTTGTACATTTAAAATATTATTAAATTTATCAACATAATAAACTTTATTAAACACACATATTTTAAGACTTCAGGCATTTATTTATTTATGCATTTATTTGCGAGTATAAACCATTTAATGATTTTGTTTTTATTTTATTATTTTATTATGTATAAGTTGAGTTTTCTTTTTATTTATTAGAAATTTAAATTTAAAAATATATGAACTCATATAAACAGTAGATTCAGAATACAATATGTATTTAGATCGACCATAGAATATAATTTAACCTATTAACCCATGGATAGATCGACTACAGAAAATGCGTCATAAGCATTTAGTGATTAGATAATGAAGAGTAGGTAAATGTAGGTACTAAGTATTAATAATTAAATATTGGACTGGTGACAATGAGTGAAAATTATTAAACTGTATTTTTCTTTAAATCATACAATTTAGGCTACGCTGAGTTATATGTAATGTAATTAGTACCTATATTATATATAATAGTTTTTAAAAGTTTGTATTATTTAAATCAGTACATAATTATAGCATTAAATTACCTGATAATTATCCTACACTTTATGTCCCAGTAATTTCAAAATAAAATACTTCCATCTTGTATGCTTAGTTATATAAAATTGTATTTAAAAACGTTTAATTAATTGGTTACATAAAAAATTATATAACAATAAAAGTTATAATACTTTTTATTTAATATTCAGTAGAAGTAAAAACACTTTAAATTACCCACTATTATTTTTGAAAATGCAACATATTGTACACAAAGATAATTGTAGATGCTAACAACGACGGAGCTATCTTCACTATAGATATATAAAAACATAAAAAAAAACTGTCCTAGGATAATGGGGACTGGTGCAGCCACTGTTGTTGGTGGGAAGTTAGGAAGGTATAGGATACAGAAGAAAATTCAATGTAAATAGAAGCAAAATTGCTGGTAAAAAAGTTGTTCAAAGGAAAAAAAGTCGTAATATTTTACTAATATATTTTGTACATTTTTTAGTTTTTCCTCAGTTTTTTTTTTGTTTTTCACATTTGACGAGAAAACTCCTGAGAAAATCAAAAAAATGACCTCCCTAAAGTACTACCCCAAGAAAAGGTCTATATCGTATACATCGACCGGCTACTATCGGAGTAAGCTTTTTAGAGAAAAAAGTGTTCACATAAAATAAAAAGAAATAAATATTTATGTAAAATCAAAATTTACAAAATACGAGCTGTCCCATCCGGTTTTGCCCGTGTAATAAAAATAGTTTCTAAATAAAGTTAATAGATAAATTATCATTATATGCTATCGTCATAGATACTCGTATAGCATAGTAATACAAATTTATAACAACGTTTTTTTTCTCATCGCTGTTACTAAGGTAAACCATATATCGACAAAAATAATTTGATTGCTGCACTAAAAATATCAATAACCCTGTGTTAGCCACCCTTGAACGTCACATTTTTGTGAATCTAAACCATCCAGATACCTGTTCAAACACACACACACACACACAAAATTTTATCAAAATCGGTCTAGCCGTTTAGAAGGAGTTCAGTGACATACACACGCACAGAAGAAATTTATCCATCTATTTATCTACCTATATATATATAAATACTAGTTGTTCCGCGCCCGGCGTTGCTCGTGCCAATTTTTATTATTATTATTTTACCCATATTCACTTTTGGTTTTGGCCGTGTTAGAATTGAATGAAAACAAATAGGTGTAAAGTGGATAGTCCACCTGCGGTGGCTTAAATGTGCTCTATTGTGATATTTGAATAGTGTAAATAATAGTGATGATAAAAATTATAAGTTTTATTTTATAATGTCGGTGACTCGATACAATAATAACCTATAACCTATATAATAACCTTACGAATACACGAAAAAAGAAAATCAGGCATATCGGTCCGTCCGTTTTCAAGTTATGGCGTCGGCGAAAAAATATCAATTAATTTATACATACCTCAATAATATAAATGTGCGTATTTGCCGATATATTCAAATTTATATTTAAAAAAATAATAACACGATTGTATCACTCTCTTGGCGCCCTCTAATGAATCTTTATTTATTAATTTTCTATCAGAATGAACATTTCAATTTTGGGACAACTTACACAGAATATCTTACTGATTATATATTTTTTTGTTTTTTAATTTCATCCGTATCACCAAGTTAACCCATAAACCAACCAAAAAAAAAAAAAATCGCTGTTCTAAAAACACCAATTACTCTGTGTCAGCTACCCTTGCAACCAATTACTCTGTGTCAGCTACCCTTGCAATGCCACCTATCGGGTCCAATTGTGAATCTAAACCACCTATCGGGTCCAATTGTGAATCTAAACCTACTCTGTGTCAGCTACCCTTGCAATGCCACCTATCGGGTCCAATTGTGAATCTAAACCATCCATCGGGTCCAATTGTGAATCTAAACCATCCAGCGGGTCCAATTGTGAATCTAAACCATCCAGGGAGTCCAATTGTGAATCTAAACCATCCAGGGACCCCAATTGTGAATCTAAACCATCCAGGGACCCAAATTGTGAATCTAAACCATCCAGGGACCCATTTTGTGAATCTAAACCATCCAGGGACCCATTCAAACTTGCAATGCCACCTATCGGGTCCAATTGTGAATCTAAACCATCCAGGGACCCATTCAAACACACATCCAGGGACCCATTCAAACACACATAAAAAATTTCGTCAAAATCAGTCCAGCCGTTTAGGAGGAGTTCAGTGACATACACACGTACAGTAGAATTATATAAATAAATTAAGTGTACTAACGGGTTTGCGTGCAACGCGCTCTAAAACAGCACAACCGATTTTGATAAGATTATGCTCATGCGTGTGATTTAGTCTAACTCAAAATATAGGATACTTTTCATCCCGTTTAAGTAACCCCTTCACCCTTAAAATACGGTTTTAAGGTATTTTTAATACAAAAATCTAATTATTTTTGTTGATTTATGATACGTTACCTTAATAAAAAAGATAAACAAAATATACCAAAAAAAAAAACGACAATAAAAAGATGGACATACTTTGCACGTCCGTGGGCCACTGTTGTAGGTAAGAAGTTGGGAAGGTAAAGGGGAAATTGAATGTGTATTTGTACCCAACGATTTGCCGTCTGCTAGTGACGACTATAATACGGTATACTCGCTCTCCTACTGTCGAATTTCTTTACTCCCTGATAGGTTAGGTTAGACTTCCCTCCCTTTGAAATCTACCCCCTTCCCAAGAAAAAAAAAATTCGGTGTTTAGATACTTTTGATATGAAAATCATGAAAAAAATTCATAATGTAACACTTTTAGTCCACTGTTTTCGTTCAATTCTGATACGGTCAAAACCAAAAATCAATATGCGGAAAAAAAATAAAAATTGGTACTTGCAATATCGGGCGTGGAACAGCCAGTATATGTAATATAAAGATAAAAGTATATTATTTTTATTTTGTCTATGATCTCCATAGACGTCAAAATACTATATACTAATTACAATAATACTTGTCTACTGAAGTTATATATACAATTTTCTACATATTTTTAAATAAAGGGTAACAATAACTCTTTCAAAATATTCAAAGTTTACCAAATATAAAATAAGTTAGGTATCTAAAACATTGAATTAAATTATATATAAACTGTGTTAACATTATCTAGGATGAAGTAGAACCGTGGAAGTGTTATACTGTTAATTATAATAGCTGTTTTGGCGATTAATGTGGTTGTATGATTTTGGTTAATGGTTAAAGTTTCATGTTTATGGTTATTAAAAATATTATTAATTGATAATATACATTTAAATTTTAACGCATTAATTCTTAGGATTTAGCGTTTATTTATTTACACGTGTAATAAGTACCTTTAATATAAAACAGGTATTACTCATAGTAGATTATAATGGTGTGTTGCTGATTAAACGAAATTAACAAATTTGCTCAAAGTGATATCAAATCATAGAACATATACTATAATTATGTATGATTTGCATCGAACAAGCAGTACACGCGACAGGTACACGATAACGCATAATAATAATAATTACCTAAATTACCTAGCAATAATTATTAATTTTATTCGAGATGCACATAAAAATGTTTCAGTAACCGAATATTTAATGCTGGAGGTCAATGCTTTTAGCCATAAACACATAGACATTAACACCTAAGCCGATTGTGGACAAAAGTGTGCAATATACAAGGGTGTTTAAGTGCATACCCCCTTAATAGCGTCTCTGTTCAAAATTGTGAAACATTTAATTGTAAGCACAAGCAAAAACTTAATAGTGGGTGGCAATTTTATAATTTTAACCATTTTCTTTTTGTACAATCATTTTTTTAATTTTTAATTTAATATTTATTTATTTTATTTTTTGAAAGGCCCTTCTTATCGGGTGTTTATACATTTAGACTTCGGAACAATATTTTGTCCAGATCCTCTTGGTCGCCAGATTGTATGAATATACGTTTGTGGGTTAAATAGTTTTGGCTTTATTACACCTAAATTGTTTAATATAACAAATATTTGTTTTTACCTATAATCGAAACTAGTAATTGTATAACTAAAACGCAAAACAAAGCGCAATCAATGTTTGAAATAATGTACTCATAATACCAACGATTTCTCATCCTTTTAATAATACCAACTTGCCGTACGATTAATTACGATTTGTTACAATACAATTTTGATACAATTTGTTGTACTTTCATTCACCTCTAGGAAAAGAAATGCAGATTTCACGTACGCAGATCAGAAATGTTGAAAAAAAAAGTCTACATTTCTCAATCGACCAAGTTAAATCTCTATTCATTTAATTAAGCATATATAGTGATGATTCAAGTGACTATTAAACTTATTTTTTAAATAGAAAATAATTAATTTTCATAATAATAATTTAAACTACATTCCCAATTACAATAAAATAAATATATGGTATATGGTATATATACCATATATTTATTACAAAGTTTGAAAAGTCGTAATTCAATCAGTAAATTATTATTAATAAAACTAAATATCCCACTGTGCCGACGATGTCCGGAGAGCACGGCCGTTACGCGTGTTACTATCGATACATTCCGTTTTCCGTCTGATTGAACGTATTAACAAAACTAAAAAATGTAAGCAATTTGTTTAACTCGGCTTCAGAACCATTTTATTTAGTACGTCCACTGGATCTATCGATACATTTTTATTGACTATCAGCATAACAATATCAGTATAATAATCATCCATTTAATCGATTCCAATGAACAATGAACTAAATATTTAGTTATTAGTAGGGCTAGAATTTCTATGCATTTGAATATTTTTTTCCTTTAGTCCAAATTGATTGGTTGTCAGATAAGTCCACGATTTGGTTTATTCTCGATTAAATAAAACAATTTTCGTTTTACATATTTTTAAATATTTTGAACATAATGCATATAATTGCATATTTAGATTTTTAAGAATTTTATGAATTTTAAAATTTAAATGTTATTTATTTAATTAACTTCTAAAATTATTGTTTTATTTGCCGAATCGTCATAAATATTAGCTAATATTATAATCTTATCTTGGATTACTTACATATTATTTAACTGCGTATATTGTGAGACAGTAGGTATTAAAGTACGCTAACAATATAGAATAGCGACTGCATTGTTTTTCATTAGTATGACTTGTGTTTTTGTGTAGGTACGTATATTTAATGTACGTACCTACACGGACACAATTTAAATTTTATATGTTTAGTAGAAATAAAAAACGTGTTTTTGTATATTTTTTCACATGTTGGTAAATAAAATGCATATTTTACAATTTTTTATTGCATATAAATTCTAACCCTAGTTATTAGTTAGGTACCTAGTGTTTGTATAGTACTATCAATTATAAAATATATCTCTGACATCATATTCCGTAAGTAATTTTTAACGGTGTATAACAGTTGCGTGAGCTAAGGTTATAAAATTTACTACCAATTATCATTTTGGTTCAAATTTAATCAAAAACATTTATGTTTATTTCCATTGATTAATCAATTCATTTTTATTCATTTTATTAATATTTAACACCCCAAATTGAGTTCAAAATTGTTTATACCTTTATTAAAAAAAAAAAGAGCCAAAAAAGGTGATTTGACACTCAGACGGGGGAGTCTGGTAACCATGGTAATTGGGTCTCCTTCTACCGTTATGATTACACCATTGTTGAAAGTGAAATTTGTCGGATATACTTATTTATTGATGGACATGCATACACAACAAATAAACTAAACAATATCACATAAATTGTATACGATTTACTATACCATATATCATTTTTTTTTTTTTTTTAAATCAAATCTAACATTTTCTAACTTATAGTATGTATATTGTTTATAATAATATTATACCTATGCCGGGTTGCATGATCAATTTTTCATTATTTAGGTATTTAGGTCGCTAAACATTTATTGAATCAATAGTGAGGTAAATAACATGGTTTTTGTGAAAAAGAGGAAGTTACACTTTGGTGGAAATCGCCCGGCCACGCTTACCCTGTTCAGTTGGTTAGAAACATAGACGTTCATTATTCCCATTTAACTCGTACACCTGGAAATCTGGGATCATGAATTCGTTCTCCCGTGCGACACAAAATCCAATAAAATAATATGAAGGTCGTCGGTCGGTCGATCAATTAAAAATATCTCATTTTATACCTACAACGGCTGTAACACAACGGGAAGTAACTATTTATTAAAGAAATTTAACGATCATTTTCATGTACACTTATGTTATATAATCAATGCAATATAATAGTCGGTTAATTGTTATTAAATTATTGTCTTTTCGACAGTAGGTATATTTTAAAATCGTATAGTAAAATAGTGTAAAATTCATTTTTAAATAATTATTTGAATTTTCAAAATTATGACAAATGTAAGAAATATTGTGATGTGAAATTGGCATACCTTATATAGACAAAAAATATATTCGGTATGATTTTTATGGAATACATCATGTGTACTATTTATATTTATTTTCATTTTTATTTTTATCAGTGATTGCTGATCAGTCTAATAATTTATTATCGCATTATTTTTAATGTATACACTACAAATGTTGGTTCATTATTTTTAATGATAATGCGTAGGCACAAGTTGTTTATTTTAAAGAGTTTTTCGTTAAAATATTATACCTCGTATTATAGTATGTTATAAAACAAATATATTCAGAAATGTACAAATATTTAATATTTTAACACTTCAGGAAGGTGGTTTACTGCATTTTGGTAGTTTTAAACGTAATTTTGGTATCGGCAGGTATTAAGGTATGATGTACACACTTGCAAAGTATTTGAGTAGGTAGGTAACTGTATTTAAATAAAAATATTCGTATATAGATACTTCAGTACACTTTTTCAATTACATATTTTTATATTATAAATATTTATACGGAAATTACTAACTTTCATTAATTAATTGAAACGTGGGTATATTCTTTCTTCTTCTCCTTCGCTTTCATCTCAGCTATTTGGGATCGGCCAAAATTTAAATATATTTTCATGCATTTTATAATACATGTACCTAATAAAACTACAAAAGACTATTAATCGTAACCTTAGTGACGTATTTGCACCTTGTTTTTTTTATGAGGGGGACGAGGGTATATTTACACAATTTAGACAGCTAAGTTTACCTAAATCATATTATGTTGAATAATATTATAGAAGTTATGTGCTTCATGAGAGGGCGTATAAACCTCCAAAAGGCAAAATCACCACGTGAATACGCCACTGAATAACCTATATACTGGGTAATTTTTAAGCATGCTCGCCTCATTTGTATGGTTAAATTAAGCATAAATTAAAATTATAATTTTTGGAATTTTAAATAGGTATAGTGAAAGACGATATTTCCATAGCACTTTAAAGCAATGCTAACTTTGGTTATTCAAATGAGAACTTACATGCTTTAATACATATTGTCAATCAGATGATTTTTCTGAAAATGTTGGTGTATTGTAATCGAAAATTGAATGAAAAGTTTCTGAGTTATTCCGTTTTAAATACTAAAGATTAATAGCATAAAGCCGAAAAATATTTTTTGATAACTGCATGATTCTAAAGAAATTGCTTATACACGACTCCTATGAAATAGTCGGTATTCAATCCTTATAAATCCTTAGTATTTAAAACAGAAAAACCCAGAAACTTTTAGTTCAAACGTCGATTACAATACGTTAACTTTTCAGAAAATTCGTCTGACTGACAATTTGCATTAAAACAAGTAGGTTCTTATTTGAAATACCAAATATTACCACAAGATACTCTTTAAATATTTTTGAGAAATCTATGCATACAAAAATATCATCTTTCATTACACTTAAACATTCCAAAAATTTGAATTAGAATTTATCTTTGAAAATAAGGTAAACATGCTTAAAAAATTATACTGTACAAGCAGTCGTTTACTGTATTTAATTTCACCACAATAAAATGATTTTATTCCGTCTTAATCATAATATTAAATTACACATTTCATTCCAACCTTCCAAACACAGTACCTACCTATTTATTATTATTGTATGTGACATTGAACAGTGAACACACCTAGTTTACAGAATAAATCGGTCTATACGTAGGTGCTGTCACCGTTTTCCACAAATATTTCAGTGTTTCATGAATTAAGTACTTATATAGTTACTCCAAGGTCAAAATGCCATCCTTTACGGTTAAACGACCCTAACTAAATCAATATACCTTTGTAATTAATCATATAGGAATTTTTATCGTCTTTTATGTCAGAATTTTACGACTTTTAATCTAGCGTGTGAAGATTTTTAAGCATTCTTATACTTGCGAGTATATAAAAAAAAACAACTGAAATCAATAATATTTGTATAGATATAACCTATATGTGCTACATAAAATAATTTTGAATTATAGATAATACTATTTAGAAAATTTAGAAAATTATATTGCAATAATTGCTGTTGTATACCTACCTATCAAAGTAAAACAGACGGACATACTTTGCCCGTGGGTGGGCCATTGTTATAGGAGAGAAGTTGAGAATATAGAGGGGAAATTTTATGTATATCTGTACGCAAAGATAAACCATCGCTTACGAAAAAACGATTCTGAGCCGAGCTCAGTTGATAATGATGCTTTGTTAACAACATATGTCATTTTATAGTAAAATAATTAAATAGGCTTTATATATTTCTTTAATATTTTACCGATTTGCCCGATTTTTCTACGTTTTTCCCGCGTTTTTTTTCGGTTTTTCACCGAGAAATAATAATTATCACATAGAAAAAACAAAATAAAATCATTTTGCGATTATTTAGTGACTAATTACATATAGGATAATAGTACGTTATAAAATCAAAATACAACTTACTCTGTAAGCAACAAGATCCAAAACGCAACAAAAAAGGTCTTTTATCATTTTTTGAATAAAGCAAGATTTCTAGTAGAAATCGTGAACTATAAAAATATAAAATCATGAAATCTTTACATCGAAAATATTTGTTCGTTTTTTCCAATTTTTCTCAACTATTTTGGAAACCGCTAGAAAAATCAAAAATGACCTACCTAAAGTATCACCCCAAACAAATTTATTTTCAGAAAAAGGTCTAAAATATCTACACTATAAACATCAGAGTAACCTTTCTGGTCTAAATCGTGTTCACATAAAAAAAATAAAAAAATAAACATCTTTGTAAAACTAATACATTCTTCGCTACACTCAGAATCTAAAAGGTATGTATTTGTTCTACTTTATGTTTATTTTTATACATTTTTACAATAAGTAATTTAACATACAGCGGATATACAATATATTGAAAAAATGGGAATTTAAGCAAAAATCAAAAGTTTTATTTATGTATCTGCCTAATATTTCATTTCAAAATTTAAAACGTAATAATTATAGGTAGGTACCTAATAGACGTAAATGTATTTAATCATTTTTAAAGATATATAGACCATAGACAACACCATTAATCATAATCTATAATATTTTACGCCCACCATGGAATATAAAATATCCAGATATGTTTTATGCTATATATTACCTATAGGTATTAGGTAGTGTACACATAATATACCTAACAAACCAATAAAATTTAAAACATACCTCTACCAAAATATTCTAACAGTAATCACTATTATATTTCATTATTTTACTGCAGTACTGCAATAGTAGTCAACCAAAGTCTAAATAATACTATGTATCACTTAGCATAAAAGACAATCAGTAGTTAAATGATGGTATATTATAAATCATGGTGCCTAAGGCGCATCCATACACAAACGCGATTGGGGGCCCCTGAAGTGTTCATGGGCTAGCGGCCACTGTCAGACTAACACTGCAAGCGTACCATCTTTTCCGAAAGAAAATGTTGCCTGGTTAGAGTTGAGAAAGCAGATTTTTGATTTTCCTTGTAGTTTTCTGAATAATTTGGGAAAATGTACGGCAATAATAACGGTTAGATTATTTTTCGATTTTGTTGTGATTCGGTTTAGAATAACGGTAGAGACCCGAAATTTTCACAAAATACTTACATTGACTTATACGGATTTTATAGGGTTATAATTGTCTATAACACACTCGTATCGACACGGGATCACCTACTCACCTGGTCGCACCGTACATCCGACGTTGTATACACGGTACACGTAGTATGTATATTCGCTGTATATTCTGGGCAATAATGACGTATATAATATCCCACCGGTATCGAATTCATATTCGAAGCTGTGGTCTCTTCAAGTAACCGGTACCTAATGCATAGTATAATATATTGCATACCTATGTAGTTTGTTTACACAACTCGTTTGAACACCCTTCTGCGGTACACGTATAATGTTATAATAGTCGACCGGACCAGGTATAGAGTGGCGTGGTGTTCGGCCGAACGTTTCGTCGCCCCATATGTGTATACACGTCCGCCAACAATAATATTGAATATTATGTATAACGATTATAATATTATTATACTTTTATAACGACGCAGTAACGACCGAACAAGAATAATGCGTCGCCCACAATCACAACATATCGTACCGTTATAATCGGTTTAAAAAACCCAAACGACTGCGTTTAACGCTGCTCCATGACGGGAAGAACAAATAAAAGTATAATAACGTGATATTATATCTTTGGTCCCGACTGCCGAGGGCGAAGGGCTTAAGCCAACTTTGTACAGTATTCAATACAAGCCGCACACATTTTGAAAATTGATAAAATACACGATGACATAGTTGCTTGATCTCTAAACGTCCCAACCTAAATATGCAGACGTAGGTCTAAAATTTGCATGGAGCCTTTTCTAGATGTGGTAAAATTCTAACAATTCTTAAGCTATGTATAGAAATTGTTTGTAATTTTATGATTTTTTTTAGGTTTTGTTAGGTTTTATGCGGATAAAATTATTTTGGCCGACCAGAAATGCCCGCAAATTTTACATGAGGTTCATTCATGAAAACGATTCCATGAGATTAACTTTATGGTTATTAATAATAATATTATTACTCCATAATGGCCCACAAATGTAGTACTGTCTCAACCTAAGATATCGAGAATCCTACGATAGGGGGGTGGTGAGGCACAGCCCATTCTATTAATGTCTATGGTTTTTACAGCCACCGATTTTTAATTAGTCGAACAATTTCAAAAACAATTTTTGCCGCTTAAACCCTTTACGATTAAAGTAAATTGTTTTGGAGCGTGAGGTTTGTGATTATGTGATAACATCGCTTATAGTCCTCTTGAAAAAACGCCCGAATGCCGCTCAATCCCTAAAAATTATTAGAGCTAACATATATATTAACACAAAGTGTCATTTGGATCCTGAATATTCAAATGTCCGATCGTCCGTTACAAAACGGCCGCCACTGAAGAGTTGGATCAGACGACGTACGCTTATAAACGGTGTACGTCTCCACCGATACTGCCTAGCTATGATCTATATATTATAATTGGTCGTTTAACCTCAAAGTATCTAGCTCGCCCCTTCCCCCCCCCCGTTCAGACCTAAACGACGACGACAATTTTTACAAATATGTTTATTTTTATTTTATTTTTTAACTACGTACGAAAATTCTACCAGAAAGCTTACTCCGATATATACGACGTAGACACTTTTCTGAAAGAAAATTTTTTGGGGTGGTATTTTAAGGAGGTAATTTTTCGATTTTCTCGGGAGTTTTCTCATCAAATGTGAAAAATCGAAAAAAACGTAGGAAAAACGGGAAAATCGGTACAATATTAAACAAACGTTATCAAAGAAAATGTATAATGTCTATTTAGTTATTTAATATTTTACCATAATATGGTAATACACATAAATTGTTTGCAAAGCATCACTGTCGACTGAACTCCGCTCAGAGTCGGTTTTCCATAAGCAATGGTTTACCGATGGTCGTGGACAATACAATCAATTCCCTTCTGTGTCCTATACCTTCCCGACTTTCCACCCACGACAGCGCACCCGTCCCCCGTTGTCCTATGACAGCTTTTTTTTTCTCATCGGTCGGCGCCGTTGACGTTGGTCCGCGGCCGCTACCGATGCCGCGGCGTGCCCCGGTGACATGTCGGCGGTCTATATAATTATTATTGTTACGATCCGCGGTCCGCGGGAAGTGACGTTCCGGGCCGCGGACGGCCGGCGCGACCGTGTACGACGGACGACGCAGAAGCGCGCGACGCGACGCGGTCGAACGAGGGGGAAAAATCGTCGGAGAACAAGTTTTTCGTCTCGTCTCGTCGTACGGACAACGCGAGAGGATAAGAAATAATATTATTATTATTATTATTATTTTTTTTTTTTATTATTATTGTGTTTATAATGTGTGTGTGTGTGTGTGTGTGTGCGTGTGCGTTTACGACATGACGGGTTAGCGGGTGGGTGTGGTGACAGCGGCGGCTCGGGCCGGGGCCGGAGCAGAGTATATACCGTTTATTTTTTATTTTTTTTTTTTTCCTCTCAAGGTTTTCGCGGCCCACGTTATCGGTATATACCTATACTATTATTATTATTGTACATACGACTGTGCGTGTACGTCTTCGGTGTAACAGTAGTAGTAGGTAGGTTTACCTTTACCCGTACGAGAAGTACCGGTCGCGCGATCAAGTTCACGCACACACCACTATATACGTATACACACAATATAGAACTACTGCACACTTTGGTTTATCGTTACACACACACACACACACGACACATATTATACTGCTCGAAAATGTATTAGTTCGATGTATACGTACTCGCAGCGTATTACTCTGTAGATTATCCGCGGTTGTCATAATAATGTGTAAAAAAAAAAACGAACATATTTCACACTATGGACGAGCCAATGTTGTAGGTGTGAGAGTTGGGAAGGCAGGGGAATTTAATTTATATCTGCACGCAACGTCAAACCACCATCGCTAACGAAAAACCATTCGGAGGATACTTTTTCAAAGTACCAAGAAAATAAAATTTCCTTTCAGCAATACTATTACACTTGGGACGCCGGAACAAGATTTCTAGTAGAAAAGTTGCTCACAAATAAAAAAATAAATATCATTGTAAAACCAATACATTCCTCGCTCCGAAACTAAAATGTAAAGAACGTACAGTCATAATATACTATTATCTATTCGGAACACCCTGAAAGATTCGTATTTTCACGTCCGGTAGTATGACGTTTTTTCTAGATTTTAGTTTTTCCGAGCAAAAAAATATCGAAATACGCGTAGTAGTATTATGGTATATCGTTTTTTTTTTTTTTTTTTTTTTTATGCGAGTTTCTCTTGCAGTTATTTTATTATTTACGTGCGTATACAAAAATCAGAGACCAATACAATCGGATTAAAGTCCGCTCTGCAGAATCTGCTTTATTCGTACTCAACGATTTACCGTCGATTGTAGATGTACACATAAGTGAGTGTCGTATCCGGAATTTTTCTTTGGGGGGGAGAGCTAATCAGTGTTACACATCACATATTATGCACCTACTTTTTATCTTATACTACACTGTGTTCAAAACGATAGTTTAAGATTTACAGTCGTTTCGGGGGAGGCTGTGGCCCTCCTCGATACGTAAACAATATGCAAACGATACGCAACATAAATCGGACCCGTCGCTAGAGTAGGTGTGCGAACAAACAGCGCGTTTGGTTTTGAACGGCACACAGCTTTTGATAAATCGAAGCAGCAAAACGAAATCGATAATCGGCAATACATGCGCGGCGATAAAATGCTCGCTTTAGGACGGACAATATCTTACGACGGGCGTGCCCCCATACTGTAATATTATTGCTACACGCATTCTCCTGACCCGGCGGCTTCGCTTGTTTTCCCCATCATAAAAACGTACGTCCGCGAAATTTTACCGCCCTCGGAATTTCGCCGCCCGGAACGCGTCACCGTACCCACCGGAACACCTATACAATATAATCCGCGCACAATAACGCATACTGCGGATCATACCGGTGAACACCGCGTCTGTATGGGCAGTATACACGGAGTACGGCGCGAAATCGTGTTGTTGTTATTATTATTATTTGAATATTTTAATGCGCGTTTATTGCGCGGCGGAAAGGTAGGTCCGGGCGGAGCGCGCGGTTTTTTCGTGTGTGTGTTTTTTGTTTTGTTTTTTTTTTTTTTCGCCAATGGTCAAGTCTATTTATGGGCCACAAGGTCCGGCGCGCGGCAACAACCAGACGCGCGCGACGGCCGCGAGGCGTGCGCCGCAGTCGCGTTCCGAACGGCCAACAGCGAGCTCGTCACGCGCGTCCGCCTCGCCGCAGACCGTCACCGTCGTCATCGCGATCTACGCGCAAAACAATCTACAATAATAATTTCCATCGCGGATCGATATTTTCGCGCCCCCACCCGTGTAGCCGTTCAACCGAGAGGCCGCGCGCGGAAATCCTGTTGCGATCATAATAGTAATTCCGGTCTATGATACCGCAGCATACCCGCGGCCCCGTGTGATTCCGCAACGCCGCGGCGTACCCGAACAACACCTAATTTACGCGTCACAATAATTAGTGTCCCGGCGGCGCGCGAATTGATACGTTTCGGTCGGGCCGTCGTCGCGTCACCGTTCCGTTGTAAAAACAAGAGTACCGTTTTCCGCCGAGTTCGGGCACCCCACCCCCGTTTACCCCTGGCACCGTCGCAGCTCCGCCGCCGGAAAAATGGGCCGCAAGTTCCCGTTGGTCTCGTCGTGTCTGGGTTGCCCGCTCAAGACCGGAGCCATCATCAGCGGCGTCTACGGAATAGTAATAACAACATAATATTCGTATCGTAATAATAACGCGTTATTTTATAACACTGTTAGTGGCTGAACGCCGAATCCGGATTGAAATGACGCGTCGAAAAACAATTGTTATTATTAATTCGTTTAAAAACGTTTTTTTTTTTTCCTCTTATTTCTAAAACAGTTCTTTAATTGCCCGCCACGAAATGTTGTTTACTTTGAGTCGCCGCACTCTTGAGTTTCTCTGGACTATTATAATTCGTTGAGAATGTGTGGAAAAACTCGAAAACCCTGGCATGTTATTTTTTTTTGTTACATCGCATTGAGACGGTTGTCGGTAGATCCGAGGTCGTATATTCGCATTGTATAGAATCTATACATACTATCGATGATAATGAAAAAATAGCCGATTATCTCAACAACAGTGCGGCCGGATTGAATCTAAAGTCGAGATCCACGGATTGGATCCGAAAACCGGGTTAGACATATTGAATCCGAATCCGGATTATAAAATTGTAATTCAGATTCCGGATTGGTCAACGTAATGCTCAGCACTACACGCTATCACGAGATTGCGGCGTCAATAATAATTATCATACGAAATTAACTTGTATGCAGGGGAACTGGGATGCTCGGCGGGCGAAATTATTGGCGACAAAACAGTTTTTGAAAATATCAAGCGGTTTTTTTTTCGGACAAAAACAATTTTCGGACTAGTTGGAGGGCTATAAGTCACCTATCCCCCCCTCCCCCCCCGATGTGTGTATTACAAATTATAACTTTATCAAAAGTAACGTTAGAAAATTTTTTTTCAAATTAACATAATGGCTAACGATTTATAATATTATAATGGGACGTGAGATATGAAAATGTTGTATACTACGGTGACCGCGCATTGTACACTATATAATCTTTACTGTCGTGATCTAGAATCGGAGAATAATTTTATTTTACTAACGTTTTTGTTTTAAAAACTCAAAATAATACATGATTACATAGTTACTATTATTACATAACTGCAGCATAAGGCTGTTAGTTTAAATACATTTTGGTGTTGATATTTTTGATTTTCGTCAACTCGTTGACGAGATATTACACTTTTAAATTTAAGTACAGGAAACACTACTATAATTATATTCTTCTCCCCTGTCAGAACTTAAAAGTAGAATATCTCGTCAACGGGTTGATGGAAATTAAAAATGTCAACACCAAAATTGATTTAAACTAATTCGTGTGATTTTTAATATAAAGGTCATAATTTGAAAATCAAAACTTGAAGGTGGTTTCAACTCCTAAAATAAGGGTGCCAAAAAAAGTGTAGTATAATTTTTTAGAGACATAAATATTTCTTAAATGTTCTAAAAAAAACAACGAAAAAAGTTAATACTTTCCGAGATAATGAGTGTGGATCACTCTGTTTAGGATTCTATAATCTTTATTATTATTATTTATTTTTTTTATAAATATATACGGACTATATGGTCCGTATATTATAAGAATTTGTACAGGTATTGGTATTTTTTTAATGCACTCGCAATTAAATAATACTTTAGTAGGATAAAGCGATAAAAAATAGAAAAATACAGTACATTAGCGTAGAAAATATGTCCCTTTATCGGTCGCTGTAACATTTTAACTGCTAAGGATGATGGTTTCTACTGCTAAAACCTAACCTAATAGTCGATATCGCCATATCGGCTAGCATATAAATAGAATTTAGATTTAACATAAATAAGCGACCCGGATAATATTATTACCTATTACTTTAAGTTTTTATTTTAGTTCTGTATTTGTCCAAGGATGGTTTACTAATGAGACGTGGGTTTTTAACTTTCAAGTTCAATTTTTCGAATTTTTCAGATAGGTCAATATATTTATTTATCTAGATAATTTATTTAAATAATGCTTAACACTGGATGTAATGCAAGTTAAAAAGGAATACGTATATTATATAGTTTATGCATTCGTAGAGAAGGTTTGTTTTGTTGAACGATTTTCAAAAATGCATAATTATCCTTTTTCATCTGTGCTTTTCCTATACGTATAATATGCAGTACATCACTCAGTGAACTCGCGTGATAAGCGAACCTTATCGTACCTATAAATAATGGTGTTCATTTTCTGCTGGCCGGTGGCCGGTGGGTGTATTTCGTGAGGTTATTATTATTAATCGTCATCGCAGTGTCATCACATAACAATAAAAAAAAAAAAAAAAAAAAAACGATCCTTATTATGATTGTTATTACCGTTTTGGTATACGCCTAAAGTTCAAGGGCGACACTAGGCAAGTGAGATAATATATTAGTCATTATTAAAGGGCACTAGGTGTAAATATATATAAAATAACTGCCGACAGCGGTGACGGTGGTGACCGTGGTTTGAGTTCGTTCCAGTTAACAGAAAAATATAGTTTTAATGACCTAGATAATAATAAAAAAGTAAAACGGTCTTTCGTTTGGAGGGTACGGTTTATTATAGAGATGGCTATCTTTAAAAATACCCGATAATGAATAATTTCATCATAGTTTGATTCTCGATTTCTGATTCGAATCGTCGAACACGAAAAAACCTTCAACCAATATTATAATATGTATACTATATGCATTATTAAATATACCAAATACATTTTTTAGTATATAAATATACTGATTAATATCACGTTTGCCGAAAAATATAATAATATATAAGTATCTGGCAAGTATTAAGTATTGCAGAATAAAAAAAAAATACTAATATAACCGTGTTGAACCGATGCCAATTTTCCGAATATTCCTACAATTTTGTTTATTTACCAACGCATACAAAAATATTGTTTGAAATACTGTTGAATTCTAGTCGTTCGTTTTGGTTAATAGCATATTTTTTTAAACCAAATATAATTTAGCACTACATATAACACATTATATACCGTGTGTCCGAGAAACAGGATACACTTTACCACTCAATACCCTGTAAATATTTCTCAATTCTGTTTTCAGGACATTAAACTATACTAATGGATCTTACATTTCTACGACTTACAATTTTTCGACAGCGCAACATAACTTCACTTTTTTTAAATGGCGACCCCTATTTTGAATATTATTTTCGGATTTATCGATTTTTTCAGGCAATTTTCATTTTATCAACTTGTATTCTAAACCCAAAATTGACTAAATTAAAGCTAAATGTAGTTTTATAAAAAAAAATGTATTAAGTTTGATTGTTTTTTTTTTAGCTGAACATATTTTTTCTTTCTAAGCATCATGATACAATTAAAATTATTACTTTTTAATAAAATAAAATAATAATTCATAAATACTAAAAATTTTATTAATTTAGTTATAATTTTAATATACTGCCCACCTAACATTTTGTATTACACAAAATATATCGTATTATACATAATTTTAGTCTCTGTATTACTAAAATCATAAACGTAATTTGTTCAACTTCAGGGGATGTAACACTCTGGCATTTACGTACCTAAGTAATAAAATAACTAATAACTAAAACAACAATCCAGGATAACCGTATTTAATAATAAATATTAACACTCGTGATGAAAATGGCTTGTCACAAGTGCACCCCTTGTACCCCCGAAATTACGCTCTTGACTAAAATAAACAAGTAGATAAAAAATAATTAGAAGATTTTACATCATGCAAATATTGATTACATGATGTAAGAACTAGTAATAGCTTACAAACAAAAATATTTAACAAAGTACTTGTGTGATATTTTTTACAATTCCATAAACAAATATCGACAGCGATTCGCGATTAGCAAATATAATATTATACTATTTATAATATATAGTCACATTCAAAACAGATTGGTTATAAAGAAATCGGATCATTCTGTTCACATTTTGGCTGTCTAAACACGGAGATATTTAAAAGAAATGCATTTTTGACGGAAATCACTACCTAACTAATCCATTTTAAGTCACCAACTATATGTATTTATCATAAATTTAAACAGGCGAAAGCCCAGTTACAATTTATACACAGAACACATAATTTACAAATATTCCAATATAGAGTTATGCTAGGTTAAAGGTTAAAAAAATTAGGCAATTAAATTGCTATATAGACTAAAAAAATGTACAGTATCACAAACAAAAACATCAATATTAAATTTATTTACAAGTTGCATACATCTATTCAAAGGAGAATTTTTGGCATATCATGTACGTTGGAAAGGGACATAAAAAGTGTCAACCTGTCTGGTTTTATAACCTGGAACCAGAAAATTAAGTTGGGCCAGTAAGTAAAACCATTCAGTAGTTGAAACATAAAAAGGACTTCTTGTTTTAGCTTTTTAGGGTAATGAAATCAATTTCATATAATAAAATAGAATGTCGTAGGCTACAACTGGTCATTAACCAGTTATTAACACGTTAGTGTTAAGTTCCAAGTAATTCAACTGTCACCTTTGAGTTGAGTCACTTCAATTTTTTGATGGCATAATATATTTATAACAAGAATGAACGAACAAAGTCGGTATAAAGTTGGTGGAAGAAGTGGAGGAGCATCCCGTTTTATAAATGCTAGTATTTGAATTTTTTTTCTATTTGCTTCTAGTTCTACTACTTTAAAGAGATAGATAAAGAAATGTGATTATCTGGGTCCAATGGTAGATTCACTTTATATTTAGATAGCCAGGAATTCATTTGTTTTGAAAGTGATTCCTGAGTTTCTTTTTTTTTTCTCTTGATTTGTTAAAAGTTGCACCGGATAATTTTGGAGCCATTTACACACTATTTTAAAAATTACATAGTTATTAATAGTAATATCATATTAGTGATAAAAAAATTAGCTATTTTTCGTTTAAAAAAAACATTTTGTTAAAATTTGATTTTCGAATGTTCATAAAGATATTTCTACTATCAAACATAGATAATATGAAAGAATGAACAATATATAAGGAATTTTTAAAACCTAAACGGTCATATTATAGTGAATTATGTGTGGAGTGAAGTGGTTATAAATTAAAAATAATGTTTAATAATCTTTATGTATTTTCGATATTTTTATTGAATAGTAATAAGTAAGAACTAATCACAATGCATCAGGAGATTTGTATTAAATTTTCATATATTTTTATCGTAAAAAATATTTTATTGACAGCAATCGAAAAAAATGAAGAAACTCGTAAAATACAAAAATTACATTAAATATTTTGGAATTCATACTATTTTAAGAAAATAGCAATATTAGTATTTGATAACGATTTCAAGTTCTTACGTTTATTTTTCAAACGATCATTTATATTTAAAAAAAAATAGCTTTTTAAAATTAATACATTCCTCACTTAACACCGAGTCTAATATATTTTTCAGTACTGTTAGTTAAACATACGAGTAAGATGATATTACATTTACAGATTTTTATAGAATTAAACATTTTATTCGATAAAGTAAACACAATGTTTTACCGACCGACGTGTTGGTGTTTTTACGACCGTCCGGTGCTCAACGAAAAATATGTGTACCGAGGTATATCTAATCACAAATGCCAAAAACTACAATAACATATTATTTGTTTGACATTTACAATTGCATTTTTAAAATTATTTTTAATCCGTTAAGTACCTAGCTTTGATAATATATTAATATTATACACAATACAATTTAAAATAATACGTTTACAATTTTTTTTTCATTTGTTGGGTGGAACAAGTGCAGTCTCCAATATGAGCCTCCGCTGTATAATTTTACAAAAATATATAATAAACTCAATTATATATATATATACCTGTAAGGACGAAAGGCTTAATTATTCAGATATTTAGCAACTGTTGTCAATTGTCTTACTAATTTGTCAGTAGGTTAGCTCTACTCTGTCAGTAAAATCGCTATCTTCAGGAGACAAGAGCCCACGACTGGACGAGTGAACCGACGACAAAACACAAATGAAATGTAATAATTTTTAGTAGATTACGATCAACTAATGTTGTATAATACTCGGTAAACATAACGCATTATAATCTATATTTGCATTCGGAATAATTTTGATGTAAAAATAGACGGAATTTATAATCGTAATATACGTTACTTTTATACAAAAATATTATAATGAGATATTATTTTCACAAATTGCTTTAATTAATGTAAAGGACGTTGAATTTTTTGTAAATAAAATATACAACTGCTACAATTGCTACGGCACTGTGTATTCCTTATCAAAAATGTTGCAAAATATGTAAATTCTATGTAAAAAAAGTGTACACTTTTTTTTAAAACAAACCAAGCTAATATGAGCGCATTGAGTAGGCCTTATGTATGGATCCGAGTCACCAATAATGCGTTAGTACCTAACAGATTAGTGATTTTAATCAAAAACCAGTTATATTTCTTTTTTAATAACTCCGTGTGTAGAAGACCTTAGACATTTCGATGGAAAAAAAATCATTATAAAACATACCATTTGGAGTATCTACCGCAGTAATAATACACAGGAAATAATATTAATTTTTAATAATGTAAAGTTTTAATATTCTTTCGATATCAATGGCACAGTGATATAGTTTTGCCAATAATTTGATAAGCTTAGTCGAACAAATTGTTTTAATTTAATTAATAATATTATTAGCGCATTGTGAATAATTATAATGTAGATCCTATTATATTAAATGATAGGTGCCGATTGATAAGGTTCTGTATAACAAGTTGTGATCATAGGTTAAAAAGAAACAAATTATAAAATGTACCTGCGTAGTAATTGTTTTAATTCGAACCGGACTTGGTTAGGTAATATTTTAAAAGTATTACATTACGTATGATAATAATACAATATGTTAATATTTACAATATTATCTTAACTCACTTATTTAAAGGTCATCATTGTTTATGTTTAAAATTGTTCATCTATAATAATAATAATTATTGTTGTTTAATTTACAAGCGTGCTTTATAATATGACGCGTACAATTGTTTAAAACATCGTTTTTAAATATTTTTATTATGTAGTGTATGACTACCTTAAAATTGACTGAAATAAATTATAAAGATAATAACAATTTAAATTGTAGCACAACAAATTTGAGCTGAATAAATATTTAAATCAACGATTTTAATAACGAGTAGATATAGGTACGTACTATACCAGCAATATCATTTTTTGCACATTATAGGAGAGATTAGCCAATAATAAACTTATAAAACTGTTTAAAATTATATATGATATACCATTTACAGTAGATATTAAATTTTATACAATAATTAAATAGTAGGTATATGATAAAATGATACATTTGTCACGAGTTTGATCAAACTTGACAAATGAACCATTCATCACTGGTTAATATTATAATAATAGTATTAGATGCATTTTTGACAGTTTTAAACATAAATTAGTATATTATTATTGATTGATTATTATGTCGTCGAGAATGAGCGAAATATAATAATTATTATAACATAACGAGAGTAGGTGCGTATAACACTAAATTTAAAATAATATTTTCAACAAATGTTTAAAATTTCAAAATTATTTAACATTGGAAATGTCTAATGAAACACAGAAACACGTTATTATACTCGTAGTGTGACGGATCACGTGCAGCTGAATCATACATATTATGATAGAAAAGGCGTCGTTAACAAATAGATACAATACAAATATTTCATTTATTTTTACATTTAACGAACACACATATCCGCGCGTTTTTCTATAGTTCATATTTCTATGTTAATACCGAACTAATCAATGACAAATACATAATTAATGTTTAACGCGAAGAAACCCTACTAGAGCGTATATTCGTACGTATCTATTCCAATTTCTGAATTCCATAATACACATTTATAAGTTATAACTTGTAAGTATTTAAGAAGAAATTAACAGAAATAAGTAACCAATAATTATAATGGCCAACAGATTTTTCCGGGCAACAATTCGATAGTTAATTTTTTATAGAATTCCGCTGCTGATTCCGAATCTGGTGTCAGATTTATAAGATTCACTCTTGTTTTTGAGATAATCACTAATATTCGTACAAAAACAATAATAATATATAGTTAAATTCTAATAAAAAAAAAATTATTTTTCCCTTATAAGTAAAAATTTATTTTGTTTTTAATGTATTCAACAATAAACAACTAAAAACCACGGGAGCCGTTTAAACGAGCATTTAAATTTAAATCGTATTTGGAATAATTCTTTTTTTTTTGTAATGCGATTTTAATAATATTATTATAATTTCATTGAAATTGATTCAATAATAAATTTAAAATTATACTATAGTAATACGCAATTAATTTGAACTAAAATATGCGAGTAAAGCCTTTAGGTGTGCCTGCAATGTTCCACAATATTTGTGTCCGTTTTTTTCTCTTTGTAAGCTATGTCTGATGCAATTATTTTCAAATTATTTTCATTTAAATATCCCCATTATCTAAACGTATTTACAAAAAAAAAAAAAAAAAAAAAAACTATTAACCATTAAATAGGGTTCAAAATATTCACTACAGTAAACAGTAGGTATATTAAATACTAAAAGTATTATGTTCATTATGGTTTACAGTACTATGAACAGTTCAATTTTGTATACTGTAAAATCATTTAATGCGACGTCATTCAAAATATAGTGGAGTCTAGTCATTAATAATCGCTTTAGTTCCAACTACCTAGTATTATACGCACATAACATAATAACGAAAAACGTTTAAAGAAAGAAAGAGACGAATGTGAATAAATATTTATAAATAAATGAAAATGATATAATTTCTTTGGAAAACGTACCGTAATATTCATATATTTTCTGTATTGTGATTTTTGAATGAATATTCAAAATGTTTGTTCAGGTTCTATTATTTGTTTAGAGTGTACGTATACTATTATCATAATCTTTTAACTTACCTAAACCTATTTTTCTTTGTCCGCCCGTTTAGAGCATAAGGTATCGAAATAAAATATAATACCTGCATATTTTGTATACTATAGATAATTTACAAGGTATTTGACATAAATTCAGATTAAACGAAAAACCTAAGCCTATAACCTAACCGATTGTGATCTGATTTATCTAGATGTCCGTAATGCTTGATTTGGAAAAAAGTTAGAACGGGGACACAAAAGTCTAAAAAAATGTGAATACCTACATCTTATCTTAAGATTTAAGTGTCCTACGCCATATTTCAATTTCATAAGGTCCATCGGATATGGGGGGGGGACGGTGACAATCCTCCTAACTTTGAAATTTAGACTACTAGAATCAATAATTTCATTTTAAAATCGGCAATAATAATTGCTTAGTTTTTTTTTAAATTATTTTTTACGCGTTTACGATGACAAAAAATATTTCTAGAAAAGAATAGGTACTCCGTCCTTCTACGTCTCCCCCTCCTCAATCAAGCATTGAATATCTGGAATGGCCATGATGCGCATAGTGTTATGTAAGGATTATTTCAAAAAGTTTGATTTTAATCATGTGCCTACACCTTTATGTAGAAAAATACAATAGCCAAATGTCGGTAACAAAAGAATAAATTTAGATTAATAAAGGAGGTAAATATATTGGTTCCTTTTAGTATTTTGATTAAATTTGCCCTATTTTTCATTTAATTTTAATACATACTTATATGGGTACTGAGTGAGTATGTATAGGTGTTTACCTAACTCATATTAAACGAAAACTTTTTTATGCGAACTTAAGACTATTATTGTCTGACGTTCACTTCTATTCTTTTCGCCGTTCTTTTACATTTATCCGAATTACCAGAGAATCAACATATTCAAAAGCTATATCTTCCTACTTTTCTGGATAATTGTATTAATAAAAAAATTACAAAAATTTCTTTATAGTTGCTCGTCACGAAATGTGTTTAATGGTGTTCGTCGAGTAAAAAAACTACACGAATCGCAATTTTAAGTTGTTCAAGAAAGACAAAAATTCTTTAAAAGGACGTTATACTCACAACTACTGTGTCAGTCCAACTACCGGGTAGCATATATAAACAACGCTTACGCAGAATGAGTAAAACTAGATTAATTTTGATTTTAGAGTAAAAGTACTGATTACGAAATTTATATAGAACAATATTTTGGAGGGAATGACGTCGGAGTTTTTTGAATTATAACTATTAAAAAAGTTACAGTTGTTTAAAAAAGCAAAAAAAATAAAGGTTTTCGTAACTTTTATATTGAGCTGTATATATTAAATAATACGAAAACCCCACGTCATTCCCTCCAAAATATTATTCTCTATAAATTGCATAATCAGTGCTTTCACTCTAAAATCAAAATTAAGCTAATTTGACTCATTCTACGTAAGCATTGTTTATGTATGTTACCCGGTAGTTAGACCGAGACAGTAGATAACGGGTATAACGTCCTCTTAAGTAGGTACTAAAGTTTTATAATATTTCATAAAATTCTAATTAAAACCTGTAGATGATATCTAAAATTAATACATTACAACATTATTCATTAACGTGTAATTTATTTTAAACATTTTTTTTTTAGTCCGTTTTGTTGTTTTTTTTGACATTTTTTATTTACCATTTCTTTATTTAATGATTAGCATCATAATACCTATTATTATTATAAATCTACACGTATCGTATAGTTCACAGATATCGTTTCGTTTGAAATCTAAAATTACCTACTATCCGACACAGGACACAATAATAAAATAATAATAATAATAACTAACTACGTTGAGCTTTAGGTATGTCTGTTGTGTGCGAGTATTGTGCGTGTTACATGGTGTATATTGTGTTTTATAGCACGTTTTTTTGTTTTTTTTTTTATCCACATACTTCAGTACGCATTTTCGATTCTCTGCCAGTAATATACTCCGAGTGGCGATAACAAGTAGGTATTATATTTAGCATAGTAAGCACGTCGAACGTGTGTACGCGTGTTTGATGTGCGTGTACGTTATAGGAACGAAAGAAATCACGGATTTCAATAAATATAATAGCATACCTACCCAATAGCATAGGTTTAGGAACATAGGTATCGTATACGAACCCTGCAGATAATCGGACCTTCAGTCCGGTATATTATATTACTATAGGTACCTAAAGAGATGAACCAACAGACTGCTCGGCGGTGTATTAAACTATTATGGGTATTATGTGCATGTAATATTCAACTAGATAGATTATACTATACCGATACGAACACGACGAGACAGAACACTCTGACGTTAAAATCAAATCGAACGATAATAATATTTTCGTCTGGTCAAATTTTGCTATTGCGTTCAGTGCCTAAAATCTATGTAATTTTCTACTGCACGCCATCATAGCCCACCCATTCCTCTTTTCATATTGATTGAGTTACCTAAATATAATATTGATTACTGTAGAGTTAGGGGCATTTTTTAATAACCGAACAATTATTTTCCCAGAATAAAACCAAATAAAGGATCTATAGGGAATGAACCGTTAGAAATTAAAAAAAAAAATACTTGAAGTAACACGTACCACCGGATGGAAATTTCGCATCTTCCGAGGCACTGTGTGATGAAAAACGGAAAATGTGTAGAGAATTTCGATAACGTTTTCAAATAAAAAGTACTATTAGGCGGGAAATCGCATAATAAACCTATAACATTACATACTCAAATAGCATAATAATCATTATGAACATTACTAAGAATATTAGCTACTCACTGCACACGATAAGTTTAGTAAATATATTAGTAAAACTACAATTTTAAAATAAATTTACGAGTGAAACGGGCAATGTTTGAAATCGAAGCTCATAAAACATTAATAAAAATAGAGGTCAGGTTTATAATATTATAATAATAATAATAATTTTCCTTGGCACATATTATATTTTACACTGCAAGCTCGTAAATATACAGTAACAGTATATTATGCCGCTGCTGTGGGGTGATAGAAATGTCTATATTACGTCGACTGTCCGAATAACAAAATCTTGGCGCGGACCGAATATTTTATTAATATTTCCAAAAACAAAATCGTCTTCGAACAAACGTGATGTATTCAATGTAACCCGCCACACGCCCATCTTCTTCTCGTGATACAATGGCGGATTCAAACGAAACTATTCACCTTCGTTTTAAAATCTGGTTGAATTATTAAACAACGAAAAAGAATAAGAGAAATGTCGTTCGATTCGAGAATAGTGTGAAGTCTGAATAAACGAAGAGTATATTTGACGATGAAAACTGCAACGACATTTCCCTCGGATCCGCGTCTCGATGTAGTCTGATAATATCATTACTATAATATCAATCAATAATAATTATAGTTATTTATTTGTTTCGAATAAAAATCGGTACACATGTGATTGGCGAGTGAAATTTCTATTTTTCAAGAAAGTTTTTATACGTCATACCGAGGACACTCAATCTTTGTTTGTATCTATACACCTATACCTATTACCTACATTAATATTTAAATTCAATAGGTAGGGAATCTACTCACGATCCCTATGTTAACAGAGAAATTTTTGAATTTATAATTCAGTTTATACATAATTATAATACAATATTTAAATAATCACTATATAATTATTAATAATACGTTACGATTATTATTTTTACACGCGTTTAATGTTTGTCTTATTCTGTGGTTTGATGCTAAATTGTAGTTTATACAGGTAGTGCAAATTAAAGTTAGTTTAGTGGACGCTGGCCATAGTTTTGGAATCGTAAACGATTTTTTGTCACGTTACTGAATAATACATTTTATCTTCGTCAGAAAATATGAAATATATATTTACATTGAACTAACTCGAGTAAAATTATAATAATAATATTTTTATTCATTCGTATGTCCATTTCTAACAAGTTTTTATTGGTAATGGTAATTAATTACTTACATATTACTCAGATACGTAGGTAAGTAACTTACCTACTTCAGTACCTACACCTTGCGGTATAGAAGATACACGATTATCGTTAAACTTGAATCTAAAAGTAGGTAAACTCGTATTATTGAAAACATTGTTGTGTAAATTTATCTACCTATATAAATTTGACATTATAATCGTATAATGGCTGACGATGGAAATTAAAGTAGGTATTTAAAATGTGAAATCAAAATTGTCTATGAATAACCGGATGTTCTACTGTGGGTGACCCTGAATTAAGATAAGTAGGTAGATAAGTAATAATTTGTTTATTAATCGTTTTTGTATGGTAATTCGAAAAATATTGGCTGAAATCCTATCAATATGATATCGAAAAATTCTAAGAAGAATTAATGGACCGCGGATTATTGATTTTGATACTGAGACTGGAGGATACGTATCAATAACGAATTGAAGAAAAGAACTTGTTTAAAAGACCAGAAATTGTACCAAAAATTACGAAAATAAACTTATCCGGGCCAGTCATGCTTAGAGAAAAGAGCGCTTATTTAGAATTGGAAGACCGATCAACAAAAGACCTTTAGGTAGACTGGATTTATGATGGGAAAATCGTGTAAAACAGATGTTAAAGCAGTGGAACCTAGTGTACAATGGAGGCGACTGGGGAAAAATACCGATAAATCGCAAGAAGAGAAGATTTTGGAAGCGAGTGAACCATTTTTTCACTGAAATAATTATTTCCATCACAGCCTCTCTAAATATATTTTATTACATTATTATGAAACATACCAGACGACTGTAGACAAACCAGATGGCTAATAGTTTTATTTTTCTTTTATTTTTCAGGTAATCGCCATATTCACTTTGATTATGATCCTGACGAACGATATTAAAATACAGACCATTATCATCGATTTCTTGCCCAAATCTGTTGGTAAGTATATTTTTACATACCTATCAATTCAGTAGGTACGTAAACAGCCAAGTAGCCATCACATATGATTTTAAATAATATTAAATGTACCTATCCACTATTCTTATTTCCTATTGACATTATCTAATTTTTTTTTGAACTATTTACAAAAGAGTATATTTTTATTGGGTCCTACGAGTGTTAAAAAAATATTTTCGTCCATTTCTTAATCTAAAAGGTAAAAAGGTAATCCTCACTCCTTACGTAAATCGATCGTTGATCATTATTAATTTAATATTAATGTAAATGTTTTAATTTCTTACCGAATCAATTGAAAAATTACTTTTCAATTAGGTATACTTTACGTCAGGTGATTTTAATTAATTACGAATACCAATTCCTTGTAATATACCGAGCATCGAAATAAATATTTTTGTTCATTCAAGTATAGGTTACTGACTTAAACTTGCATTCAATTTTGGTTCGTCTGAACATTCTAATTAGCTATCTATGATATATATTTAATAATATTATTACAATTTTAAATAAAACACTATTATTTTTTATAAGTATTAAAACCCTGAGGCCAGTGGCGTATTTAGAGGGAAGGAGCGAAGGGGGCGAATGGCCCCAGCGGCAAAATTTTAACAGTTTTATTGAGTGTATTCATTTTTGTTTTCATCACAAAATGTATAACACTAAAGCGTATCATTGATTAATAGGTGGATTAATCATTGATTTTATTTTAATTTTTTAAGCAATAGATTAGGTTAATATAGGTAACAATTGTTGTAAGCACTGTTGTATAAAAGTGCCGCGAGTGATTTTATGTCGAGTACGGTCGCCTTTTGTCTACACTGTGTTGACTTTATATTTTTAATTCTTTTCTTTTCAAATTTTTATCGTAGGCATATTCAATCAACCACAATATCCCTCCCATTTTACTCGAACCCGTTTTGTTCATTTCTAAAATGTTGTATTTTTTTCAATTTTTTTCCAATTTTAACAGTTTCAAGTTAGTCATTTACTAGTTGGTATTGATTTTAAAATCAACGGTACAACTTATATTAAAATTACCTACTTGGTATTGTACTTACTAACTAGTACTAGTTCGTGATTTTATATCATAAGTACGATTGTGTGAAGTGCTTAATACAACACACTTTTTGCATGAAGTGCATATATGTCCCGAAAAAAACTTACATTTTACGTTAACGTAACATTAGACAATATTTACCTTCACTAAGTTCATATTGAATTTAAACTAGTATTACAATTGCATATTAAATCACATTTAATTTTGATTTTAAATTAAGTTATTAAAAAAATGAAAACACGAAAACGACGTTACCAGCTATCACCAGCCCGTCTAAAAGTTGAATTTGTTCAACTCTGCGGTATCCGCGGTAACGTCTTGGTGGACACGATCAAAATGCGTCTACCGTGATAATACGCACCAATTAGAAATGAGTATTTCACACGAAACGAAACGGCACGGTGAGTTGAGGATTCCTCTTTACTGAAAGGTCCTTTAGTCCGTGGTTGACAGTGGTCGCTACAGGCCTACCGTTAAGTCCGTCGTCGCGTTATGTTCGTTATCGTTCTGCGTTAATTGTAATAGTAATACTACGACCTGATTGTGACTGATCCGTTTAAAATTTGTTCAGTAATTATCGATTTACTGTTCATTTATTCTTAAACAATGATGAAAACTTTCGGGGTCTTCAATAAAGATTATTGTCATAATGGCATTGAAAATTCTTAATTCGTGTTTTCTTTGTGTCTATTCTCTTGGCCGTTGTCTTTTAAGTGTTTATGTTTAAAAACAATTGGTTCGCCAACAACTTGGGCAACTGAAAAAATTACAAATTGTATGTATCTGCCATGTTTATTACAACTTGTAGTGTTCTGTCGACATTGTTCGCAGGGGCCAGAGTCCGCGCCCCCGGTGTTCGGTATTTTTCCACTACGGGCGAGCGCGGTCTCGTGCGGCTAATTCGACTTTTCGCAAAATTGCATAGAGGTCACGAAAATGCGTTATGACGTGTGCACACACCGCGATGATCCAAACGCACAGTGAACAATAATCAATAGACACAAGAGAACTAGTCGAGCGGATATTATTCATTTGCAGCAATGTTTTAAATACCGCGGTGATACGAAATATTATGAAAAATTATTTTTGACTTTGACGGATCAGGTGTATTCACGATATTGATAAATTGGTGCATTTCTAATATTTATTGACATTTTACACGAATTCAATTATTTTTTCACATAATTTGTATTCATATCAAATATGAGTTGACAGCAGTGGCATAATTAGAGGGAAGCGAATTCTCCCTGTGTCGACATTTTAAGTTTTAGGGGCGGCAGTTTTATTGGTGGTATTGATTTACACACGTCTGAGGTTGTAATGGGTAGTGGGTCAAAATAAGTAGGATGGGAGGGAGCGCAATAATATTATTTTGGTCCAGGGTACATATATTTTAAATGCGCCACTGCCTGAGGCAGATACCACTGTCTGGTCTAGGGTGTCAGGTAATCTACTCAAGGTCAACAAGGTGCCTGTTATTGAAACAATTCAACCTTGAAAATAACGAGTCCATTAATTATGTTAAGCTTGTTATTACAATGACTAGATACCTAATGTAGTTAGGGTTAGCAAATTCAAACAAAATATTATTTTATACTAACAATACATAATCAATTAAACAAAATTTATAATTTTTCTTTTCAGTTACAGTCATTGTTATCATCAATCTGCTTATGACAATATTGATTTCATCCCTGTTATTAGCTGGAGTTTTAACGGTACTTATCTAAACAAGAGATAATAAATGTACAGAATATAATCTTTTATTATATGGTTATTTTGTTTTAGAGAAAAAAAACATTGATGCTTCCTTGGATTGTGTTAACAATTATGTTGTGTATCGGACTAGTCATATCAGTGATATACACCGCCATTGACTTTTTGATTCATAAATACTACATCACTAGCATTGCAGTGCTTGTAATTGGCTTATTGTTTGTCTGTAAGTTTTAAATAAATATAATCCAAAACAGTATTTAATACAAATGTTTAGTTATACATTTCTAATTATTACTAATACCTATTTTACAGGTGTTTATGTGTTCATGTGGTGGGTGACTTATAGTTATTATGAAAAAATAAAAGAAGAGGACAACAGAACCCCGTACACGAGAACACCTTATTATGGCTGAAGGCCTGCCTAAACAGTTTTTTTTTTTTTGTAATAATAAATATTGTAAAATTATTAATGCCATGCTATTATTGCCAAAACGATGTTGCTGAATTTGACCAAATGATTAACCCTGAATTTTGTGCATGGTAAAAATTGTACAATTTATGTTTTAGTATAGACAGTTTAACAAATTTGTTTTCCATGTTGATTTGTAATGCACTATTTATATATTTTTAATTTATAATATTTATAATTTGTATATAATAAACAATATTTTAATAAAAATACCCACAAAGTTAAAATAATAATATAATATAAATGTTTCAATAAATGTTAAAAATGTGATAAATAAAATGTGAATATTTGGAATGAAAAGCATATTTAAGATGAATCAATCAAAACTAATTAACTCTGCAACCTGAGGTTGTTCTGGCTGGTCTGGTGCAGAGGGCTGTGGATTGACTTGTTGACTAGGTATAGGCACAGAACCATACTGCCCCATATGCACGGGCGCACCATAAGGCATAGGAGGCAACTGGCCCATCATTGGCTGTTGATGTTGACCGGGTATCATCGGTTGTTGATGTTGACTGGGTATCATTGGCGGTTGATGTTGACCGGGTATCATTGGCTGTCCTACTGGAAGTTGTTGTGAACCCATATTAGATATGGGTGGTGGTTGATGGTGTGGTATCATAGATTGTGAGTGAGGGAGGCCTACAACATGAGGTGGATGTATGGAATTCATTGATGAATTAATAGGAACCCCTGAATTTATAGTGCCTGCTATTGGTGCCATTTGAGATTGATAAATAGCCTGTGGAATGTTTGAATTGATTTGGGCCAAATTGTTCGGTTCATTAGTAGGTAAATTCACTGGTTGGTTCATTCCGCTTTGATTCGGGGGTAGAACTTGTCTTCCTACAAAACCTGCATACAAATTTGTACATTAAGTTTATTAATTATTATTATTTTGTTGAGTATTTAAAATACTATATACCTTGAGGTGGTTGAGAAATATGTTGAAAGTGACCTGATTCTGTTGCTTGAGGATACCTTATACCACTATCTTGAACTCGAGTAGTCATCAATGTACCTATAAAAAAATATACAATATATTAACTATTAAGTATGAAAAAAAAACTACTTATGTTTAATAAAATTAAACTATATACTACATCCATCAGGAGAATATGATTGTTTTGTGCATAGTTTACCCATTAAGAGAAAACTGATCTTATGGTTGAAATAAACCCTGGTTTGGTTAATACACAATTACAATCATCCAGTAAACAGAGAATATAAAAGTCCATGGTTCATATTGTAAATGGTAAATTATAAACCAATTTAAATATCTATGGCAATATATATTTTTAAAACTACAAATCAAAAAATTAGTAAAATAATTATAAGTTGAACACATGTATAGATTTTTTTTTTTTTTTTAATATTAATAGTAATAATATAGTAGTAATAAGTTTATATAATTTTTAGGGTAATTCAAAAAAGTGTCAATAGTTTTACTCACTAGGACTGGATGACATATAAGAATTAGGTGCAGTAGGCACACTTGGCAAAGAAGTTGGACCATACATGCTATTATTAAGATAACTTTGCCTTTGATGTTCCATTCTCATAGCCATTTCTTGTTCTTGCTGTTGCACTTGCTGAAGTGTCATTTGATGTTGATACTATAAGAAGAACAAAAAAAATGAAAAAAATAAAGCAACCAAAATTAATATTAACAAATTTTTCGAAAAAAAAAAAAAAAAATTACTTGTTGGTATTGTTGTTTTCTTTGTCTCAGTACATCTAATTTCATTGCCAACTGAATTTGTCTCTGTTGTTCTGCAAACGCAGCTTCTTGCTGAAGTGCAGCTTTATGATCCTCTCGCATTGCATCCAACGCAGCACGGGTATCCTTAATTTGGACTAATTTGTCTTGTAATCTTTCAAAATACACTGAAAAAGGATTTAGTGATTTTTGTTTGAACTACATATTTATTTAATATGTTATATTTCTTAACATCCTGAAGTTGGCAATAATCAATTTATAAGTGGTGAAGTCAATTCTTTTAATAACTTACACAATTAACATTAACATTAACATAACATATACAGTTTAATATATCTGAACTAAGATAACTAAGAATTTTTTTTTGGTGGTCAAGTAGTGTGAGAACAAATCCCTCACTGCTGTCAGTTAAACTAGAGAAAAAAAGAATTTTATTTATGATCAAACATGACCAACTTATAAATAAAATCCCTGTAATTCGTAACTTAGATAAAATACTATATTTTATAAATACTTACACCTTTCTTCATCTTGTTGTTGAATGTATTGCAATAGTTTTTGATGCATGGGAGTAATTTTTGAGTAAAAAGTTTCTAATGAACCACCATTAATAACTGTTCTACCTCTGCTTAAATTTGATTTGATACGGTTAACAAATATTTCTAACTGTGATCTTACAGAAGTTATAAACAAGTCCATTTGTTCAGAGTCATCAGATAGCTCATTCTTCAAAATTGGATTTACTACAGTATTTGTTGGCTGAATAGCACTCGCCTAAAATATTTTAGAATTAAAATTAATAAATAGGAATTAAAAATAAAAATATTAGAAACACAACTTATACATACATTTGTTGGAACATAATTATCAAATTTCTCATATTCTACAACTGGTTTAGTTTGCTGCTCGGTCCTTCTTTCCCAGTACGGTCTATTTAAATAAAGAGCCATTTCAGAGTCTTCATCAACTTCATCATTTTCTTCTTTAACCTAACAAATCAAAATGATTAATTAAAATTAATGTTATAAAGTTAAACAAAATATATTTTACTGCAGGAGGTGAAGAATACAATCGAGTGACTGGAGTTGAATTCATATAGGGTACCTAAAAGAAAAAATAACAGTAATCATATTTTGATTTTAGAAATGTGAAAATACATTTTTTTTAAATTTTTAATTACTTTTTGTTGTTCTGCTTCAGATTGAGATAAAGCTAAGGCCAATTGTAATTCTTCATCTTCTCTTAGTTCTTCTTCAGTCTTTCGGTTCGCTGCCGGTACCTTTTAACAAAGATTTGAGGTTTTTTTAAATTTAGAACTTATATAGCTTAAATAAATTGTTAATGAAATAATGGCATAGGTATAATTGTTTAAGATTATTGGATGTATCAATAGCAGTTAACTTTTAACAAAACAATTTACATGGAAATTTTGTATGATTTTTGTTAATTTGCAAAATAATTTGTCAAATAAAGAAATTTCAAGTTTTAAAAATTCATTTTAAACAATGATAAATATGAAAAAAAAAAACTTACTTGGTTTTGTTGAGCCAAAGAACTAGTAAGATATTCTATAGGCAAATCATCTGATCCTTTATTCATTTGATTAGGTCTAAATTATAAACCAAATATTAATATAATACAAATTAAGAAAAATATAATAAATTGTTTCAACAGAGTAATAGTAGTTAATTTTATATAAAATATATTTCATAAATTGAATTAAAATGAATTATATACTTTTGAGATTTTTCAAAGCAAGCTTCACAAACACGTACAGGTTTTTCAATACCAAATTTTGGTAATGTACAAGAGCGTGATGAACATTGTGCACAAAAAACTTGTCCACAAGCGCGACAATGATGCTAAAAAAAAACAATAATATACACTCATAACAATATTAATTTATTTATTTTTTAATTTTTATCAAAAGAATGGTACACTTATGATATAAAGAATGTTCAACAGTAAAGATAACAATATAAAATGATCACAATATTATGAATAATATTGGGCTGTAATGTCTTTAGTTTCTCTAAACAAAACTCAAGAATCAAGATTATTTAAATATTCAAAATACTTCATGTCAGTTTTATTATATGTTATATATATATATACATAAATATATATTATTACTTAAAAAACAGTCAGAAATGATAAGGAAATAACATTAATTTCTTGATGTTATGAATAAGTAATTAACTAGTTTAGAAAATAATTATGTATAATTTGTATAAAAGATAAACAATTTGTATTATGTATAGTCAACATCAGACAACAATAAAATTTAATTCTACTCTACCTATATGTTTGAATAGATTACTATTAATCATCAGAAATATTAATTTTAAAGTAGTACAAATGTTAAGTACAACAGACTCGGTAAACCAGGCGTGCGATAAATAGGTAGGTCCAGTAATCCGGCTATTTTTTAGTTGTAAAAACAATACAATTATTATCGTGAACAATAAAACTAACTGATTAAGTCCAAATGAACAGATTAGATATTATGTTTTTATTCAGTTAATGTTGACATGAAAAGCATATATATTGTGTTGTATCAGCATAAATCAGTATGTATGTATTATTTACATATTTTAATACAATAAATTAAAGTTTTACAATAAGTAAAAAATTATTTTTATGTGGACTTCCATTAATACGGCAGTTCTCTGGTCTGATATCTACTGGATTATCGAGAGTCTACTGTATACATTAGTTAATAATATTTTTCAAAATTCATGTAAACACCTAAACAGTTAAACCTTGCAAATTATGTTTATTATAATTTACAAATATGTGACTTCCAAAGGAATATTGTTTTTACCATTTTAATATATTTTACTGTAACATATATTATATTAGTATCAAATACATAAAAAACTTACTTTTCGTTGAACCATTCCAAATTTAACACGGCATCGATGACAACAATCAGAATCTTCCCAACCAGGAGCTACATCTGAACTAAACATTGCATCACTTTCTTTGAGCGCAGGAAATGTATAACCTTCGGCTTTCATAATGTTAACTGTGTCCTAACATATACAAATTAATAATTATTAAATAAACATATGTTTATTTGTTTTTTTTTTTCATGTTAAAACAATATTTTACCATTGATTATAAATCTATGTACAATCAAAGATATTATGGATTATGATTATGGAATTTTAAATAGCAATATTTAAATATACAAAGTGATCAACAATACCTAAGACTCTCGATATCTTAAAATATATTAACTCTTTGAAGGAGTTTGTTTTTTAGAACATTTAAAAAAATCCGTTCTAAAATGTTACATTACTGAAAAGTTTGTCACCCTTATTTTTGGTTTTAACAAAAGATTAGGTACCCACTTTAGATTTTCAAACAGTAGCTTATATTCAAAATTACACGAATAGATGAAGTTTTAGCTCAAATAAATTTTGGTGTTGAAATTTTTAATCTCTGTTAACCCGTTGACAAAGTATTCCACTTAAAATTTGACGACTTCAGGGTAGGGATAAAGCAATATTTAAATGACACGTAAATGATTACAAGTGGAATACTTTGTCGGCCATTGACAAAAATTAAACATTAAAATATCAAAATTGATTTAAAGTGAAATCTCATCTATATATGGAATTTTTAATATAGGTTGCATAAGTAGGTAGACCAAAAATAAGTGTGATAACAAATATAAGTAATATAACATTTTAGAGCTGTTTGTTTCTTAAATTATCTAAAAAAAACAATTCTAAAAACGGTTAATACTTTCTGGGATAATGAGTCTTATTTTTTGCTGATCACCTTGTACATCAAGTCAAATATGCAATGATTATAATTTTAAAATAATTCAATAAAAACACACATTAAAAAACATCCGAATTACCTGAACTGCACAATATTTGAGAATAGTCCGAAAAGCAAATGCCCAAGTTTGTAAGAGCTCGAGTAATTTGTTTTTTACGTTTTCGTGTGGAGTTGTCTTAATAATTTCTCTCATTTGTTCCATAAACGGTTTAGTACCAACTTCATCATGTACTAATTGGCCACAGTTTTTAACACAACATTCTAAAACCTAAACAGAATATTTGAACCTTTAAGAAAAAAGTATTCATATTTTGATTTTATATATAAGTACATACCAACAAACTGTACATAGCTGAATGAGGATTAGGGCTTGCAAGTTTTTTCTTAATAGCGTTGAGGGCAAATTTTGGTCTGAAAATTTTCATTAATATTTATTATCAACAAATTGATGATACAATATGAGAGAAATTAGAAAATCTGGCTGTGAAATAATTATTGAAATAAAAATAAATGGTACTTAAGTAATAAAAGTAGGTTCCTAATTTAGAAGCCGAAATTTGTAAAAACTTTTCTGTTTCATATAACCGTAATTTATCTGATAAATATATTATGATTATTAATAGGTATTTATATTATTTATTTATGGTAATACAGGAAACATTTTACTGAAAGTCACGTTGAAACCAATAAAATAATATGCGAAAATAAACCTACTAGGTAGAATTATGAATTAGGCATTATAATGGGCACCATCTCTGATTAAAGATAATACATAAATAAAACGTAAAATCTATTTAGACATTTAAGAGAAAATAATGAAACACATTTAGAATGATGTTTAAGAATGTATTGTGTCATTTAATCATTATTAATATTATTATAATTAACAGATAAAAATACTGTTATTAATGGTCTTACTGGACATCTTTCTGTCTTATTGTATCACATATTTCTAATGTCGACGGCCAATCTGGTTCTAAGAGCAAATGGCTGGTCACCTTATCTGTAAATTTAGATCCAACACATAAATTCTAATCAAGTGTAAAATAATTACAGTGTAAATTTTACCTAACAATTTTTCAAAATTGGATTTAAACATTTTGTCGACCGTAATGATTTGGCAATCGGTGGTATTATTAGCAAATCTGTCTGACTCACTGAACGGGTTAACTAGTAACTATCGTAGGTCGCGATGTTCGTAATATGGTGACAAAAATATTATTATAATTAGAAAATAAACAACAACACTTGAAATAACATATGAAACGCGAAAATTATAAATCTATGACATAAATAATGAAACAATAGTAATCTGAGTAATATGTGCAGCTGAAAGCTGAACTCTTAATTTTATCAATTCGTTATCAGAAGAATCAAAAACGCAGTTACACGAAAACTGATTCAGATTGACGTCAGTGAAAGTTTAAACTATTGAACTTCTTTTGTTACGTCATAATAACAATTAAACAGAACAAATTAATTATGTCTAATGATGTAAATCATCTCCAAACTTTAACAATAGTATTAAAAATATACATTTTGACATTGAACGTGTGTATTATTTTTTCCTTTTGAAAATGGTCACACTGTATTTTCAATCCGGAATAAATAAATAAATATAAATCAATGGGTTGACAATAATTTTTATTTCTTTTGTGTTGTTATTGTGTGAATAACTTTTTAAACCAGCAATCTCGCTCCGATCATTAACGTATGCAATGTTTCTGGTAGAAAGTTGTTTAGTTAGTCCATCGGAGAGGTCATTTTATGATTTCCTTTGTAGTTAATAAATGCGCTATAAATTTTAAAAAACCTGGAAACTGTTTGTATTATTTGTATTGAGTTCTGGGTTACTTTGTTAACAAGTAAAATATACGACTAATAATGACTGCATGATAACAATAATATAATACGCTGATCAGAATTGTTTTTCGTTAGCAATGGTTCAATAAAAAAATTAGTTCATATTTAACTATTTACGTGCAGCGATAAATAGATCGTCGTTGGCGATCAGGGCCAACAATATTTCAATATTTGTGGGCCGTGTGTCACGGTGTCCCCTACCCACCCTTTTTATCCCAGATTTGCCTAACCTGATTATGTATAGGTATCTATAGGTTTAATGAAATTATTTTTAAAATAGTTAATTTTATGTTTTGTCGGTGAATATACAGTACATGCTAAGTAAAGAGAAATGCAAATTGAAATGAATAACAGTTAAGTACGTTTTGTATAAGTAATTATTTTAGAACGAATTATATTATCAACAAGAAGACTTCATATAGGTACCTATCTAGAAGTTACACCTATAGGTACCTAATAATAATTACAAATTAGTTCTATTCGTGATATTTGTACAGGCATTCATACTTTCAGATACGTACCTACCATATTCTCATTATCAAAAACACATAATTATATGTCATACTAAAGTATAATTATTATGTAGTTATGTGTACTTAACTAATAATTATAAGGTACCTAACTTTATGTTCCTTTTTTATTGCTTTTTAATTACATCTAATCTATAAAATGCATTGTTGAAGTCGGCAAATCACTACATTTTATCGAAATTAAAAAATGCACATGAATATCTGTATGCATACCTACGTTCTTAGAGGCGTGGGTACAGATATTTTGGGAGGTTGACTTTCAATTATTTGTTATAGGCTCGTATAAAAAAAAAAAAAATGCTGAGTGAATATTGCGCGGCACATAGAAATATATTAACTACTAAAGACTATTAACGTTATTAAAGTATGCGTGTTATCATTATTTATAAATATTATTGTTTGTATTTTTTTTTTAAATTACTATACAAAGAAGTAAATTCAATGTTTGTCTACGTTGTGCTGGTTTGTTGACAATTTGTACTGGGTCGACAATGACGTCGCTATGCATATTTAAAACGACCCAATTAGGCCATCCTTCCGATAGGGCAACGGGACGTCGACGGGATTAAAAAGTGAAACATTGTACGACCGGACTTTGCGAGTTCCGCACGTTGTAGACGATGTTCCGGCAACTGTAGAGCGGCTCAGAGTACCTAGTCAGTCGCAAACACGCGCGTCTTCCGAACACGGCGATTGCATTGTACCATACCTATTGGTGTCGAAACCGTAAAGTTAAGAAAAGGAGACGCTGGGCGCATCAATTTTCGTTGTCGCTATAACGAGTTAATGCGAGATAATATCGAATTCCAATCGTGTATCGTGACACGCGGATATTTCTGAGCAATGTCAAATAGGTTTATAATTGAGTCGGGGACTCTTTGTTTTGTTCTCGCAATAGTCACCTGTTTAAACCTATTTAATGCATACGCACGCACATAAATATAAATTAAAATATACGCGGTCAACGAGACGATGCAATGGTGACTTCTATCAAGCGACTGACAGCACCGGTAGCTAAGCGATTAGCTGCTTTCTTGTCGTGTCGCATTGCGCGTGTGTGGGTAGTCCCCGATATGACAATTCGTGTTTTATTCGTATTTTATAGGATTGTTGTTGCACTTGCTGTGTACACCCGAAATTTGTACAATCTTTACAAGCGATTGTTTATTACATTTTTCTAATGTTTCAACTGCAACAGTTAAGTCATCACTGCTTTCTTCGAACTTATTGGTCCACATTTCGTACTCGCACGACAGATTTTCAAGTTTTTCATTTGCCAGTTATACAGGCTGTTTCCACGAAGATATACCCCTTTATTATCTCCGGAGATAATAAAGGTAATCAAATTATGATTTTTACGTTACTCGCAAGAATGAGGAGTACAAATATTTATTATCGAAAATAATAAAATAAAGTTATTTCTTTAATTTTTATAATAAAAAAAAATTACATATTTATAGTCCTCATCCCTATGATTAATGTAAAAAAGAAACATAATTTGATTATCTTTATTATTTCCAGAGATATTCAAGGGGTATATCTTCGTGGGACAGCCTGTATATGTGATGAATCATTTGTATTTTTGATACATTTTGACAGTAAGATCTGCAAAGGTTCCCGATATCCTCGTGATGTTCAGAAAATCTGGCTGTTAGTTCATTTGGCACATAAAAGGATAATAAACGTTTATAATATGTTTCGGCTCGTTGCAGAAATATTGCTTCGTCCTTTTTGCCTGTTTGTGACTCTAATAATAGTGCTGTAATAGTGACTCAATAACTAAAAATGCTTTAGAATCTGTCGCAATTTTTTTTTAAATTCTTCATCGTTTCGAATATCTTTAAGTGTTTTTTATACGACATTTACATATTTATCATCCCCCCCCCCCAAAAAAAAAACCATTGTAGTAGAGTAGTGGATTTTAGTTCATAAGATCTTTTAATTTACTACTTTTAACACTGTATTGGTATCTATATCCGCCCCTGCCTCACTTATAAATGGTAAGTATAGTAACTTTAAAATACTTATATTTTACATTTTAAGTAGGTACTTAGATATTTATTTACTGCACAAAACTTCATTTGAGTAACTCTTAATTATTAATGGTAAAAATCTTAGTTTGTAAGTAATCACATTTTAATAAAATGGAAAGCGTTTCAAAAAATATTATGTTTGTGTGACTATTAAATTGTTTGGAACTAAAATGATCCAATTATTATTGATAACAGACTGATAAGAAGAGTATGACGTAGGCACTAATTGTCTTCATACCTACGGATTTAATTTCGCCTGACAGAATATCATTAAAATATGTTTTGACACGGAGACTCGGGATAAAATATTTCGTGTTTTTTTATTATCAAAAATCGGGATATCGTTATCACCGTTATCACAATATTATGTTATGATAAATAATGGTCCGCCAATCAACTATTGATTAGGTTAGGTATTATCATTGATAAAATATACATTAATAATTTGTATTTAATCAATGTTATTATGGTCGGCGATCGAACCGTTTTATATTATTGTGTTAAGTACTGTGTTTCACAATACAACTTTATTATTATTATTATTATTTTTTTTTTTTTCAAACTGGGCGTATAACATTAGTATACAGTTTTTCGTCATAATCACGGGACCGATCACGAGTGCTTGAAATAATACATTTTACTACTGATCATAAAGACACACTGTTTTACCTGAAGGTTTTTTCGATAACAGGTTGATAAATTTTCCTGTTAAACGATACTGTTAATGTTACAGTATTCTACGATATTGTGTTTTGTATTTATTTTCGTGTCGAAAGTCAAAACATTGTGAATTTTCTATCAAACCGACATACCGTTCAATCGGTTCGGATGTATCGTCCGCTAGACGTCCTAAGACTGCTTGCCGCGAATTAGCTGATCAAATTGTGTACATAATATTAGCAACTTACTTCCTATTTTGCGTGTTCAATTATATTTTTCGTTCGTTTTCTTTTTCCTGTTTTGTTTTACTGTTGTTTTAAATTATTTATATTAAATTATTCTAATGTTACCAAAATCTATCGGTGACGTTTCGACATGGACGAAATATCATTGCTGAAGAAACGCACTTCAGCCGAAGCGCTACATAATATGACGCGCAACGAGGATTCCGGTCAACCAACATCGAAGATAAAAAGATCGTTCTCACTGAAGCGTGACTTTATACGGAACAAGCATGTGAAACCTGGTGATGTGGATGACGCTAGATTAAAGCTATCTATGCTGAAGAAACCTTCATCTTGGAACAAGGTGCTTGGAAAGATGTTGCAGAAAATGTCTTATCTTGGCATTCAACAGGACAAGGGCCATTTGTGTTCCAAGTACGATGCTTATGTTACACGCTCGTCAACCGACATCTATAACGACAATACTTATCAAGCCCCAAAGATTTTAAACGGCGATAAAGTCCCGGGTGTGGTTGGTCTACGCAACCAGGGTAATACATGTTTTATAAATGCTGTATTACAATGTTTAAGTCACACGGATGTTTTAGCAAGGTGATTATTTTTGAATGGAATTTATTATGTGTAAATAGGTATGGTTAAAATGTATAGTAAAAAAATAAATAGTTTTTTTAGTGTTTTACTAGAATATTAATGAAGCATTGAAATTTGTTAGCTGTGCATTGTTTGAATAAATAATATAATTTTTAAATTTAACATTTACTTACTCATTTTATTTTTTAAATTTTAAAATAAAAATCTGTTGTTTCTTCAAACAAACTGACATCAGTATTGTTCAACATTAATAATGTATAATAAAATGATAAAGTAAAAACAAAATTATTAAAATGGTTAATACTCGTAAATTAACGTACTAAATAAATATATTAATAAAGAATCTATGTATAATCTAAAATAAATAAATTAATGAATTCGTCGCCTGGAGTATTATGATACGTGTATTATACGACTTGTTTCGAATTTGATGTTGTTTTTAATTTGAAACTGGTCGTATAGTACACTTATCATAATACTCCAGGCGACTTCATTCATTTATTTATTTTATTTTATATGCAAATTTTTTTTATTTATATATTTATTTACTATATTAATAATTTGTTAGACATTTATTATATTGTAAATATGTATTATACTATTAGCCTGGTTTTATTTATTTATTTAATTTAATTTTTTATGATATTGTTAAATATGTTATCTCCTGAATCTTTGAATTTCACACTCACTCACACAATCTATGTACATTGTGTGCGGGTGTTTAGGCATCCATGCTTTGTTTCTATTCAAATGTAATTATCTTATTTATCTTGTTAATTCTATCCATTTATATGCTCAATATAATTAAATTATAAACTAAAAAATTGTAAGTCCGTTTTAGAAATGTTTTTTGGAACACTATTTTGTCCACATATGTACAAAATTTCAGATTTCTGTGTGATACAGATTTAGCTGTAGATACCAACCACACATTCACACAATTATTATATCAGAATAAATAAAAACTTAATTTGGTTGTCTAATTAGTAATTAATAATAAAATCTTTTACATTTATTGACATTCAGCATTATGTCACACATATATATTTATATAACTACCTATATAAAAAATAATAATAATTTTGTATTAGGTATTTTGTTATGGATCAATATAAAATGGACCTATCTCGGAGGAATAAGCTTAATTCTAAAAAGTATGGTACACGTGGCGAGATGACTGAACAGCTGGCACTATTATTGAAATCTATATGGTTATGCAAATATGACCCAGACATGTCAAATCAATTTAAAGCAATCGTAGATAAATACGGTACTCAATATAGAGGAAATAATCAGCACGACGCACAAGAATTTTTATTATGGCTTTTGGACAAGGTTCACGAAGATTTAAATACTGCTACAAAAAAAAAATATAAAACAATTAGAGTAAGATTAAGAGTAATTAATTATGTATTTTTATTTTAACAAAATACTTTATCTAATTTCTAATTTATGCTATTAGAATACATTTGGAAGACCAGATGAACAAGTAGCTGCCGAAACACTCGCTAATCATGTCCGTTGCAATGAGTCTTTTATACATGATGTTTTTCAAGCACAATTTAAATCTTCTCTTACTTGTCCACGCTGTATGCGACAATCTAATACATTTGATCCGTTTTTATGTATATCTATACCTGTACCACAATGTTATTCAATGCCTATTTTTGTTACTGTTATTTATACTTCCCAACAGCCGAGAGATGTAAGTTGAAATTTAATTTTTTAGACACATGCAAGTTTTTGTATCAGTATTTTATAAATACTTAACATTTTGTAATTTTCATATTTATTAAATGATTACAATTTTTTTACAGGTTAAACTTGGATTATCTCTTCCAGTTGATAGTAATATAGCTGAATTTCGAGAGTTATTATGGTCATATACTGGTATATGTCAAGAACATATGTTGATTACTGAAATAACTGATATTGGTTTTAATCGAACATTTTGTGGTAATTATTCTTTAAAGTAACCGAAAACATCTTCAATTATTGTCTAATATTTTTTTGTTTGTGTTTAGATTCTATGCCTGCCTCTATGATAACGGAATCAGACCCTTTATATTGTTTAGAACTTCCGAAATTAAACGATTGTAGCAATGAGAGTGGACCTTATCTATTATTATGTTGGGTTAACATTCTTATTGTTGAAGAACAGTGTTCAAGGTAATTGTTATGATTATTCTTATGTATGTGTATTTGGGTGGTTCTTATTTTTGAACTTAAATAATTTTATGTTGTGTGCTCGAAATTCTGTAAGGTACATTGTAAAAATACTTTTTAAAAATTTTGTGTATGATAAGTCAACCTCTTTATGTGCCTTAAAAAAGTTAAAGTTTAAAAAAGGGAATGTTTTTGGATTTTTTTACATTTAGTTTTTAAATTTTAAACATACAAAAAATTTATCTGACATTTTATTATAGTAAAAAAAGATTTCTTATGAAATGCTCTCTTTAACATTTCAGTAAAATAGATTTGAAATAAAAAATTTAAGATTATAGTAAAATTTTAAATCTACTAACTTTTAAATTGATTTTTCACACATAACTGTAAGTTTCACTGAAATGTTAAAGCAAGCTATTATGTAGGAAATCTTTTTTACTATAATAAAGTTCTTGATACATTTTTTGTGTGTTTAAAATTCAAAAAAATTAGCGTAAAGATATCTTTTTTATGAACTTAAACTTCTTTGAATCACATAAAGAGGTTGACTTATCATGCACAAAATTTCCAAAAATTATTTTTGTAATGTATCTAACTGAATTCTGAGCTCGTGAATTCAAATATTTGACATTTATTTTTAACACCCATAGGTTATAGGTTAAGGGCCACCCTAATGTGTATCTCTAAATATGTTTATTTGTATACATTATAGATTTGGAAGTGCTTTTACCATGCAAATATGCCGTGAAACATCATATAAAGATCTTCAAAAACTTTTACTCAAAGAAATGGCAGTGATGTTACATGATGACATATTAACAACTGAACAAGATATGCCATTATTTGGAATACGACTAGCTGACGCAAGTGATTTACCTCAATATTTAGATCCAACTGTTGAATTACCTCTTTTTACCGATCCAATTGATCAAGCATTAGCTATGTCAGGAGATCAACCACATGTTAAATTAATTCTAGAATGGAGTATCCATGCAAAGGAAGCGTACGTATAAAATATTTTTATATAAAGTTTAATTTCTTTAAATAATTCAATTAAATCATGTTTTCATTAGTAATTTAGTGGTTTTTTGTTTTTTTTTAAATGTATATTTTATGATACTTAGGCCCAACACACCTAAAAAACAAAAACGCATTAAATGGTGTTAGTCAGCCTAACATTCTTGATAACATAAAGACGAATCTAAATAATTTCTGTTGCAAACACCATTCATTTTATGACTGATACTGTCTGAAGTATACATTTTTCTTAAGTAATGATTAGACAATAAATATTATTATCAACTTGTTTTTATCTTGTCTTGTCTAACTGGTGTACGTATAAATTGTTTAATGTGGTAAAACAGAAACCGAAATCAAAAGACAGTTTTCTTTTTTAGGCGTGTGTTGGGCCTTACAGTTATGTGCAACAAGAAGTTTGGATGACAAACTAAATATATTTAAAATAATGTTCACATTGGAGTTACTTGCTTATTGATTATAATTACTAATTTTAGAACAATTGCTGATCATTGTGATCAAATTGAAGAACACGCAAGTGTAAAGCAGTTGAAATTAAATTCAGAAAAAGGAACATCTATTACACTTGAACAATGTTTTGATGTAAGTTATAAATTCTTTCTCTTAGGTATTTAATTATCATTGACTTTCTAAATTTTATTGCGTGTTTTATATACTGATTGTATTTAATGTCATTGTAGAATTATCATTTAATAGTCGTGAATGACAATGCAAATTTTAACAAAGTAAATAAATACATATTTAGTTGACCCTTCTAAATAAATGTATGTAAAATATTATTACCTTTTTTTTTTTTTTTTTTGAAAGTTTTATAACAATATTATTATTCACATGTTTGCATGTATAAAGTTATCTAATTTTGTATATCTTATATAATAAATAATGCAATGAAAAGTAAAATGTCTAAATTAATCAAGCATCATATATATTGGTCATCAATCAAAAATCAATGTGGAACAAATATATATAATTCTCTATCAAATGCATTGATGACTGTTAATTTAAATAATAATTTACTACAACATAGAATACACCATGTTTATTAACACAATAGTACAAGTAAACTGTATGACAAAATCAAATTAAATTTCAGATTCTGAATGTAGTGAGAAAGTTTTACTTGGGTGCTTTTTTTTTTTCAGAAAACACTTTTGGTTAGTAAAAATACTTACATTTTCATGACATACTTTAAAAGATGTAGTTTTTTCACCCTATGGTGCTTTATTTAAAAAGTTTTTGAAATTCCTTATACTCTTTCCAAAAAATAGCTTTTTATAGTTCTTTTCTTCTTTTTAAAACATTTAGGTTAGGCAAAAGTTAAAATTTTTCATTCAGTATCTTAAATGATGCCAACATTTCTACTTAGTGGTACTTTAATTGAAACATCTATTGAAGTTATCAGTAATTTGTTAGATTTTTTTGATTGTAGCAAGGAATGTATTGGTTTTACTACGGTGTGTGTTTTTTTTAATTTCTTGTAGAAGTTGTACACAACCATAACAAATTTAAAACATACACACATAGTAAAACCAATACATTCCACCCTACGCTCAGAATAAAAATTGAGCTTATTATAGTTTTTTTTTATTTATATAAGTGTTTTAAGTTCAGATGTTGAAGAAAATCTTAAAAATTACAGTTTCAAAACATTTCATTTTACTTCCCTCGGAATCACGGTATTTCATCAGCAATGGTTTATCATTGCATACTGATATAAATTAAATAATCATATATACTATTTTGCCAACTTCCTGTCTACAACAGGCACACCCATCATCAGTATTGGTTTTTTTTTTATATATATCTTTGTGTTTTAGATTTGAAATTTTCACTACAAACTAATAACATCCTTTTATGAATCTAGTAAAATTTTCAAACAATTCTGGCAACTTTTGAGCTATTTATAAACATTTTATACATTTTTAAATCACTGCATTTTGTATGAAATTGAAACATTTGATTAATCAAAAAACTATTTTAATTAAAAAAACATTAAAAGCAGCTTTTTGGCAAAAGTTTCACAAATTTTGAAAATTCACTTATTTTAATGTATGATATGAACAAATCAGAGTATTTTATTAGTCGAACAAGTGTTTTCTCAAAAAAAAAAAAAACAGTATAAATTTACTTCAGTTGTATTTAACATTTAATGTGTAATAATTTAGTTGTATACGAAAGAAGAAGTATTAGGACCAGAAAATGCTTGGCATTGTCCACAGTGCAATCTTAAACAAGAAGTTGTGAAAAAACTTGGCTTGTGGACTTTACCTGATATTTTAGTTGTTCATCTTAAGCGGTTTAGACAATCCCTATCATTACCATCATCAAGGCAGCACAATAATAGGTAAATAAAATTGTAAAATTAAACATTTATTATTTTTATGACTGAAATACTTATATTACATATAATGTTTTTATTCACAGGCAACCAACAAAACTTTCAGTTCTTGTAGATTTCCCCTTATTTAGTTTTGATATGACTCCACATTTAGCTATAGGTCGAGATGTAAGGGTACCGTTGAAGCCACCTCCGAATTCTCGTTTATTATCTTCTTTACAGGACCATAATCTTTATGATCTATATGCTGTATGCAATCATCATGGATCAGATCCTCATAGTGGACATTATACTGGTAAATATTAATTTAACATGTTTTTTATATAAAGTATATAATATTATTCAATTATTAAAATTATTTTATTATTATTATTAGCATTTTGTAAAAACCCATACGACAAACAATGGTATAGTTTTGATGATACTAAAGTTACCTCAATACCTGATACTTCTTTAGTCACGACATCAGCATACATGTTATTTTATCAACGGCGAGATATTATTCTAAACAGTACTGATCATTGGGCCACACGGTTGCACGCACACATATCAAATAGCCATTCAGTTGGACAAATAGTTGATAATATAGGTAATTTTTAATTATTTAATTTAAAAGATTAACTTGCTTGTTATTTATAATACATTTGGTATATTGAATTTGTATTGTTCATTGTTAAATATTTAAGAGCACAACGATGATGATATTGCTGAGTTAAGTGACTCACCATCCAGTCATACAATTTCTAGGTCATCAACAGTTGAAAATGATGTATTGTTTTCTAGATCGGTAAATATTTTTATTATTTTTAGAATTTTATCTAAAAATTAATGTGCCTATAAGATATTAGAAATTATTTATTTTGTTTAGAGTTCACCTATGGTAAATGGCAGAAGATCTTCAGATAATTGTGTTATTGACACTGAAAAAAATTACAAAAAACTGTTACACAATGCTAAAGAGTCTTGTATTTAAATTATAGTGATTGTTTTACGGTTGTTATTTTTAAAGATTTCAAACCGCTTACCATTGAAGAATTATTAATTGTTTTTATAATGTTTAAGTTAGGTACATATAAATAATAATTACAATAATTTTTTGGCAAAAGGTAATTTATTTGCTCATAAAAAGGAACATTCCTTCTACATTTTTACAGTATCCATACTCTAAGAAGTAATAATGTTATTATAATCTTTGAAGAAAAAGAAATATGTACTTACTTCAATTTTCAGATTTATATAATTTTTATTCTGAAGAAATTTTTAAAAAAAATCATTTAAATGATTTTGAACATGTTTTTAACGTATGCTCAACAATTTATGTCCCAAAAAAAAATGTTGATAATAAAATGTTTTATTAAATAAAAAGTGGTTTTATTTTTACTGTCGTCTTACATTATATTATTTTGTAAAATAAAATAATGTCTTACATTATATTATTTTGTAAAATAAAATAATTTGTTTGTCTTTCATAAGTACATAACATAATTGTTGTAAACATTTTAGTTTATAATGCCAAGACCAACTCAATATTTGGTAACAAATTCAAATTATATTTGAACAAGTTAGAAAGGAACTGGCAGATCAATAATGTGAATCATTGTCCTTGTTTTATGGACAATACACGTACTAGCAATAGTGTAAGTCCTATTTATATTAAAAAATATTACATTTAGAAAGGAGAACATTATATAAATACTTATGTACAGTAAAGGCTGAAGTAAGTTGTAAGCATTTAAATAAACTATATCTACTTATTTAATATTAAAATTTATGTAATAATTTATTACTTGCTATAAAATAAAATACCTTAATAATTAAATTATTTTTTTCTACAAAATTAAGGAAGTCAAAACTAACTAGGATTTAAAACTAATTATTTAAATTTAAATTCAAATTATTTACTATTGGAAGAACAAAAACTAAAATGCTGGTGCATTATAATGGATTATGAATATAATAGTTGACTTAAAAGTATTAGATAAAAAAGCAAAATTGATTCTTATTACAGTTATCTACATTATTATGTTAGTATGTGTTGAAAAATATTGATATACAGTAAAAAAAAAAAAAACAAATTAATATTGTAATATTTGCAAGGTGATTTATTTAACATAAAACTTATTATTTCGCAAAATATTGATTCTTTCAGAAAAAATTATTTTGTCAATTTAGGAAACAAGCAGATATAAAATGTTATATTATCATTATTTTTTGTTACCCTTATTTTTAGTGGTGAAACGGCTACTTTCATTTTAAGAAAAATCAAAATTTTCTATACTAAACTTAATTTAAACTAATACTCCATTTGTTAATGTAATTTATAATATTAATACTCTGAACAAATTTTCCCCCAAAAATTGTTATTCAATATATAAGAAATCAAAATTCAACAATTTCAAATAGCTATAAAGCATATATAACTGATAACGACTGTCAACATTGTACCCTTATCTGGCCAGAGATAATATATGTATTAAGTGAAAATCAGATTTCGTATTTTAAACTGAACAACAAAATCTTCGCCTAAATTGACAATTTTTTTTCCAACCTTTTCTTAGTTTTTTTCAATTAAGTACATATTGAGGAAAATAAAAAAATGACTTCAATGCAGAAATTAGATAAAATATGCCACTAGAAACCACCCCTAAGGTTGACAATCAAAACAAGATTTCTTATTGAAAAATTGTTTAAAGACAACACATTACTCGCTACATTTAGAATGTAAAAAATGTTAAAAGATCATAAGTTAAATAACTAAGTAATTAAATATATTATAACATCTATACTGTTTATTTATAATATTTATATACAGATTTAATAACTTATAGGAATGACAGAAAAGTATCAGTTCACATTGAAATAAGCGATTTTGTTAAAATTTTAATTATAAAATAATGTCAATGCCTGTACATAATATTTAATTTAATTTAATCTTAGATAGCTAGGTACTTTAATGTAATAGGTGCGAGGTATCTTACTTATGTACTATTTATTTACAAATTAGATATTGCGATAAAATTTAATTTTAAATACTTCTTATAAATTGTACTTAATTCGAAGCAATTGTATTTGTAGTAAATTCAACAAAGTTTCCATACATACGAATGATCATTGTAACTATCATTACGTATTACTCGTTTGTTCTTAAATTCTGAAACATAAAAAATTTTATTTAGGTATATAAATGACATTAAAAATAGCACAGTATTATATAGCATGAACATATAAATTGTGATTGGAGGTGTTGCATCTATATTTGTTTATTTTTTTTTTTTAAACTAATTTATTTAAACCTAAAATCCAGACAATATTATTAGTAGGTATACATAATGTTGAGTTTAAATTGTGAATAGGTTATGAAAGCGTTTTTAAATTCTTTAGTTCCTTAATCTTTACCATGATACAATGTTGCAAATAGAAACAAGGAACAATTGCAAGACATGAACGCACGAACATGAAAAATACTACTGTCTATATTATTAAACTCTGTAAATATATCAGGTGCACTATACGTCCAATTTACTCAATTGTGTTAGTTTTAATCAGATTTATTAATTTGAAAGGAATATTTAAGCTATAAATCACAATAAAACCGAGTTTATTGGTAAAATATGTTTCTGAAAAGAATTTAATTAATGTTTAGAAGGGAACTTCAAAACGAGCAGATAACCTACATATTTGGTTTTAATAAATTGTGGAAAAAAAAAAAAATACCCGCTGATTAAACTTTCGGCATTTTAACAGTGTACTCGAAATAAATGTGAAGAAGATGTAATTCCAACGGTCCATATATATGTTATTTGTTTGAGCTCTGATAAGTTATGTATACCTACATATTTTTCTAGTGTTGGTGTAGGTACACAATTTGAGATACCTAATGAACTTGTTTCGATTGCAATAAATAGATGTTATAGCAATCATGTTATATGTGTATACCTACTGCAAAGAAATTGTGCTCGGTAAATTGTGTTGATTTACTACGTGGTGAGTTTTTAAAAATGGATTTAATAAAAGTATCTATTAATTTATTTTGGGACTAATTATATGAAAGATGCTTACAGGCAAATTGGCAACACAGCTGGAGTGAATTTTAATGTGAGTCTTCGGAGGCTACTTACAACCTACGTTTCAATCTAATACTTGGAATGTTCATAACATAACCTTTAATGGTAGCCACAGTATAAACATTTCTGCTGAAGAATTGACCAATTATTAATTTGTTCATTTAGTCGGTCAAAAACGTCTTTCGACGAATATTGATCAATATGGAAGTTAATTCAAAAACTAAAAATGAAATAGCTGCAGATTCGGCAAAATTGACATTAAATAATGTACCTAGATGATCTATTCAACAAAGTATAAGAATTACCGTAATAACTATGAAAAAAATAAGAAAACTATGTTCGAGAATCCGAAATAATGAAAGAAATGTAAAAAGTATTCCTAAAATCAATCGCACCATGATATCAGAAAGTGTAGTAATAACAATAACTAGGTAATATAATCACATACATATACCATCACGTACATTATTTACATTTTATTTACAATTACCTATTATTATTAGCTATCATATATTATATACTGAATCACTAAATTTTTACTGTAGAATTAATTGTATTAATTATTGTATTTTATTCATTTTATTTTATCTCTAGTATAATACTACTGGGTATTTATTTACCTAGTGTGGGGATTTTTGTCCAACTACCAGTTTTAATAACAGTTGGTAAGTACTTATACCAGAATTAATTTTTATAATGTAGTAAGTAGTAATAAAAACTTGATATTATGAGACTTAGTTGTGACTTAATTGAGACATTAGTTTTTAAAATTAATTTTTATAATAATAACACCTACCAAAAGTCCAAAACGTTTGGCAAATCTCTTTAAACGATTTACACATGGCTTTCTTTCCGGCTGAGTTTCTGAATTATTTCTTTGAGGTTCTTTTGGTTCTAAAAAGATACATATATTTAAAAACAATACATTTTTTACATAAGTGTATGATTTCTATTTTTAAAATATTTTTAGTTACTAGTACTTATCCTATAATTACATACAATTACACAATATGGTTTTGAATTCATTTTGATACTGAACTGAATGTTAGGTATATTCTTAGAGTAAGAATAATTTTAAAATAAATAGGTAGTTATTGTTATTTGTCAATATTCAAAACAGATATTCCTAACCATATTATATTAAATAGAAAATTATAGGTAGGTACAAACAAAATAAATACTTACAAAGTTATAAGAAATCTGATAATAAGCAACTATTATATCTTATTATCTTAATTATCAATGTTTTATTGAAATAAGTTTAAAAAAAAAAAAAATTTCAATTTTTACCTATTTGAAATGAGCAGGCTCATAGTAGGCACCCAGTAAAATTTTTTTACAGTTGGTACCTATAGGCATGGTTATTCAATAACCGACAGTCAAGTATTGTTATAATTTATAATTCTTAAGTAATGCAATATACATCAAATATCAATATTATTTGAGCACCTTTACTGAAGTATTTGTAAATTTGTAGTTTTGATAATAATTAGATGATAATTTTAACACTCCAACATACGGTTTAAAATTATTTGGCCCGGCGTTAAATGAGTCCATCGATTTAATAATTCAAAAACAACACCGTTTGTCCAACCAAATCCTTCCTGTGGAGCATATTCTCCATTGCTGCCAGTTTCCCCAGCTGCCAAAACGTTGTACTAAAACAAATTACAGAGTTGGAATATTTAATAAATTTTATAAATTTTAAAATGTTGGCAGGTATACATAGGTATACCAGTAGTACAGTACATAGTACATAGATCATGCCATAATATTTTAGTTATACTTTTTCAAACATGGTTTCTTTTTCGGAAAAACCCTTGTAATTTGAGCTTAACCAAACTTCAGCCATTTTTTTAGCCACCTGTTGAGCAGGACCATAATATGTGTTATCCAGACCTTGAATGATAAATGCTTGGAGTGGCGACCAAGCATTTGGAAAATCCCATTGCTGGGATGTTTCGTACATGGAGGTCGGGATTCCTAAAGGAATGAATTATCAAAAAACATAATTTACACGATTAAAATTCACATACAACTGTAACATTATTTTTCAATTGTAGAAATTAGAGCTCAATATATGCATTGCATTTTTAATAAACGTACGATACTTTAGTTATAACTTGGGCTCGGAAATTATAGCAGTTAAAAAAATTGTAAAATTTGCATCAACACATTTTAAATATTTATGCAAACGAATGTAAAAAATTATTCAAAGTTTATTATTTAAAAACATATAATGCGAATCGCACCGTTGTCGTTAAACTAATAATAGAATGAAATGATAAGAAATAACAATAAATAACTACGTTAAATAATATTGAGTTTTATATTCAATTTAAAATAAAATGGTTAAGAAAAAAAAAAAAAAAATCAATTTCTTTAGCAAATATTGAATACCCATGGATAATATGCGAAACTCAATCAAAATATGCACTTTTTTTTCTAAAATTAACGAAATATGCAAAATATGCATTTTAAATGGTCAAATTTTAAACTCTCTAGTCTCCACTGTACCTATAATAAATAATTTCTAGCTTGGTCTGCTATAAATTCAATGCATTCGGAAATTTATGCAACTTCTATAACTTCCATAGTTATAACAATTTATTCAAAAGTATTTATTACAATAATAACTAATTGTATATTTAGTCATTTAATATTATTGTTTTATTCTATGCACGTTATTTGTTATCTAAAATTGTATATTTCTTTATAATATTTATTACTAAATTACTAGTTTACTTATTTCTGTTTTAAAATATTTTAATGAAACTCTCTACCCCCACCACAAGCGTCGCTTATAGGAGGTAGATATTGATTGTAGCTAATGATGAGTACTATTCGTATTTTATATCTTATGTTTTTAATAAAAAATACAAGCTCATACCGTTATAAATAAGACTATTATCGGCGTTAATAATACGTTCATCTCTGAGATATTTTAATACCGACATTGCCACTTCGCTGTTTTGCGAGGTATAAGTGCCCGCCCACAGCGGCACAATGTTGGACACATAGAAGTATTCCCTATGTTTTTTGTTAATTAAATCCCAGTCGAACCAGGCGCCTTTATCCGGCCTCAGCAAGACCTATAAATTACAATGGTTGATTTTTAATCGTGATACCATAGTTATTTATAATATAGGTGCATAAACTATAACTATGTGTTACTTCTTCTATGTTTCTCAATAATTGTATATACAATACTAAGTATTTGCTGGCTTTGCTATTGGAACCCATCATTGTGAACCATTGGCTTAATATCAGCGCATTTCGACATAGAATACTGTTCAAATCGACCGGTATGATATCTCGTGTTCGGATATCCGACAAATTGCCTGTAGATATTTGTTTAACTTTTTATATTTAGTATATTGAATTTAAATGAACACTTATTTGAAAATACCCACCGCGATTAGTCCCGTCCGCGGGTATAAACCATCTACTAGAGAAGTCCCATCCGGTTTCGGCTCCGGACTTTATTCTTGCATAGAAATCTTCTCGTTTCTCTTCCGTGTCGTATTGTTCAGCTATCTCGTAATCCTCTCTATACCGCGTTCAAACAAATATCGTATCGTTTATGTATAAATACATAATTTTTATGCTGTTATTATTTTTTTTTATAAACCTGTAGGATTCTGGTCTCGGTCCTCTCGACGGCGCGTTGTATCTGGCCATCGTGTACGTTTTCCCGTTCTTCTGGAAAGTAACCATCCGATGGTTCATCCAAAATTCGAATTCTTTCTCCAAATCCTAAAACCATAATAATATCGATCATGTAAAATCCTATAGCATACCTACTATTATATATTTCGTTTGTTAATGTTTGACTTACGGAAATAATATTTTGTATGTATTGAAAATCTTTGGTAGCGTTGTAGTAACTCAACGCCATCAAAATAAGCATGGGCGGTTGTGATCTATTCGTGTAGTATACTCGTTCTCCGTTAGGCATGAAACCGAATTGTCTTACTAGCGATATGATATTATCGATAACGCCTCGAGCGGTGGCGATCATATCGCACAGCAACAGCCCGTTGACAATCCAATACGTGTCCCAGTAATAGAGTTCCCTAAATCGCCCACCTGGTATAACGAACCCGTTTGGGACCCATATTAACGAGTAATTGCCCGGATTCGTTCTTACGTCGTCTTTCACTTTTCTCGCCAGTGTTTTCCATACGCGGTTCAATTTGTACGCCCATATTTTGTAATTTTGGTCGTTGATTCGATTCATAATCGACGGAGTTCGCCTAAAATCTGGCGGAACCCATTTCTCTAGCTCGTCACCGTCTTCTAGATTTTCGTCGATGAAATTTAGCAGCTCAATATGCGGAGGGACTTTACCGTTGTATTTATCCTTCAGTGTCTTATATTTGGCCAAAATTTGCGATTCCGTGTATATCAGTTTTTTATCTACAAATGTTTTCGAATCTCGATATATTCCAGCCATCTGAACATCGTGCAAAAATTCGCCTTGGCAGTAAATTTGGCTGTAAAATATATTTCAAACAATAACACGTTTAGACATATACTACGTATATTATACTGTTATGTTATATTATAATATGATGGGCCGGATTAGGACTAAGACTGCTGAGAGGGCTGTAGTTTGTATATAAAATAGAATAAAAGAGATCCTAGCCAAAATCGTTTCAAGATTGTTATCAGGTTTGGCAAAAAATCCTCGCAACCCACCAAAAAATTATTTTTAAAAACTCATCTGATTAGTTATTGGAAGAGACAATATTAAATGTAAAAATTCACAATTATACCATGACATTCTATTGTCATGTTTAAATGAATGCTCGCTCTTTTATGCATAACTAACAATTAGTACGTTTATGTGACGGCGTTAAAACTTTAAAACTGTATGAAATTAAAACTTATTCATATCATGCAAACATTTTAAACTGGTAACCTCGACCTGAAGTTATTCAGGTTGATTATTTACCAACATTTTGTAAATTTTTACGTTTTACGACAATAACATTGTCATTATTGATTTTCTTCTTATCAATTAAAATAGGCCCTAAAGTAGGGCCTATTTCGTTACACACTTTTTAACAAATAAACCTGAAGTGACCATAATTTATTGATTGTATAGGTTTATTAATATGCCTATCGCTGTTTAAACTGTATTATGTTTGTTTACTTATTATATGTGTGTTTGAAGATTATTTAACATCTCCCGAACAGTATTTGTCTTGTCGGAACACCGACTATAATTAATACAACATTTTTAGTGCTGGTTCGTCATCGGGACGGAAGCCTGTCAACCTGACAAATTGATCGGCCTGTCACATGCATATGCATAATATGCAGATTTCGGTGGTGACAATTATTTTGTAAAAAGAGACTAATTAATTTACGTAGGTGTATACAAATATAAAAAAGAGTTGATACTGAGTACGGGTGCGGTCACTGTTGTAGGGGGGGGAGTTGGGAAGGTAGGATATAGAGGGGAATTTAATTTATATCTATACGCAACGATTAACCATTGCTAACGAAAAACGATTTTGAGCGGAGTTCGGTTATATATATGTTTTGAAACGTGCGTTTTCACACGACAATAACGTTGGTTTAAAAAAGATTAAAATAATAAAACTTATTAATAACAAAAAATAAATAAAACCGGTTGCTAATGGCAACCTTATTTTTAATTTTTTTAGTGTTTTTAGCCTAAAATATCAGTTTTTCTCATTTATTTCGAATATTAACGAAAATTTAAAAAAAATGACCTTGATAAAGTATCAACTAGAATTAAAATATATAAAAAAAAATAGGTCTCTTGTCATGTTTTGATTGGCGCAAGATTTCTTGGAGAAAAGTTGGTTACAGACAAAAAAAATAAAATAATAATAATAATACAGATCATATTAAAACCAATTGATCCCTCGTTTCACTCAGAATTTAAAATGTATATGTATAATAAAAAAGAAAAAAAAATAATAATTAGAAAATAGGTACGCCTAGCTTAATAGAGTAAGTGGCTATTTTTGTTTAATTTCAACGACTTGTATATAGACTTGTATAGGTAGATTTATGACTCAAAACAGGTACATAATACTCATAATAAGTTTAATTATTTTCTTATATTTAATATTATATTATTTATAGTTGGTGGGGCGATGAATAACTATTACCTACCCATTTTTCTTTTATTATTTTAATTAGGGGTTCTAAAATATATAGTTTAGAAAGGACCAGCTATAGATTATTGATTTCATTAATCCGGCTTTGTATAATATATTTGTGATATACATGATGAATTTTCCACAAAAATTGAGATTATTGCGCTGTTTTGTATCTGTTATATATTTTATTTATACGTATATATATGTTTTTTTACCGTTAATTTTGGACATTTCTAGAGGTTCCCCTGGACCAAAAGAGATTAAATTCGGGAATTCGAGTCGAGTTCAGTTTCAATATGAGCTTAACTTTGTTAAGGAAGGAGATTGCAGTTTTCCTTAGCTTTTTACACCGTTACAGATACTCCAAATTAAACTAGGAGGACTACATTTTTTAAAAGGACAGCATTATGGTTAAGGATGTGTCTTTTAGGGGTTTCAACTCTCATCATTATTATTTTTATGATAAAATTTCATTATTTTTTTGAATGTAGTAAAATTGTAATAATTTTATACAATATAGTGTTGTATTATATTAGTATAGTATACGGTTCTTTATTGTTTTACAAAGTTCTATAATACGAAATAAGCGTCGGGAAATTTAGCTTTAGTGATACAGCTCTGCTACTCTTGGGTTTTTTAGATCAGTGCCTCAATGGCTAATATTTAAAATAATTGTATACAAAATATATATTTATTACCGTACTTAAAGTTATTGAATAATTGAATAAGTGTCTTTTCGAAAGCAGTAAGCGATAAAATGGAATACTCCAACACGGAATTTTAATCCTAAAATTTACTAAAAGAAACAATTTTCGAATGTTCTAATATTAGTTACTTAGAAATTTAAATTAAAAGAATATGAAAGGATTATAATTATATTAACTTCATATACATTTTTAGTCGATAAATTTTCACGGGAAAGAGCCAATAGTTGTTTTACCCATTTCCGATATTCCGTTTTATACTGCCGATATAAACCCGATATCCGGATACTTGTAATCAAAAACCATAAGTTTTTATTGAAATTATTAACCGGTATATTGATTGAAACTAAATTCATCAATACTTTTTTCATATTCTAGAGTCATTATAGAAATGTTTCTCCTAAAATATCGGGTCAAATATAAAATTTGAAAAAAAGAGTCCATATCGATATCGAGTGTCGATTTATGTGGTTATAATAAATTGATAACATTTTCCTACTTTTCCAATCTGAACTTGAAACTGTTGTAACTCATAAATAGTAAATCCAACAGTTTATTAAAGTTGTGCATATCAAAATGCGTAGAAAATATTATCCGTTCAAATGTATCAAAAAGTGGTAAAAAATTGAAAACCGTGTTCAAATAAAGCTAAAACGATTTCTTAATTATTTGAAAAACTGAAATTCACTGAATATCTATCGGTAAAATATATAGTACATGATAACCGGACCATTCTGTATAAGTATTATTACAATAATATATTCATATTTTATATGTATGCATAAAGTATATGTTGACTGGAGTATCATTATTTTTAATGTATGTACCTTTATACTGTATTTCATTGCCGTCGTGCAAAAAAGTGACTATAGATAAATGATTTAAACATTTTAAAAAATATTTAATTTTTTTAAATTAAAAACGTGGACTTAATTTTTATTTAATTTTGATTTTAATGATGAATTATGTGTTAAGTTATTTCATAAACCCATTTATGATGGCAATTTGAAACTTTTTTTCGTACACATAAAGAAATAAAATAAGGCATATAAATATTTATTTTTTCTTTTAGTCACTTTTTGTACACCGATAATACGTATGTATTATTTGAGTATTAACATTCAAAACAATTTTTCGTCCTTTGTTTTAAATATTTCTTTTTCAATTTAACCAAATTGTATTACTCTTATATTTTTTTTAGATTACACGGTTTAATTTATTATTGGTTGACAAACATAATATTATAATACCTGTTACACGACGGTTGGACATCACTCAATTGATTTGGTAAATTTTGTGAGAGCACTGTAGATAAGCAGTACACTACTAATACTACCAGGTTAAAAACCGAGTAGTAAGATTTCATATTGTTGCGAAAATACTTTTTGTTCAAAAATATCCAGATGAAAATAAATACTGTACAATCAATTAAAAAAAAAAAAAAAAAAAAAAATGGAAAGAAACTTTAAAAATGTATTTCTAAACACATACAAATATATTATATACATATGCGTGTATAGATTAGAAAAATATACGTATAGGTGATGATGAGGTGCTGTTTAATGGCTAGAACAAAATGAGTGTTCGTCCGCAACGAGCGGGGTTTTATTCAATTATAAAGCTATCGCGATCGACGCATAACAATCGTAGATATTGCGAACGCTGGTGTCTGTACCATCAGACCTTACAGACACATAAGCTCAAGTCATATATACATACACACATACGTACCTATAATATTGATAACGACTCATGAGTTATGCTTTGTGTAAATACAACTGTAAAAAGTTGGGAAGGTAGAGGGGAAATTTAATGTATATCTGTACGCAACGATTAACCATTGCTAACGAAAAACAATTCTGAGCGGAGTTCGGGTAATTAGCGTGGCTTTGTCAACATTATGGTAAAATAATTACACATGTATTATATATTTTATTTAATATTTTATCTATTTTCCTAGTTTTTACCATGTTTTTCCTAGTTATTGAGAAAACCTCTGGGAAAATCAAAATATAACTTCCTTAAAGTATCATCCCAGTTGGATTTGCTTTCAGAAAAAGTGATATCATTGTAAACCGGAGCAAAATTGCTGGTGGAAAAGTTGTTCTCGGTGAAAAAAAAGGCCGTAATATATTTTTATTAATACCAACATTTCGTACATTTTTGGTCGTTAAGTACTCACTCTATGGTAAAATTGTTAGAATAAACACAAATGGTTGAAAATTTAACAGGAAGTTCAAAAGCCGTACTTTGTGGTAAAAGAACATATGTGCTTAATGTAGTATTTTTTTTTTATAAAGAAATTTTAAAATCAAATTTGACGAAAATTGTTTTTTTAAAAAATATGTGGAACAAATCTAGTTACTGGAATTTGTTCAATATATATTTATTTTACTATAATATTACATATGTGTTGTTGAAAAAGCAATACGGTTAACTGAGCTCCGCTCAAAATCGTTTTTCGTTAGCAATGGTTTATCTTTGCGTACAGATTAATACATCTATACATCTATATCCTACCTTCCCAATTTCTTATCTACAACAGTGGTCTAACCATCGTGCGAAGTATGTCCGTCTTTTAGATTCTGAGGGGAGCGAAGAAGCTTATGTTATTAAAATGATGTTTTAATTTTAATTTTTCTTTGGACAACTTTTCTACTAGCAATTTTGCCCCAATTTTCAATGATAGCACATTTTCTAAACAAAAATCTGACTAGAGCTGTACTTTAGAGAAATCATTTTTTGATTTTCTCAGGAGTTTTCTCAACAAATGTGAAAAACCGAAAAGAAAACCGATCAAATACGGGAAAAGGAACGGAATTTATTAGTAAAATATTACGGTCTTTTTTTTCTGTGGACAACTTTTTTATCAGCAATTTTCCTCCGATTTAAAATGATAGCACTTTTTCTAATAGGTTATAGTGGTACTTTAAGATTACCATTTTTTTGATTTTCCCAATAAATAGGAAAAACCGGGAAAAAACACGGGAAAACCGTAGGAAAAACGGGAAAATAGGTAAAATAGTGAATAAATATTGTTAAAGAAAATATATAATGCCTGGGTAATTATTTTACCATAATATGACATATATATTGTTGAAAAAGCAACACTATTAATTGAATTCCGCTCAGAATCGCTTTTTCGTCAGTAATGGTTTATCTTTGCGTACAGATATACATTAAATTTCCACACTACTACCTTCCCAACGACTCACTTACAGCAGTGGCCACACCCACGACTCCACGTGTGATGTTGTTCGGCTATTAGTATTTTGGATTTTCATGTAGCGACCTATATCAATAATTTCACAAATAAATGGAGTGTTAATTTAAGCACATTTTGGTATTCAAATTTTTGATTGCCGTCAATCCGTTGACGGTATATTCTACTTTGAAATTTAGGTGGTGGGAGAGTAGTGAAGCATAATTTGTGTCTCGTCGAAAATTTCATCACCAAAATATATTTAAACTACCTTATCCTTTATACCTTTATACCTTATCTAATTATCTATTTATGGAACTTTTAATATAGGTTGCCATTTTAAAATCAAAAGTAGATAATAAGTTCACCACTAAAAATCAGAGTGCCAAACAATAATTTTAATTTAACAGAGCTACTTGTATCTTAAGTTGTCAAAAATAGAAAAATCCCGAAAATATGAACACTTTCAAAGCCATCGCAATTGTCATAAACTTCGTGGGACATTCTGTATAACCCTGAATTATTGCACACACGAAGCAAAACATTCAACTTAATCTAATATCTACTACATAAGTAACCTGTTTTGGATATCTCTGATTTATCCTATTCATGAATTAGATATTAGGATTATTTTATGGCTAGCTTTGAAATGGATAGATATCTATAAAAACATTATTCAATGGATATTGGATATTTGTACTACCTATTTATTTTGGCCGCTCTAAATGTTGAATTCTTGAAAATAACGAACATAACTATTGGTTTTTTTTAAATCCTTTTTTTTTTCTGATGAAATTCAGTTTAAACCGGTCATCCCGTAACATGATGTACATAATGATAGATAGTCTACAAATAGAAAGGCTATCTAGCTATTAATTAGGGCTTTGTGGTATGATTATTCGTTTGATTGATATCGGTTTTGTCTTAATTAATATATTAGTTATAACGCAACACTTTCTGCAAAATAGATTAATATTTTCTTGAACATTATTATTATTATTATTATTATTTTAATATGTATACTGTATGCATTTGTAGTGGTTATTAATGATGATGATGTGTAAACTTAACAGAAAAAAAAAATTGTTTTCATAACGCAAGTGAATTATAAATTATAATTATTATTTTAACGATGTCTGATATAGAGTAACAGGTATCTATATTATATTTGTTATTGTGACAAATATTTAAACAGGTAGGTAGTAATAATGAACTCGTTAATATAGCGTCATATTTTAGGTCAAGGAACACGTGAATTTTAGGTAATAATTAATATGATTCATAATAAAATGTTTAATGTATTTTGTGTCGTCACAGTGTGTTGGCTCGAGACCGAATGAGGGCCCAAGAGGCAATTTTTTCAAAGAGGTCATCTAAAAACAAAAAACAAAAATTAAACAAATGCATAACCTACGATTTTTGGTATACATTTCGTAAAATTTCGAATATTTTAAAGATATTTTTGCCGTAAAAATATAATAATACATGTAGACATCAATGGAATAAAATAATATTATTATGTTTATACCAACGGTTTTTTAATAATTTTTCAAATACTCGATGGCGAACTACTTTGTCTGTGAACGATTTTTTTTTTCCACCAGAAATCTTCATCTAATCGTCAACTTTAAGGAGGGTTTTGTTGGCAAATTTTATTTAGTTGATGCACCGAAAAATTTAATTTGGAATTATCGGAAAACAGGCATATTTATGCAATGACCGTTTTCATTATTTTGGATTTTGTATTTTGTTGTAATTTAGTGAAAACAATTTTTTTGACGTATCAAAAATTCTCGAAAATTTAACACGAGGTTCATCATTATATAAAATTTTCTTTAGTGGTGTAGTGGTGAATAAAAGTTATTAATTATATAAATTCATATACTGTAAATATCTTAATTCTTCACCCATAACAGCGACACATTCATCAGTAGTATCTATCAGCTCATTTTTTGAAAATAATTTTGTAAATTTTTCTTTAAAATTGTGGTGAAATATGATTTCGGTGCAACTGGCTGTATACATTTTTTTCCGAGTATTGTTGAATATTTTTCAGAGATTTTATTACACTATAACGTATTATAATAAACTATCTAGCCAGTAGGCAGTTTATATTCAAGTAATTTTATACTTATTTTCTACAACCTTCTCCTTTTATTATTACTTTTTACTCAATCATACATATGGTACACGTGCACATGGGGAGAGGCAACAAATTTGCGTCTCTTTGAAAAATAATACGCACCCATAATTTTAATAAATTTAAATTTTAACATTTATTCAGCATACATTTTAAAAACAATTTTATTTTGCTCCCATCTTGAATTTAACGTGTGAGCGTCCATGATCATATAATATTATTATTAACAACATCTAGTAAAACGTACAATTTACTATTAATTATGTATCAACAGTTAAATAAGTATTTTATATGCTTTATAAAAATAAAGTATACACATAGTGAGTATACCAACGTATACTTCTATGAATTAGACTACTAAGAACTTATCTGAATATAACATTCGACATCAAAAAATAACGTTTACAACGTGTAAATCGACTTAAAAAAAGATTCACGATATAACATTTCTATTATATTCTACTTATTTTATCTGAACGTTTTATACGTTTATATTTTTTATATTTCACTCGAATATTATTAATATTATCGCTATTATCAGTTTTTCTAGTAATTAAAATATATAATAATGTACGATTACGAGCTAAAATTAGAACTATAAGACCTTTATTTTTTTTTTTTGCTCTTTCCGGATTATAAGAGGATGCTCGTTTGATTGGCGATTGGATATAATCGGAGTTTTATAACACTACTGGTATATATTCATGTATTCATATTAATTACTCAAGTATTGAAATACTGCGTCATTATATGTAGATGAATTACAACACGAGAGGTATCACAAGGTTATTGGAATGTACTCGATATTTAAATTTTGGGTTAATATCTAGGATATTACTGGGTATTACTATAAATACCCGACATTTTGGATATTTGTTTTAAATCATTCATTAGATTCTGAACGAAGATAGGAATGTATTTATTTTGCTATGTTGTGTTTATATATATTTTTCTGTATGTCTAAAGAACTATTTTTGATTTAGTTGGCACATGGAGGAGGCCATTTTTTTAAATTCAAAAGCTAAAAAACTGGAAATTTGTATTGACTTCTTGGTGGCTTTGACAACAAAGGAAAAAATAAGATTAAAAATACTCTCCTCAGAATCGTTTGTCGTTAGTAATAGTTTATCGTTGTATACATACGAGCTTATAAATTAAATTACTCTACACATCCTTTCTAAACAATAGCACACCTGTCAGCAGTATTAATCTTTTTAAATTTGTATTATGGAGTATTCCAATGGATATGAGGATTTATTCCGAGAAAAAAACAAATGATTGTTAAAATTATTTCACTATTTTAATAAAAATAAGGCATAAAAATCTCATAAGACATAGCAGGAAGACTTCTCTATCTACTTCTCTTCTCTGTCTACTTTAGTAGATAACAACGCCGGTGTATTAATTGTATTAATTTATTTTAATTAAGTCTATAATACGTATAATGTACAAAGTAGGTACTAACACATTAACTTTTAGTCATTGTTAACCATCATTAAAAATACCACTAATATCTGAAGCCCGGATTTAAATGTATTTAAAACTTACAAATAGTGTTTAGAAATAGCAAAAAAAAGCTATTAAAAAGTATTAAATTAAATTTTCACTAAACAAATGATTTTTAAAAATGAAATTGTATAATATATACGATTGTACACGTTAGTGTTAAAATATTTTATCTAATAATTTAAAGCCATTATTGGAGAGGCATCTAAACCAGTCTATAATATTTGCTTTTTTAAAGATATTTAAGGTCATTTTTGCTATTTTTATGCGCATTTTTGTGGATTTTAAATGCATTTAAATCCGGGCCCTACTAATAACTAATACCTTTTGTAATAAAAACCATACGTTGACTATAGAATTAATTATGCTTAAAGATATCCTGTCAAAATGACCCGACAAATGTTGCGGTAAAAAATGTCACATGCGTAAAAATGTCATCAATTCAAAATGAAATCTCATTAAAAAAAATCTACTTTTAAATTTTTTTTTTTTTTTATTTGATTTTCATTGATGTTTTTGTTTTGCGTATTGCAATACGTCTACATTTTATTTTTCATTTTATCAGATATTAATACAAACGAGTAAACATACGTAATGCATTAATGACAGTGAAAGTGTTAAAGTTTGTAAATTTTTGAAGTCGATGTTTATAGAATTTATAAAGTCGTCATAATGTCTGCATTATAGTCTGTTATTCCACGAATTATGAACTAACAATTCGATTGAAAGTTTGAATAATTGTTTCGATTTAATGTTGATTTTTCGTGGTCATCAATCGATTAGAATTTTTATTGATTTATTAAAAAAAATATTAATGTTTACATAATTTAGTGGTTGAACTATATATTTATATACCTTAATACATACGTTGTTATTGAGTACGAAAAAATATCGTTTGAGTACTTGCGCGAAATATCCCACAATTTTTAGTAACAAATATAATATAAATTAGAATATTGTTTATTAATTTATAAAATTTGACTAAATAGACTGTAGGCATAAATGATACTACAATACCTATACATAAAAAATGTAAGGAAATATTTTTTTTTAATTATAAAGAACTAAATATAAACAAAACTAGAATTAGATGAACAAAAAAATCGAAAAATCTAATTGTTGGGTTTTACAAATTTGTATTCAGTGACATTTCTTAACGCAATAACATTATTGCCGTGACATTTTTACATGGATTTATGCCTGAAGTATGCTTCAAGTTAACACCCTTCCTCTAACCCGAAAAAGAACGCTCTTAATTAATTTGAGCGAAAGTTAGGTCATTAAAAGATACAAACCCACAAAGTATATATAAACAGCCCACCTCTCCTTAAAAAATATTATGGTCCCAGCTGTGAAACAAATATGAGGCATCCTGGGACCTTCAGTACTGTAAATGCTTTCTAACCTACTGCATCGTTATTAAAATAGATGCGGAATATGAATGAATTTTTGATATTTAAACATTTTATTAGTTTTTACCATTGTGTATGAGTATGATATTATGTAATACTTCATACGCCTTCAAATTTTATCTGCCTTCTAATTTTACCCACCCATCCTTATTGTTATAAGAACTGAAGCGATCGCTTCATTTATATGAGTTCGGTACCACTGAACGAACTAGATACAAAATGTCACAAAAATATTATCTTGTCGTTTTTTGATTGGACCAAGATTTCAGGTAAAAAGTTGTTTTCAAACACAACAAAAAAAAAACAAAAATATACACATCATAGTAAAACCAATACACTCCTCGTTGCACTCAGAATTTAAAAAAAATACGTATTCATTGTTGTTGTGTTTTTAATAAATTATTAAAGTAATGAAATATCGTAATAATTATATTTTACTCATTAGAAACGATGTAAAATGATGTATTTTGTACATTATTTGTATGTAAATTATTTTTTTTATTTTTAAATGTACCTATTATAAATAAATTAGTTAATACTGATCTTCTTCTTTAGATTTATCAGCGTTCATCGAGGCTCGGTAAATTTAATTATAATAATTTTCCGGTGGTGCAAGGGCGGCGACGCGTCGGACAACGTGATTTATCCTGCTCTCCTTAATTCTAAAAAAAAAAAACAACAGAATACAAATATTAATATTTTATTTTGTATTAGGTATTCGTCTAGTGAGTATCTGAAGTACCAGTACTTATTTTATTTTAGAAACTAATTAATATTTTCAAATAACTAAAAACCACTAGTGAGGTACTACATAATATATTGAGTGTTTTTATGAAGTGCTATTATTTGCATTATTATGTGTCACCGAAATGAAATTTGCAAAATATGAAATATCGTTTTTTTTTTTTTTTTTACGAGTGCTTTATTTTAGTGATTTTAAAAGGATGATATAATAAATATTATTTCTCTTTTCTACCAACATTTTTATTTGCCCAAAACATTAAATGCTGTTTGATCTTATTGAAATTGCATAAGTAACTATTATCACTGCAGTTAAATCCTATAAAAACACAAAAACGACATTATTCAAAACATGCTCTTGGAGTCTAGAGATGATAAATTATGCCGTATATTTGACATAGGTAATGCAATGTTATCAAGTAAATAAACTTACATAAAGTTTTTAACCGAATTACAGTTTGTGACCTTATTCAAATTAATATAATTTTTCGTACTTAGGTATTCACTAGTCGTGAAAAGTGATTAGTACTTTTTTAATAGTTCCTAATGCGTTATTACATGTCTACATAGATCGATTATTTTAAATAACCATTTTCAGAGTACTATTTTTTTTTTTTTTTTACATTATTCTATATTTTCACAGCTAAAACAAATTCATTGTTTTTCTGATGTTATCCCCTGAGATAAAAAGGTTTTATTCTAATCAAACGATTTTTGTATTGAAAAAATGAACTATTTTTTATCACCAAGTTACATAAAACGAAATGGTTCTAAGTAGTGAAAAAAAATATTATTTTCTTTTATATAAAACCTATTTAAAGTGAATTGTTAATTAAAAGAGAATTTCTATTCAATGATATACTATTATTTCAAAAACCGAAAAATTTTAATATTAACAGTTGTACACAGTGCTGGCCCTAAGGTAGTGCGAGCGATTCGGCTCCGGGCTCGCGCAAGGATAATGGCACCCCGTAATCTTACTATCGAGTTAATGGAGGAAGGGGGAGCAGCTGGCTGCTCAGGGTGATAATTTTTTTGAGGTGAAAACAAATTTTGTAAGAATACAGACAGTAGGAAAAAAAATGATATACACTCAGTTATAGCTATCAATTTAGCTAACAGAACAATTGCGTTTACACAGCGTTTATTTTCAAATTTAAAATTAATAAAACATTACTTAAGAAATACTCTATCCCAGCACAAGTTTTCTGATCTAGCTCATACCAATATTGAACATAATATTGTCAATTCATTAAGCTATGACGAAATAATTGATACATTAGCAGCAAAATGAGTAAGAAAAAAATGTATTGTGTAATTTTCAAAATAATATTTCTATAAATCAGTTATTTTTGATGATTTCAATAAAAGTTAGTTTGTATTTGATTATTATATTATTATAATTTAAATTTCTAACAAAACCCTAGTACCTCTTTGGTCTTGGGTCATATCTATATTTATCTATTGGATTTGTCAACGAAAAACATTTAAATACTTCAAACAACTTATCCTATACAAACTGAATTTCAACCAAATTGTAAATTACTTTAAAGATGTATGAAGTAACATTGGACCAGGTAAAATTGTTTGATTTGTGAGAAACATTAATCGTATAGCCAAAAATAAACAAAAAAGGAGTCTCAAATTTAAAGATCGCACAGGCCCCCACAAAACCTCAGCCTGACACAGTACATTCAATGATACAAATATATAAAAAAATTAATTCTACATAAAAATAGGAAACTATTGTCTTCGATAATTTTAATGTATTAAGCAATACAAAATTATTGATTTGATCTATGATCATCAATATTTATTTAAATCAAAGATCATTAAAGAGCAGAAATAATTAAACTTTGTCTTTCATTCTATCAAATTTGAAATTAACTAATAGCATTTTGTGTCAAAAACCTAACTTAATCCAGAACCTAAATGTATTAAATAAATGCATTTTGTTATGCCACCATGTATTACTAAATACTTTGGAATTATTAAGCAAACAATATCAAAATATTATGAAAATTATTCACATATCATTATTAGATCGTAAACACATCGATATTGAATAAAATCTATTTTTTTTTTTTTTGAACGTTATGCAAATTAAATATTTGTAATTTACATTTTAAGGATTTTTTTTAGTGATGCACAAACTTAAACTCTGTTGACACAAGTATACGAGTAGGTATTATAAGATTATGAATCAACACGTTTTCATGACATTTAGTTGATAATTGATTTTTCGAAAATAGTATTACTTAAACTTAACAAAAAGATTAATTTTGTATAATTTATGTGTACAAATATTTTTAATATTATGTATTTCATGTTTCAAAATGTTAACATACCGTTCGGGTCGTATGAAACTATATTCCCCCATCGGTTTAAAAACTCAAATGCGACTCCGTTTGTCCAACCAAATCCTGTCTGTGGAGTATATTCTCCACCGCCACCTGTTTCTCCTGCGGCTAATACGTCGTACTAAAATAAAAATAATGACGTTAGAATGCATACAATTATAAGGTAACGCGTAGGTTTTTTTAAAAAATGTATTTTATAACGTGTATAATATCGCACTTTTTCGAACATCATTGATTTTTCTGCGAATCCTTTGTAATTTGTGCGCAGCCAGACATCCGCCAATTTTTCTGCCACCTGCTGTGCGAGTTTTTGTTGCGTCCTATCCAGACCCTGAATGAGGAAAGCTTGGAGCGGGGGCCACGCATTTGGGAAATCCCACTGTTGCGACGATGAATACATTGACGTTGGAGTTCCTTTGAAAATAAATTATTATTAATACTGATTTTTAGATCAGAGAAAATCGTATTTGAACAATAAATTATTATTATTCTATGTAATGTGTCGGAAATGCAAACAGCAAATTTTAGTTAAACTATTTCTAAAAAAATTGATCAGTTTTGTTTAATAATTGTTTCAATCATCGATACTATAAATTAATCTCACCGTTAAAACTTATGCTATAATCTGGTTCGATGATATGTTCGTTCTTTAAATATCCTAACACCGCAGAAGCCACGGATTTTTTCGGCATATTATAGCTTCCCGTCCACAATGGTACGATATTCGATACGAAAAAATAATCTCGATGTTTGCTGTTTATTAAATCCCAGTCGAACCATGCACCTCTATCCGGTCTCCACATAACCTATCATAAACAATAAATATGCATTATATTATAATAATTTCATGTATACCTGTACGCAACAGTTAATCATTGTTAAGATAAAACGATTCTGAACGGAGTTCAGATAAACATGACTTGAAAGGCTGTAATATTTACGAAATATTTTTAAAATTTAAAAAAATAAATATATATTACATTACAATAATTTTTTTTTTTTGACTATTCAGTACAACTAATTAAGAATTTTCTGACAAATCTTCAACCAGTTCTATTTAGTCTAACAATTTTATCCATAGATTACCTACCAAATAAAAATTACGTAAACAATTTTCAAAATTAAAATGTCTATAAATGACTCAAAATTAGCTTAAATGTTTTGAAAAATTTAACTACACATAGAAAAATAAGTATAAGTTTTCTGTTAAAATGTCAAGTAATGTCGAATATTTTTAACTGAATTGCCACAAGAAAAAAAAAAATTTAAAATAATAAAAAAAATTATTTTCGTAAATTTTCCTCATATTTCTACGTATTTTTGATTTTTTTCAATTTTTAAATTAACTACAAAGAAAATCAAAAAACGAATTATTTACTCCCGAAAAAGATTAATTCAAAAAAAAAGGTCTGTTGTCAATTTTTATTGGAACGATATTCTGGTACACTAAGGAAAAATATAAAAATTTAAAATAAATGAATACTACTATTGTAATTTTGAAAAATCGTAGTTTTCGTCTTTTGGGGTATTTCTCAATTATTACGAAAACTACTTACTTTAGATATCAAAAAAATATTTTCTTTTTCCGTTTTTTGATCATTCTTCTACTGGAACAATATTTCTGGTAAAAGACGTAAGTTGCAAAAATTAAAAACCATCAAAACGTTAACGTCGTGTCGCGCCGTAAATATTTGTCGTTTTATTTTTAATTTTCGTTCGGGTTTTTGAAAATTATTTTTAAAACTTCTTAGAAAAATCAAAAAATGACCATTAATGAACAAACCATTGGAAATTACATTTCAGAAATAGTGCTAAACTTGATATCATGGAGCAAGATTTTTGTTAGTAAAGTTGTTTATAGATAGAAAAAACTAAAAAAAAAAAAAAACCCCACACGGTAAAAACCAATAGATCTCTCGCTACAATCCGAATCTAAAAACACCATTGTAAAACCAATACATTACTCGTTCTGATGAGAATCTAAAATATGAGTGATAGTACTTACTTCTTGTATATTGGTGAGGAAGTTTTCAGCGATGGTTTTGTACTTGGCGGCTTTATTCGTATTGCCCATCTGTTCAAACCACGTGCTCAATGTAAGTGCATTTACGTGTAACAAACTGTTCAAATCGACCGGGATAATATTATGCGTTTGGACGTCAGGCAATTGACCTGCATATAGGACATCCGTATTTTATAAATTTTATGAGTATATTGTAACCTTTTAATTCAAATAAATAGGAATTATGGACTTATAGTGAATATTATACTTACCGCGATCTGAACCGTTGGCAGTTATAAACCATCTGCTAGAGAAATCCCACCCGGTTTCGGCTCCAGACTTCATTCTCACATAGAAGTCTTCTCTTTTCTCTTTCGTATCGTAGTATTTTTCAGCTACCTCGTAGTCCTCTCTATATCGTATTAAAAATTTAAATAATTATCGTAATATCGTAAAGATTATTAAAAACCTATTAAAATTATTATTAAATTTTTATTATATAAACCTGTAGGATTCTGGTCTTGGTCCTGTCGACGGTGCGTAGTATCTAGCCATTGTGTATGATTTCCCGTCTTTCTCGAAAGTAACCATCCGGTTATTCATCCAATAATAGAACTCACTGTCGAGGTCCTAAATCAATAATTTGTATTGAAAACGTGTAGTGATTTTTCGAATTATAACTTACTGTAATGATTTTCTTAATGTATTCAAAATCGTTGGTAGCTTTATAGTAACTCAACGCCATCAAAATAAGCATTGGCGGTTGTGTTCTGTTCAGGTAGTATACTCGTCCGCCGTTAGGCATGAAACCAAACTGACTCACCATCGATATGATATTGTCGATCACGCCTTTAGCCGTGGTGGCCATATCGCACAGCAACAGTCCATTGACAATCCAATACGTGTCCCAGTAGTAGAGTTCCCTAAATCTGCCTCCTGGTATGACGAACCCGTTTGGAACCCATATCAACGAGTATTTATCCGGATGTAATCTCACGTCGTCTTTAACTTTTCTCGCTAAAGTTTTCCATACGTGGTTCAATTCATACGCCCATTGTTTGTAATTTGGGTCTTTGATTCGATTAGCGATCGACGGCGTATCCGTAAAGTCTGTTGGAGACCACACTTCCAATTCATCTCCGTTATTTAGATTTTCGTCGATGAACTTTATCAACTCAGAATTTGGAGGGACATTACCGTTATATTTATTCTTCAAATTTTTATATTTATCTAGTATCTCGGACTCTGTGTATATGAGTTTTTTATCGACAAACGTTTTAGAATCCGGATAAACATGAGCCATTTGTATGTCGTGCAATACATCACTATTACAATAGATTTTGCTGAAAATTATTAATAATTTTGTTCAGATTTAACCAGTTTTAATTTCCAATGTTATATCAAACATAATTGAATAATATTTTTTTACCTGCATTTTCTTTAGTACCTAAAGAAAATTACATAATATTTTTACTAACAACTGATACTATTACTACAACATATTATTTTAAATTTATTTCCATAAGATAGTTGTGTATTATTTTTGATAGTATAGATATAATTAATGATATAATACTAGAAAAGTACCTATATTTACTAATTTATTTTATTTGCATTTATTATTGTGTGATTGAGCGTTTTTATTAAATCTTAATTGCCAGTATTTACTATTTAGTAATACCTTCTCTCTGTAATACAAGTAACGCAACTGATATCAGGTCATACGAACTTTAATCCCATCGATAAACTTAATTAGGTACCTACTTTAGTTTATCATAGGCATTAGTCGTGTTTTTCTTGAAGTTATAATCACGATGTTAATTATATATTATACAACATATTGCGTATAAATGCGGTTAGGTACCTATACAAGAATATACAACATATTACAATTGATGAAACAAATTGTTAATGAGGGTTAATTTCAAAGGGATCTTATTGAGATTTTACAAAATATAATAGTACTTAAATACAATTGGAAAATATTTCTCCAGAGTGAATTTGCTACGTTTCTTTTAAATAGGCACCAATAATATACTATTATGCTGATTGTTATTACCAATATTTTAAAAAGTAAACTCTGTTTTCTTATTATTTATCATAAAACTATGTCGAACTTGATTTATGATAGTAAGAAATTAAAAACTAATTTAACATGTCATAAATAAATTGATATTATTACTATTACGTATACAAGAATTGAATCATTAATGAATTAATTGAAATCATAAAATTAAAAAAAATATAACTATGAGCATTAGTACCTATATTTATTGCAAAATTACAAGTATAACATAATATTATGTAGGTATGAATTTTATGCTTGGACCAATTAGGATGAGATTTTCAAGTAATTCCTAATATTAATTTTAATATTACTCATGTAACCATAATTACTTATAAGTTACGAATTATAATTTATATTATAGTTATATTAGCAGTATATTATATTACAGTGACATTGAGATTAGTTAGCTATCGATAAGTAGTGTAATCATTAGAAAAGGGGGAGGACTGTCTGAATTTTCTTCTTGTTTGTAGTACATCAATAATTTTGAAAGAAAGAAGGTAATCGTTTTGGCGAAAATTAAATAATTACTTTTGTTATCTTTAATTGTTTACAACAATCTCAGGTTAGTTTAATACATCTAATAACTTTTTATATAATATGGTTAAAGACAACAAATGTTAAAATCGATTAGATGTAATTATTGACAATATTGCAGGCGTCCTTTAAAAAAGTGTTGGTAGTTCCAGAGGATGTTCTAAATGAATTAGCTCTAAAGTCAAATATAGTAGATATGATTGTTTTGATGTTTTTAATGGAAATGAAGTATATACTGTACAGTATAATAAAATAATAAAATAATAGCATTAATAGTATTTACAAAAAAAAATTGTCCGTTCATGTGTTTTTAGGACAAAATATTGCCCCCCCTTCATATTCTAGCCCTATAATTACGCCACTACTAATTATACCTACATATATTAATTATTTTAGTTAAATAAATGTTTCGACTAATTTATTATTTAAGTCTATGACTTTCGAATATTCAACTTATGTTTTAAAACTAACTAATAATAACAAATAAACAAAACAATCGAATTATTGTAACTAAATACATTTATAGGTATTTTTAACATTTTAATTTTAATAAGTACAATTATATTATGTCTATAAAATTGTTAATTATTAACCAGTATTACGAAAATATCGTTAAGTTAATAAAAGATAATATATCTGACCTTAATAGTGTAGGTAAACTGAACTATCTATTCAAATATATTTATTTTACATAATTTTTTTTGCCAATTTTCATGTTTTTTTTTCTGAAAGTTTATTTTGTTAAATTCTGTCACTCACAATTATTAGACAATACTCGGTAATTATTTTTAACGAATTCGATAAAATGTTACTATGTCAAACATTATGTTCGAGGTCTCGCTGAATAATATACTTATTTAACAATTTGTTCACTTAAAATTGTTTAAGTTAATTTATTTCCACGCAGTATAGACGATACAGTTCTAGCATATTTAATATTATTTTTATAAAATTATTTTATCGCATAAAATATGCTCATTATTTGAAAATTTGTTTGAACTTTATAGATAAGTTATAGCAAAGCTGGACAAGTTATTCAAATTTAATTAAGTAACTGAGTAAGTTATAGTTACATTCCTTAATTAATAAACTAAGTTAAGTTACAAGTTTCTTGATAAAAAAAAGTAACTAGTTAAATAATTAGTTACTAATAAAAAATGTAAAAGTTAAAAAGTTACAAGTTACTTTTAATTTTTTTTTAATTAGCTTTTATTTATTAAATACTAGTAGTTATAAAAGTTACTCGTTAAAAATATGTAAGTTATAGTTTGCCTTACTAAAAGTTTTTAAAATTACTATTACTGCTTTATTAGAAAAAAACTTGCCAAGTGTGATCATTTTAGTGTTGGCTCAGCCATTGTTAACTGTATTAGACGTATAATTACTATGAAATATGGGTAATTGTTGTATAATAATATTGTTAAATTACCTATATAACTCAGATCACTTTATCACTTCATCAATTTAAAAATATTAATAAGCCATCACGTATTCACTTCAGATGACCGGCTTTCGAAGGAATAGATAAGATAACCTTCATGAATGGGTGCTGGAAACGATTTTGCCATAGTAACAGTACGTTATCAAAATGTTATCCTTATCATATTGTATTATGTAAAAATCGAGATTTATGAACCTTCGTAAAAATAGTTTTTTTTTCTTTCAGTATGATAGGTATTATATCAATTCCCTTAGAAAAAATTATTCTGAGTTACAAGACATTTGTGATAAAATTATGAAAATTAACTTGTCATTTTTTTGATTCTAGTAAAAAAGTAACTCGATAAGTTACAAATTACGAGAAAACTAAAAGTAACTTAAAAATTATTAAGTTACTGATGTTTGTAACTTTGTAACTAGTTACTGCTCAGCTTTAAGTTATAGTGTATTTTTAAACCTGGAAATATTAATTACTTTTGTAACTATTTCCTATTTACCCACACATATTTTTGTTAGGTTTTATCAATTTAACGTTTTCATTCTCAATATCATAGTATAAAATAAGTATGTACCTATCAATTTTTGATTTAAAAGTGATAATCATTTGTTTACATATTTTTATACGTACGTATATTGATAACATATTTTAAGGAACCAACGTTAAATCTAAGAAATAAACTTATTTTTGATCTATTTTATATCTATCTTAGGGTATGTATTCTTAGCAGGACCGTAGTCAGACCAAATTATCAGTTGGGAAAACCACATTTTTTTTTTTGGGGGGGCATTAGAAAAAAAACAATATTAACTACAAATGTAGGCACACACATTAAATACTTATTGGAAGGGAAGCGATTAGGTCTAGGGGAGCAATGCTTCTCTTGTCCCCCCCCATGGCTATAGACTTCATTCTCAGGAAATAAAATGTTTATGTTAATTTTGATTTTTAAGTTGATCCTCTATTTAAACTTAAAGACTGTATTGATAAAAACATATTCAATTTGCAAAATAATTTAATTTTTAACCTTAATTTTTTTTTGCGTAAAATATTTGTTTATTACTACGGGGGTGTTTACCGATAAATAACAATAGAAAATATTATTATATTGAATATTGCAGTTTACTTGTATGATCATTGGAACTTAATAGAGCGAGACAGAAATAAATGTAAACCATTACTTTACAATTTAATTCGATCTGGTTACATTTTAAATTAATTCAATATTACATTCAATCTATATATTTAGGTAATTGGTTAGGTTAGGTTAGGTGCCTATTTGTTTATTGTCTCAAAATATATGTTGTTAGGTAGTGTAGGTTTAACAAATGTTACTACTATAACTATGCTAAGTTAAATATTATATTTCAAGATTCTTGTAGATTTTTGTACCTATTTATTATTTATATACCTCTGGCATGACGGTTTTAGTCCATTAGATGCGTGATAGAATCCTCTTGTCAAGTAAACAAAGTCTTGGGGAATCGTGTGCACATTATACACTATTTGAAATAGGAACACGGACAATAAATAGAATCGCATCATTCGGCAATGTATTCAACGAAATAATAATGAACTTGTAGTGTGAACAGACAAAAATGTAATTTATAAATACCTATTATATTTTATACATTAAATTATTTCAAAAAGAACTAGAATAACAGATATTTCTTATAAGAAAAATTTAATGAAATAATAAAAGTATATGTATTGTATTTTTAAATTACTGATATTAGAAAAAAAAAGAGGTTTGAGATTTTTAAGTTGGAACAGGAACGTGGTATTGAGTTTTCTTCATGCCTTACACGAATCGACTGCACTAATGACCAGCGTACATTGTGCCTTTATCAGAACACAAGACCCAATGCTAATGTTGCCTAATAATTCATTAGACAGATAGTGTAGTACCTACGAACGGTAACCCCTCGCATGTGATAATTTGTGCAAATACAAGTAGATAAAAAATGCGCGCGGTACGTCCGAATTGTAAAAAGAAATTGTTGACACGTCTTCGTATTGTAATCTATTTTTCCCCTTTATCCTTACGCGGTTTTACTGTGAAAATACTATACTATAGCTAGGAATAAATTGTATAAAAAAAGACAAATGAGCTCTATTCAAGTGGATTTTTTTCGCATAACCTTGCCTATTTTTCACGGCCGCGCCTAACCATTTTGTAATAATTGTGTTAAAAAGCTTCTAGGTATATAATATTACTTATGATGTTTTTTTCGGTTATAGTTGTCATATTTTGTTTCTATTTTGATAGTATATTATGGTATACAACACTTTTTAACTTGTATTTTGAAAGCGCAACCAATTCATAAAATTGTATACAATGTACATAATATGATTATAGCGATTGGACTTTGCTAAAATAACTGAAGTTATCTTTGAAACACAAATTTCTAACTCGAGTTACCTAAAAATATTTATTATTACTATTATTATTTAATGTGTTTATACGTCATGTGCTATAATAACACAATTGTACAATTTAAAACAAATAAACAAGCTTACAAATTTATATTGAATAGCATCTGATATCAGATAGACTTTGTACTTAAAATATTACTGGATTGCAGCATCTATACAAATATTTAGGTATCTATTTTTTTTAGGTACACGTTGATCACTGTTATCAAATTAACACAATTAAGTAAACACTCCTCTAATATGCTCTTTCATAATATGTATGTGTATATTTACTTACAGGGTTAAAATTATTAAATTAAAAACTTAGTTTTATAAATTGACCTTGATAATCTTGTTAAAAAATGTATTTTATAATTGATTTTTCAAGTGACACAGTAATATAGAAAACAAATTAATACAATTATCCTTTGTATCTATTTGAAAGAACAAAAAACGTATTAAAGCTACTTAGAAAACCAAATAGTCAAGTTTCGCGAATATCTTAGACAGACTAGGTATTTTAACATGATCCATGCAAATATTTACACCTCTAGACAAATTCCATTGTTCTAATCTATGTTATATTGTAATTAAAAGCTAATATTTGTATTGAAAGATAAATTAATATTTTGAAGAGAATATAAACAAGATCAAATTATATAAGTACTTTATACAATGGATTATTTACGTTGTATTTATTGTTTATTTAAATAATACACGCCATGCCACGGGCCATATTATTTTATGTATACCTTTAACTGTATAATGGTTAAATTGGTAGGTACTTCCAATCTAAATTGCAGTAAACGTCATATTTTATCTAAATACATATAGATAGGTAATAATATTTAGTCTGCGTTTTTACCTACTACGCGTATACTATTAATTGAACAAAATATTCGCAATACTATATAAAATTCCACCACTGCAAAAAAAAAACTGTATACCTACCTAGGTAAGCTACCTATGTATTAGCTAGGTTAGGTTATATTGTATTATATTATATATATATATAGATATATATTATACTTGAACAACTTGTTTTATTATTTTATTATTTGTTGTGTTAGACAGTTTTATTGCGAAACATAATATTATAATATCGAAAATACTTATACTGATTTATTAAACTATAGGTTGTGCGGTTATTTCTTTACGAATCTGCGTATTAAACGACCGTATCACAAATATGTATTATTCAATTATGTATACAATTCCAATCAGACAGAAATGTAACTTCTACATGAGTGTGATGATACCGACCATACGCGAAGTGTTGAATAACTGACAGAAATATACAGTGGCGGAGCCAAGGGGACAGGGTTAAAAAGACTATAGTCCCACTTCATGATCCATTTAAGTATAATACCGTTCAATATTTTAAATGCATATTGATGAAAGTACTTTTTTAAAATGTTATTGAACTAAATTAAAAAAGTGTCCAGCCCCTACCCCTCAATTAAAAATCCTGGCCACGTCATTAGATAAATAGTACACAGAACGAGTTTATCAAAAATGAGAATGGTTAGGTGAATGAATGAAATTACGAGAGAAAATAGGGTAAGGAACAAATACATAAGAAGTAGCGTAGGCGGGGCTCTGATAATAGACATTTGAGAGAAAATAGACTGAGATGGGTTGAGCATATCATGAGACGAGAAGAATTAGAAGCAGTAAGAGTTGTAATGAAAATAAATGTTGGAGGAAAGAGAGGAAGAGGAAGACTGAAAAAGAGTCGGTTGGATGCCATTGAGAATAATATGAAGACACTTCAGGACAGCTAGTATAAGCTAGGAGGAAATTGGGTCAAATGGAAGTTTAGGACGAGAGTGACCGACCCCAAGTAACTGAGATGAAGGCGAATGTGATGAAGAAGACTTATATATATTAGGATGGTCTTAATTTTACCAATTTCAAATTCTCCTTCAAAACACCCGGCTATCTAATGCTGTATAATAAAAAATAATAACCTCAAAGTTTGAGACCATTTGAATAATATGTTGTGAAGGGGCACAGATTTTTAATATTTAATGAAATCAATGAAAATAATGTACAAACGACCATAAATCGTTTCAGGGGTAGTTAAATGTGGGGAATGAAGCGGACATATCCTCCCTTAAAAAGATATTTTTCTTAAATATTTATAATAATATACAGAGTGGTATTTTAAGCATATGCTCAGTGTTCATCCCATTTTTATGATTGAGTTTTGCATAAATTCTAATTCTAATATTTGGAATTTTTAAGAGTATTGAAAGACAATATTTTCAAATAAGATTTAGATTTTTTATAAAACTTAAAGAATAATCTGTGGTGATAATAAATTTGGTTTTTCAAATGGGAACTTACGTGTTTTAATCCAAATAATCAATCAGATGATCTTTCTGAAAATGTTAACGTATATTTTAATCAAAGTTTGAGCGAAATTTTCCTGAGTTATTCTGTTTTAAATACTAAGGAGAATAACTGCATAATTCAAAATAAGAAATTATTTATACACAGTTGATATCCAATCCTCAAAAAATGTTATTATCCTTTATGTTATAAATGTGTTATTACTAATGTTATTAGTATTTAAAGTAGATAATAATTCAGATACTTTTCATTCAAATTCCGTTTATGCAATACGTCAAAATTTTTAAAAAAAATTATCTGTTTGATAAATTGCATCAAAACATGTATAGGTTCTCATTTTAAAAACCAAAGTTTTTATCGCCACAGAATACTCCTTAAATGTTGTAAAAAATCTAAGTACACGAAATTTATCGTCGTTCAATTGTGTAGGTATTTAAAAATTCCAAAAACCAGATTTAAGTACCATACAATATCTTCATAGTTATAAAAAAAGATAACGTTAAGAATAATTGTTCAAAAAAATTATCCTTATTTGACCGCCACTGGATCATTTAAAATTTTTTTTTAATAAAAAATAAAGAACTTATTTTAATCTTATGATCTTAATTCCTTAATCTTAACGAAAATTAAATTTCTCTATTTATGTCACAGTATAAATAGCAATCGGCCGTCGTAAAAAAATTGTACATAAACAGCCGATACAATATTAAATAGTATTATTGTTAGATCGTTCTGATTCAATTCTAAAACAGTACAATTATTAAGACAATATTTTCTTTAATGTACAAATTTAGTACTTACATAAGTTGGTAAAATAATCCAATTTTTTAACATAAAAATATCGCATAAACTGTCAGTGATTATTATTATTATTTTAATGGTAAAAAAAAAATATATTAAATAATTATTAGGGAACGGATTTATATGTTTACTTAAAATTCACAAAAAAGCGTTTAAAAACGTCATAAAAGCCCTAAAATCACTTAAAAAATATTTAAAAGAACAGTAAAGGTAGAGAGATTTAAAAGGTTCACATCTATTGATTCTAATATATTAAAAACAATTTTTTCACACTAAAAAAACGATCATTACAAAGTAATTTTCTTCAAATATATTTTTACGTGTTCTAAAAAAAAAAAAAATGCTTGGTGTTAATTATTTGTCAGTGTTAGAAAATTGTATTTAATAGGGTTAGAACCATTAGAGTGGGGACTTTAAAACCCCTTTACCACTTTTGTTTTTTTTAATATTTTTAAGTGCTTTTTTGACAATTTAAACGCTTTTTTGTGAATTTTAAGTACACAAAATTCCATTCCCTAATAATAACTATTTTAATGATTTTTTTTTTTTGTCATTAATTGTTCCAAACAGTTTATTACCCTTAAAAAAAAAAAAATAATAATAATAATAATGATATTAATCGCCGGAAAACAATTTGAAACAAAAAAACTCGCACTTCGATTAATCAGGGACTTATTAATCCATAGTAATATGTAGGTTATCTAAATTGGCAAAAAGCATATTAACATATATTAGTATAGAGAAGTGTGTCTATTTTTTTTTTATTTAATTCGCAAACCTCAAACCGATATACTTATCAGTACAAGGACAATCGGAAATTCGCAAAACAATATACTCGACTAGTACGGTAAGTAGGCACCGCCAGATTTCCAAGATTTATGTCTAATTTATGCGCGCCAAACAGATTAGACCCGCTTAAAACGTTTAAATAGTCTTGTAACCCATGTATTTTTTTTTTAATTTAATGTATATAGTGGAACATTCACTATGTGGAAGCAGGATGTAATGTACAGTTACGCAGGCGTTTACTAAAGTGACGTGTTTTGTAGTTCAAATTACCCATCAAACTGTATCAATTTATTTTTATTTTTCGTATATAACACCCAAATGGGAGAAAAGTATTGCAGTATACTACATTATGTAGGTGGTGTACATTTAAATATTACGCAAAATTAGAAATGCTAATATTTTAGATATTATAATTTTAAATTGTTTTATATTATCATTTATTATTATATTTTCATATTATATTGCAATCATTATGTAATATTATACAATTTTTTTTGTTATAAATTATTAAT